TAATGCACAAAATGGTGCGATGCTTTAAATATTTTTCCTGCGTCATTCCCCGAACTTGATGACAACAACTTAATTATTTCCTGGGGAGCTGAGGGAAAGCTTGGTGTCAAGGTACCGTGAGGGATGACGGGAATAAGACGAGAAAAAAGAAATCGAGGGTCACTCGGTAAAAATGGTGCACCTGGAATGATGGGAATGAAAGAAGATAAAGATCATGAAGGGTCACGTGGCAGCAGTGGACCGCCAGGAATCAAGGGTGTGAAAAGAGAGTAGGGATCTAAAGGAGAGAAAGGAGAAATCGTGAATAGTGCAGTGTCACAGACCAACTGGAAAACAGTGTGTGTGGAAAAGGATGATAGTAGAGATAGTGGAAAGATCAAAGAAAGGGAATATCAGCAAAATCTCCAATTTATTCCATATATCACCATTATACGAAATTTCTCTGCTTTTATGGACAGGTTTTTTCTTGTTGTTTTCTTGTGGTTGTTGTTCCAACCAATCTGTATTTATTTTTTCTCTCCAGAAATCCAATTTTGCTCACGGATTTTCTAGGATTCCTGGATTGAATGGCATACCAGGAATGCCAGGAATTCCTGACGCCCCAGGGTCGCAAGGGCAATAAGGAAAAGATGGAGCTAAGGAGGAGCCTGGTGTCAAGGGACCGTAGTGACCGTGGTGCACCTGGAATGACAGGATTAAAAGGAGATAAATGTAATGTAGGTTGTTCACGTGGCAAATGCTTTTGAAACTCTTTACGCTGACTAATATACGTTATCAGTTCAGCTGATAAAACCAAATAATCCTGTAATACCCCTCACCGACGTAGTACCACAATTACAAAATTACCCTCTTTGAATATCTAAGGGCTTGGCCACCTTTCACTGCTGCATTCTCTGATAAAAAAATTGTTATCTGTGATATTTAAAAAAGGGGTCAAGCTAACGAATGCTATCACCTATGTCCTATATCAAACACGTTATTACGCCAGTTTAATTTGATGCTCAGTTGGAAAAGTATTTGAACATAGAGAGGAAATGGCTTGAGCAAACTGGGCGGAAGGCACCATGAATCTTGGATTCCAAAATCTTCTTATCTTATGTAACTTGTCTTGCTGCTACAACTCTAGCCACAGCTAACTCTTACTAACTTCTATCAAAAAAGTATGCAAAGATATTGATGGTGGTGGTGTTTTCTTAACCCTGGAAGTTGACATCATACCTGTGCTCTATGTGAGATAGCGGCACATAAGACTGTGTAATAATTTGAAGCATTCAAGGCGGCTCACATTCTAGAGATAAACTCCGTTATCCGAAAAAAAAGATGTGACCCTTAGGCTGATAAGAAACCTTTAAGTCTTGTAGAAAAATAAAACACCCAAAATAGTGGTAATTATAGAAACATCACTTTCGAGAACATACCAAAAAGAAACACAAAAATATCGTTGTTAATTTTAACTTCACAACACAAGTCAGCAATTTGTACCATCAATACACAAAAACAGATTTTGAGATGAAAATATATCTCACCGCCCCAATATAAATATGAATACCGTAATCGACCATAGAACAAATAAGCTTCAGAGTCCGCAGAAACGCTCTCCTGAACATCTAAGGGTTTCCACACTTTTATCCTGTCGCAGTTTGTTAATTACAACACTGTTATCTGTGATATTTGAAAGCGTGAGTGGTACACTGTTACAGGGCAACGGGAAAGAGAGTGTATGGAAATATCTAAGTGACGGTAGAGATTGCGGAAAGATTAAGGTACAGAAATATCTAGAAAATGCAATGAAAAATAAATTAAGTGTTGGAGCCAATTTGTCATGGCCATCTCTGAAAGAGACTTTTGAGAAATGTCGCCAAACTAAAAATATCAATTAACAATTCTGTGCATTCCAGCAGGCAGGAAAAGTACAAGGTCATCATCAGATTATTTTCTGTAACCCTCTTATAAAACATTTTTTGCACCAAGACTGTCTTCTTGGCATTTTTTATAGAATAGCTCATTCAACAAGCTGCAGTCTGATACAGCTGTTTAAGTCTTATTCCAGCGAGTTAGCGGCACATAAGACTGTATGAAAAATAATCTGAAACATTTAAGGCTTACATTCTATAAATAAATTCCGTTATCCGAAAACAGTAAACCGATGTGAACCTTACGCTGATGAGAAACCTTTACGTCTTGTAGAACAATGAAACACCTAAAACAGCGGTAATTATAGAACCATCACTTTCGAGAACATATTAACATGCGACACAAAAATATCGTTTCAACTTCACAACACTATTCTCCAATTTGTACCATTAAAGTTCGGACAGCACCTTGTTGATGGACGGATAATTAGTGTTCATACGGTGGTGTGATTCCGGTGTCAGCCGCGTTTGTCTTGCACGTGATCACCTACAAAGTCTTGAAGGCTGCGCAATGGCGTTTGTCTGAGTGCCCTACCTCCTCGTAATTCAATTAAATTAGTTAACCACCTCCTAATTTTCAAACACATTGCTGACACTATCTGCCATATGCTGTTGGAGCTTTCTTCACTACGACACTGGCGTAGCGTTTGAATGGTCATGTCGGTATTTCTACGAGTACAGATGACGTCTACCGTCTTCCCGAAAAATATCGGCACAGGCTATAAGTGTTGCTCAGAATTACTCTCAACACTCAGTCCGCAGATGAGTTTAACTGGCTTTACCACACCGACTTAAGCTCAAAATAAAAAATAACTCTTTCAAAGAAAAAAAAAGACGATACAAAACATGGAAAGTTTTGTAAAAATTGGCTTCACCCAAATTTCTCTTGCTGCTTTGCCTATGGGGGGTTTGTTGTAGCCCCCCAGCTCCAATGGCACGTATGCCTATGGATGCTATCACCTATTTTTTTCTTTAAACACATTATAGTTTCAGTTCAATTTCATGTTAGTGAGACGGGTCTGCAATTTGTGCCATCATTAAAAATAATCAACAGATTTTTAGCACGAAAATCTAACCCACCACGTCATAATAAGTCTAGATCAAACACGCGGCGTTTGAAAAAGTTTATGCAATTTTGGAGTGGTTCTAATAACATGAATACTGAAATAGAGCTAAAGACAAATGAACATCATATTACCGAGACCATATCAAACTTTTTTTGCATCTTAATATGTCACGTTTGATTAGAAAGGGAAGATTTTGTGGCCCTGATTGTACTGCGTAGTTTCTCTGAATCTGAGTGAAACATTGGTCTGTTGGTCAGTACGTGCTTCATTAGTGAACTGATAAGGATATCACAGTCAAGTTGTTTACCCGGTGTGTGAGTTCGAGTAGCTTTAGACATCCTTATCATTTAGCTCCAGGTTTCTTTATTAAAATTGTTATTTTAACATGAGAACTGACAGTTTGCATTTAATGAAATTCAGAAGGATATAAATAGGCGCGTACATAAGGAGATATATATTTCAGTCAACACGAACTATTCGCGCAAAGTAACCATCGGAGTATGGCGAAGCTTCTGATCTTCGCTGCTTTGTTATTTTTCTCATCCAAAACAGGAGTAAGTTCCGTGGGAACAACCACCAGTCCTCAACAACAAAATCCACATACTGTCGCTGACAAAGACCCATGTGAGGTACTCTTAAGCACGCTTTATCCACGATTATTTACGACAAAATTAGCATGTACTTCATGACGCGTTCATTTGTCATACCTCAGTTTATCACTGATGTCTGCCGAGCTAAGCACAAAAAAATCTCTCATCAATCATAAGTTTTCAAAGACAAAGTAGAACATTGCTGAATAAAATTTCTTTTAAGAGATATCTCTACGTATACAACGTTACGAGATCATTCGATGTCCGAGCTGTTTCTCCTAAAATGAAGCTAAATTCTCATCAGGATTAGTTTCTGAAGAAACTGCTGTGCTACTTCGGCTAACAAGTAAATATCAATTAACATCAAGTACGTCCATCAAATTACAATATGTTCTTTTTTCTTCCTCAGAAATCCACTTTTGCTACCGGATTTTCTGGGATTCCAGGATCGAATGGCATACCAGGAATGCCGGGAATTCCTGGCGCCCCAGGGCCACAAGGACAACAAGGAAAAGATGGAGCTAGGGGGGAGCCTGGTGTCAAGGGACCGAGAGGTATGCCGGGAACAAGAGGATTAAAAGGAAATCCAGTGTCACTGGGTAAAAATGGTGCACCTGGAATGATGGGAATAAAAGGAGATAAAGGTAATGAAGGGTCACGTGGCAACAATGGACCGCCAGGAATCAAGGGTGTGAAAGGAGAGCAGGGATCTAAAGGAGAGAAAGGAGAAATCATGAATAGTGCAGTGTCACAGACCAACTGGAAACAGTGTGTGTGGAAGAATGAAGATGGTAGAGATAGTGGAAAGATTAAGGTACAGAAATATCTAGAAAATGCAATGAAAAATGAGTTAAGCATTAGAGCCAATTTGTCATGGCCATCTCTGAAAGAGACTTTTGAGAAACGCAGCCGAACTAAAAATATCAATTAACAATTCCGTGCATTCTAGCAGGCAGGAAAAGTACAAGGTCATCATCAATTTTTTTTTCTTTACCACTCTTAGACTGTATTCATAACACTTTTTATAGGATTGCTCATTTAACAAGCTGCAGTCCGATACAGCTATTAGAGTCTCGTTCCAGGGAAATACGAGAGTGAGAGGCACTTTCAAGAAATGCAACCCGTGGTTCTTCAAGTTTAATGGAAATGAATGTAGTGGACCAATGACAATTGATGCTGCTGTGTACAACAATTGGCCATCTGGGAATCCTCAGCTGCTTCATCACAGATCATTTGAGGGATACTGTGAAAACATTCCACAGGGTTACTGTTGAATTATGGGTAGGACATTGTCCCAGTGGTTCTCCATTAGGCGATGCTTCCACTGGATGGGCATCATTATTCCGGATAATGATAGAAGAAGTGTCTAGAGCCCAGTCCTAATCAGCCCTGTCATCTTCACCTGAGGATTGGGGTAGAACATTCTCTCTTCATTCATCCATTATTTTTGATTATCATTTTCTCACATTTTCCATACTGCCCAAACACTGAAGTCAGCATTTATAACAAGTACTATTTTGCCCTGATAATGTTGGATGTTATGAAGATTGCTTCATTCCAATTTAAACCTTCTGCTTCTTTTAATCAAATGTACTTTTCTTTGTATTGTTTAGTTTATGCTATGTACTGTAGATACCTTTGTCCCCTCCTGAAAAGTTTTTCCTGAATTATTTTAAGTCTGTCTCTGCATTACAATAAAACTGTTTGACATGTGTTAGTTGAAAAAATGATCATTTCTTTAATCATTAGTGATACAACTGTATATGCTTCTTTGCATTTTTGGTTACATTACAAACCAGATATGATCTTTCATAATTTGCCATTATTTCTATCATCTTTATCTCAGTATGTTGTAAAATAGTCTTAAAACCTTTAAAAACATTAAATGAAGACAAAAGATTCATAACGTAATTACAAATTGAAGGGAAAATGTTTTTCATGAAATTTCACAACCGATTCAATATTTTACAATTAGATGGTATACACTAGTCTCTTTTTATGGAAATATATTTTCTCCATCCTGTTTGTTCTGGAAAGTCCTTTGGATCTGGGGGTACATCTGGAATTTCCTTAAAATAAAAAGTAGATACAAAATATCAAAGGGTCAGTGAGCACAGACAGCCCAAGCCTATAACAAGAGTATCTATCATTTTTCTTTTTAATCAAAAGATGAGATGTAAAGTGGCAGTTTCATTAAGCAAAACATTGCTCTTGTCTTGGTGAAGAAGTCTGTTGTATCACAGATTTTGAAATATTTTGAAGTTTGAAAGAAAGTAAAAAGTTTTAGTTACAAAAGTAAGGTTTTATTGTAGATGTTAAGAATTCATGATTATAAAATAAACTTCCTTTGCTTAATCACTTTGTATTGTCCTTTACTTGATCTCACTGAATGTAATTAGGTAAGTTAATAAAACATATTATTCTCATTTTCCTGTTTAATCCTTACTCATTCTCAGTCCTTAGTCACTTTTTGTAACATAGGGCAGAGGAGAATTCAGTTGGAAGCTGATTGTGTACTTCATGAATTACAACTTGCAAAAGGTCTGCTTTAGAGAGAATCAAAACTTTTCATAACAATTTTGCCCAGGGTTTCCATGCCTGAAAGTGGAAAATTTCCACCAACAAAGAGCTTCACCTAAAAATGGCAGCTCCAGTTAATTATAGAAATAAGTGAAACCTACAATCAATTCCAAAAAGTGATTAATGGGAAATTTCTCTCTATAATTCCACTGTATCATTCAGTATGCAAGTGGTAAGAATAATTTAACTTATCAAATACAAGTTACAACTCTTAATTCCCTGAGCTTTATAAGAAATGTTATATATAGCAGCTAAGGAGGATTAAAAAAATCAAATATGAGAAGAAAGAGTCAAGTTTCTGGACTGTAAAGAAAAAAATATGATTCAGTTGATTTTTCCAACAAGTTTTGTTCTAGAAGTGCAAAAAGGGAAACCTTGCTGAAATATAGGTCAATCAAAGGGTAGTTTTTCCAGTCAGGATCTTCTATCTCCTATGCTCATGAACCATAAAATAAACACAACAAAACAACCTCACCAGATTTGGTCTGTAGTACAAGTGTACCATTTGACTTCCTGCCAGGCAAGTTGCTAAACTGACTGCAAAGAAAGTTAAATATCCAGGCCAAGATACCCCAGCAGGCATCCTCAAAAATTATATTTCTACACTCTGCTGTTTATTTGTGTTTTCTTGTTCTTGTTTTCTTCTTTCTAGACGTCTTTCTGATTCTTTTCTGACATAAACTTCATCTGTGGGACATACAAGTAAGAGGTTTGATCTTCATTTGTCTACTTTTTGGTTAATGTTTTCACTCTCAAGATCTCATTAGTAATTCTCCTTACTGTCTGGTACACAATTCTTGTGATGTGAGCTTGGAGAACTTGGTATTAGATCTGTTAAAAATCGCCACTTAATATTTTGATATATCCTCATCACTTTTCTGGTTAATATTGTATTGATATTGTAAGGAGAAACTCTGTTTTGGTCACTCATGGGAGTTAAAAGGTTAGCAATATTTTTAACAGAACTAATGGTTTCCATCTATTATTTTGCTTCAGCTGAATCATTTTATACCAAATCTCTCTCTAAGATAATTTAAAATGAAAGGAAACACTTAAAGGTGAAAGATTTTTGTGACATTTTGTGACTACGAAAGGAAAAATCTGCAAGCGATCCGCACACGGCAAACAAAGCCTTACCATTCAAAGTGGACGTGAATAGTTCATATGGAAACTTATGCGACAAAAATGACCCACTTAAAGTAAAATTTGTTCGTACTGTTGATAAGGCATTGATTAATAAAAAGAAGACAGTACTTTTACCAGATCAACGTACACGATTAATAGTTAAGCTCACTTACAAAAAGTTTCCTTTCCGATGCGAACCTTTATCATAAATAGCTCAATTCCAGCTCCAGCAATGAAAAACAGCGGCAAGAATCTATAGACACCGAGGCGCCGTTTAATTGTTCTTATCTTTTCTTGAAACATGGAATTCTCAAAGGTGAAAAAGCCTGCTACAGTTCTATACAGGCAACCATGTTGAAAGTCACCATATTTAAATTGCCAAATGCCTTTGACTTTTTACCGCTGGTCTCTTTACTACGGGCGCATAACTTTCTTGTAAACAGAAAGAACGATAAGCTTTTGGGTTTGGTGAGTGTGCACGTTTGCCCTGGTTCAGGACTAAAACTTAACGCGATCACGGATAACAGGATGCAGAATCAAGAGGAATCTCTTCGTTACAGCCCATACTTGTGAGTAGTATTCATATTTCTGCCCTAACCCTGCACCAAAAAAAAGCTTTCAGAAAAGAAAATTCAGCTGTTATTATACACTTTAATGAATTAAGCATTTTAACCAATTGTAATTTTTTTTGTTTTGCAGCACAAAAAAATCAGGAGCTTGTGATGAAGCTAAAGAAACAAATAATTTGAAATACGAAGGCAAAAGCACCGGGAAAAGTCCTAAAAAGCCAAGACGTCCACTGAAAAGATTTGGAGAAATGTCTGAAGAAGATGTGTTGAAACTAAAGCTTCCAGAACATTTAGACTACAACCTAGATATTCTGTTTGTAAGCATATTGATGTATCTTATATGGCAGTCTGGAACTTCAGAAAAAAAAGAGTGGATCAGAAACATTTTCATTAACCACGAGAGGGTCTCTGACATCAATTTTCCTGGACTAGTGTTAGATTTAGAGAATTAATGGGACGTTTTATTTCAGATAGTGGTTGCTAGATTGATAAAACTCAATAAGTAATATGTGCATCTCTTTTGGACAAATTTATCGCTCCTTTCTCTTACAGGTTGGAATAAATCCAGGCTTGATGGCAGCCTACAAGGGACACCACTATGCGGGAGCAAATAATCACTTCTGTGGGTAAATTATTTATTTGCTCACATTTAATGTATCCATTTTCAGAAATTCATCACTAGTTAATTTAAATAAATATAAAAGTTACACTGAGGCTGAATTCTAAGACTCCCATAAATGGTTCATATTTCTAGGAGATGAATTAGCCCCAGTCCTTTATGCTGCTCCTGGCTTGCTCTTGGCTGACATTTGGTTGTCAGATGATCATTTCGTTTTGTTGATTTGATCATTCGGGTTGCTTCTTTACTTTGCTTCCGACTCCCTGTCCTGGGACTCTCCATAAGTGCCAAGAGAAAATTAATTTTAACCTCCCTGTACCATACCAACCCTTGAAGTGCACTAAACTCTCTTTAAAATTTAGGAAAGTGTTTTTCCCTTAATAAAATAAATGTAGATGAAATAAAGGAGCATCAAGAGATGATGTTAAGAAAATGAAAAGCAGTACCATGAAGTACAAATGTTTATTTTGTAGGGCCTTGTTTATATGAATCAGGACTGGTTCCTGAGAGGCTGACGTACCTGGATGATGTAAGATGTCCATCATATGGAATAGGATTAACAAACATGGTGGAGCGAACAACAAGAGGAAGTGCTGACCTTTCCAGGTGAACAAAGCTTGATTGATGAGTGAATGGTTAATAGGTCTTGTTTACAGTATACTGATTGTAATAGACAATCCTTTTTCATTTAGCAGTACTTGTTTCACCCTAACATCTGTATGCATATTCTCCATACTGTTCTCTATACTTTTCATAAGGTGTTGACAAAGAGAATTTGTTTGACAATCAAGAGTTTCTTTAGTTGGTGATCATTTCCTTTATTGTGGTAACTTAAATGTTTGATTAAGGGATTCAGTGTGGAATTACACACTAGTCACTTTAGGGGTCTTAGAGTTGAGAAATATTTTGGGCAAAATTAAATCCTGAAACTTTCCTTAAAAAGTGATAAAATGTTAGAATTACACAGCTCTAAAACAAATGCATTCCCATTCTTTTAATTCCTTCACCTACAGAGAAATAAGTTTTGCTTCAGACCCTCATCAAAATATGAAAAAAATATAATTGTTTTCACACCAAGAAATTATTTACTTCATTTTTTCATGTGGATTTCTACATGAACCTCTGTTACGGTCACATGAGATAATCCACAGAAATATTCATTGCTGTCAAATATTCAATGAATTGCGTTGTTTCACAGACAGGAAATGAGAGATGGTAAAGATGAGCTCATACGGAAAGTGGAGCTGTACAAACCATTGATAGTCTGTTTTAATGGAAAAGGTTGGTACATCAATGGCAGTAAAGAAGGCAATCTCTGCATGGAACTCCTTCATCTGTTCAAGAGTCTTGGTGTAAACTTTTAGGAATTATCCGTGTTAAAAAGTTAGTTCAGGACCCAGTTGTTTGAAGGCCAATTGGCACTAACCCAAGGTTTAATTTTCATCTTCATTTCTTTATTTCTTTGTTCTAAAGCCTTTTTCTGGGATAATTTTCTCCATTATTTTTAGAGCATCCAGTCTTCGAATTGTATGCAAAAAGAGTTACTGGTATACTGAATTTCTCTTAAAGCTTTCTTATCTGAAATTATGATTCACACTAACCCTAGGTTATCTTAACCCAGCTTTGAACAAACCTGCCTTGTAGAAAATGGATAGGCAGTGTTTCAAAACTGAGGAAAAAGTGGGCTGTCTTTAGTGGATAGGTAGGCAATTCCAAGAACTTTAATTAATTTGATTTATTTTTCTACATTCCTTCAGTTATATACGAGTTATTTTCTGGATCCAAGTGTACAGTTGGTCGACAAAAAGATCCTATACCAGGAACCAATACAGTGAGTTTGTTTCTGATTTTGTCTCATCTTCATATTAACCCCAAAGGCCTTCCTTAGAGTTTTGTAAATTGACTGGTCTGCATGCAATAAGGAAGTGTCGGGGGTGACCTTTAACATATTTTAAATAAATGTTGTCTTCTACCTTATGGAGTACTTCAGATTATTAATTTGTCTTAGATCCAGTGTGGTTGTGATTAGCTCAAAAATAGATGTGGTCTTGCTGAAGTTTTGAAAGTTCTTGGGCAAACTTTGGGATCACTGTCAGTAGCTGAGTAACTGTACACCTACCTCTTCCCTAACCCTACAACAGTCCAGAGTTACCATGGTTTTCAAATGTCTGCACGGGCTAGCTCCTGAATATCTTAATTCTAAGTTTAGATGGCGTAACTCTGCTTATGACCTCAGGGACTCTGAAAATAAACTCAATGTTCCTCTACCTCGCACTAACTATTATCGAAAAAGTTTTAGCTATAGTGGAGCCACAGAGTCTCTGGGGTTATTTAAACGCAAGATCAATGCCACTCTATAACGCACGGCATTCACGGAAAACAGCTTTTAGTTATTAGTTAGTGTTTTAATTTTTAAATAGTTTTAGTTAATGTAATTGCTGATGAATTGTTTCGTGCTTAAATAAAGATTATACATTATACATTATACATATACATTATACACTGGGTTAGGGGAGGGGTAGGTGAGCAGTTGCTCAGATACTGACATCAATCCGAACTTTGTACCTGGTTTTTGAAAATGATTACAAAAATAATCAGTAGCTAATTGGTATCTGATGATGGCAATTTCATTGGCCAAAGACTATAAACATAGTTGATAAGGTTTCAAGCTGCTAAAAGGGAAACATCGCTGAAAAGGTCCTTGTTTCCTTCGTCTTCATAACTCCCCATGGCATTTCACATGAATTGTGTGGGTAACTCATGTGATACAAGGGCCATCCTGAGTAGTGCTATAGAACAACTTTTCAACTTTACTTATTGTCTTGTTTTAATTCTTGTCATCTGAAGGTCGTGTATGTGATGCCTTCCACATCTGGTAGAACACAAACATATCCTCGGGCCAGTGACAAAGTTCCCTTTTTCTTGGAGCTCAAAGCTCTTCGTGAAGAAGTGAAACAGAAGTCTGCGGATACGTCTTGTTCAGATGGACAGCAAAAATATTGAGGAAAATTTTATATTACATTTATTTTTTTCCGGGCGGGGGAATGGGGCATTTAGGTAATTTTATTTTGAACAAATGTCTGAGAACATTAGTCATTCGGGTAACCGGTCGAGTCGTCCAAAATTTATCTCACCAGAAGTCGTGTCCCCGAAACTAGATTCATGTAACTTAAAATTTTTAGTCATGTCGCCCGAAATATGAAGTCCTGTAGCCCGAAGAAACAATTAATTTTAAGATCAGACTTATAGACTGTTAGACGTTACCTGTTCAGTGTAGTAATAATCTCAAAATCACCGATCGCTGTTTGCTTTTGTCTCATTACGTATTCAAAATCACTCCGGTTATCACAATTTATCTGTTGTAAACAAATAAGTGTAAAAGTCATTTTAGTTTCAAGGTTTGTTACAAGTTTCAGTCGTTTCAAATTTTCCGATTTATCTTTATTAAAATTATTTCCTTACATTTTTAAACATAAAAAGCGATGCCAGCATGGAATTCTATTTATAGTCAAAACTATTTATAGTAAATTTTCTTATTTCAAATTTATGATAACACATGTAAGGTCTTGTGATACCAAATAACCAAAAATCTGCAGTGTATAACATCAGGAGTTTCAATAAAACCCGGTTACCGGCGGTCTACCGCTGGCCGTAATACCTCTTACCGCCGTCTGTTTAAGCCCTGAGCAGGCTCTCGCGTTTGGATTTCACCTCGTGATCACGGCCCTCTTCCGAGCACAGTAACCTACAGTATTGTGCCATCGGCCCCCGCTTACGGAAAAAGTTATTGGAAGCCTTGTCTAAGATAACGGATTCGCTCTGACGAAGGGCTAACGCCCGAAATGTTAGCTTTAGAAACTCTTTGCGGTGGCTAATTTACATTATCAAATCAATTGATAAAACAAATTTCTCTTGTTATACTCCTTCACCGAACTTATTGCCTCTACACTGAATTTGTGTCGACCACTCATTTGTTTCGATAGAAACACTTCTTCTTTCAAGTAAACTCTTCAGACTAAGTCGCCCAGGAGGTTTTTATAAAACAGTCAAATGGCGCACCTATGTGTTCAGCGAGATGCTAGCCGTCCACTAAGCACGTCGTAAATAAAAGAATGTAACAGTGACGTGCATATCCGACCTAAGCAGATTGGAACAAATTTGTGATAAAAAATTTTATTACCAAGGAACGAAAAGGGTTCCTATATTCTAATTTGCTACCCCGCTCAAACGAATATAAAGCATTTACATGTAATAGGCAACCGTATTTGGGGTGTGTCAACACGAGCCGTGTGCGACCCTTTTTGTTATGTCTTGCAAGCAAAATTACAGAAACTCTGAAAGGCTCAAAATATAACATTCAAACAACTAATAATACAAAAAACGCACTAACTCACGCAAATTCTTTGTAAATATGTATGTGAAAAACTGACAGCAAAATTACAGAAACTCTGAGAGGTTCAAAATACAGCAAGCAAACGACTGTTAGTACAGTAAACGCACTGAGTCTTACGCATGCTCTTTGTAAATATGTATATGAAAAACTGACAGCCCCCACTCATTGGTTATTTAATTTTGAGGGTGCAGAGACGTTCGTATGACGTGAATGAATACGAACGAAAGCATCGCAGTACATATACCAGCTCTCTGCAGATCTGCTATTGAAGCAATTGTAACGACATACGATGCAACACTCCACATAATAGGTAACGTAACCCATGATAACTTCATTTGCAATCGTTTTATCGGTACAATCAAGATTACGAGCAGGCGCCATATTGCACGAATTTATTGCGCGACTAGTTGTGCGAAATGCTTAAAAATACAGGCGAATTATTTCTTAGTTTAAGCATCAACACACAAAACAGCAAAAAAAAAATTCACAAGTAATGACGCTATTTTCCAAACTTGAAACATGCTCGCGCTGCAGTCCATGCGCATGCAGTATTGTGAGGCAAGTCCTCAGTGACATCATATACGCAAATCTTCATTTCCAAAGCTGTGAAGACGCGGAAGACTGTGCGGAATCTTGACAAAAAATTTGTGAAAGTTCTCGCATCAGGTAAACAAGATTGATTTTATATAGTTATGATGGTTGTTATTTGTAAACAAATGACCTTTCTCTCTGGTTAAAATTCAAAATCCGTCGCTCTTAGTGATGGCGCGTTCCGCTTTTGTTTTCTATTTGACGACTCCAACGTTTTCCGGAAAAAAGTTTATGTCACGTTTACTCTTTATTAAAGGTATAAGGCTTTTTCTTCCTTTTTTCCTACTTGTTAGATACAAGTGTATATCTAGTTTTTATGAAAATGTGGTCCAAACCAGTTGGTCAGGATGATATGACCATGTTGAGAGATGTTTCAGATGAAGCTGTCGCTGAAAACCTAAAACATCGCTTAAATGCTGGAATTATTTACGTAAGTATTCAATTCAACATTTTACTTACGAGGTGCTTTTCTTGATTCGCGTTTCTCTTTACTGGGAAAAAAGGTGTTTCAACGTACTATTCTTTTCAAAACATTCAAAACCTTAAACACACCAGTCGATTAAAAATGAATTTGTATTTTTCTTGAGGATTTCGCGAATGCGGCTAGAGGCAAGAAAATGTTGATGACATTCTCTTGCCAGAGGTATGTTTACTGTCTACAACGGCGCCAAACCGGCGTTAAGTTCCAGACCACGCAAGTTTTTATTTTCCCGCGTTGTTGCTTTGCAGAGGACGGCTGGAAAATGTACAAAGTTATAGCGACGCTTTCGTTGTCTTTGCTGTATTGGATAGCTTAATGTCACTGTTAAAACTTTAACACATTATAGGGGGGAATTTGTTTTTCAGACATACATTGGTCGAGTGTTGATTGCCGTCAATCCATACAAAGCCCTGGATATTTATGGCGCAGACACTCTTGAAGTTTATTGTAAAGATGGAAGTAAAGTTGATGAGCTTGAGTGTGAAATGAGAGGAATCACTGTACCTCTTCATAGAGATCGAGTATCACGCTGCTCCACAGCTAAGCTGCCAGCTTTTGAGCCTCACACAAAATATTTAGAAAATCTTAATACACACAAGGTAAAAAGGCATCCATGTATTGAAACTTTAATCGATACAAATTAAGGATTTCACCATTTTTAGCTTCTAATTAAATCAAGAATCACGATCATATTACTTAAATTCTTTCCATTGGCTTGCAATAAATTACCGTATTATCTTTAAAATTTTACCCAAAACTTACGAGGCTCTTAAAAGTTTGGCACCTTCGTATATACGCGATACTCTTACACCTTCCACCTTTTGCTTAAAAAAAAGGAAGGTGCAAGATCCTTTTCCGAGGCAGCCCCAACACCGTGGAATGCTTTGCCATATAACGTCAGAAACAGTTCGTCACTGTGTACTTTTAAAAGTGGACTTAAAACGCTTCTTTTCAAAAAAGCATTTTAAACGTTTTTTTCAGTTTTTACATCTTTTTAATATTGAAAAGCACTTTGAACATTCGGATACCGGCGCTAAATATATATCTTTACCATCGTCATGATAATTTATAGATTATTTTAGTTTATTTTTGACTAAGCAGGAAGATAGCTAATTGTTATCGCTCTTTTTTTTTGTTTACAGGGACCTAAGCCTCCTCATATTTACGGACTGACAACTGATATGTATCACAATATGATGATAGAGAAAGAAAACCAATGTGTCATAATAAGGTGTGAGGGTTGATAAATGAATAACTATAGCTCAGTTTTAGGAATTATTCCTGGAGAATTCGCTTGTTATAAGAATGGGACAGAGTTAGTATGATCCTGATAAGGATACGAAGCACAGACCTACTACAGACTGTCAACACAGGTCTGGCCAATCAGCCTGTATATTGTGAGAGAATGAAATAATTTCAGTTTAAATTTTCGTTTTTTCAGTTTAAAGACTAATGTAAGTTGTGCCAGATGATAAAGTTTGAACCAGCTAACCATGATCAAGCTCAGAGCGGTACAATCTTTTTTCATGTGATAGGATTTTGAGTTTGACCAACAGGCTCAGTTGGTCAAAGGGCGGATAAATCTATCCAACGAACAAATCCATCGGATAGTGATTTATCCAATGGATAGCGTTATCCACTCTTTGAACAACCGTGGTCAGTACAGACACTACATCTGATTACTGCGTTCATATCGTGTCGCCGACCACTTTATCACTTATTTGTCGTTTGGGAAGAGAAGGCTCATTCTCCTTTAACTTCAACATGGTTTGTCGACTTCTCAAATTGCAGCGGTGAAAGTGGAGCTGGTAAGACTACATCTGCACGGCACATACTCAGTTGTATCAAAAAAGTTTCTGGCCGAGGATCCGATAGAATACAGGTAAATATGCCTCGCTCTGTGAGTACTGATTATTTTCTTTTTCCCCTCTAAGTAATCACAGATACTAAAGAACTTGTTTTATTTGTTTCCTGTTCAGCATATTAAGGACATTATAGCTCAATCTCAAGTTGTACTGGAAGCGTTTGGGAATGCAAAAACCATAAGGAACAATAACTCAAGTAGATTTGTAAGTTAATTTTGTACTCTCAAAAAAAGACAGAGACAGGAATGACGCAAAAAAAAATTAGATTGTTTCCTCAATTGACAGGGAAAATACCTTGAGATACAGTTCAACCAGAACGGGCAACCAAATGGAGGAAAAATCTACAAATTTTTGCTAGAAAAGGTCAGCTATCCACTAATCACTAGTTCTGTTTACCATTATGTGTGTGTTGCTCTTAAAAGTTATCAGACTTATTTTTTTTCTTTGTTGCAATTACTTTTACATTAATTTTCAGTGTCGTGTAACTCACTTGACACAAGGCGAACGTAACTTCCACGTGTTTTACCAGCTGTTGTCCGGCTGTACGAGCAAGGAAAAAGGTAACTAAACTTTCGTTTTTATAGACATTTTAAATGCTGCTTTACACCGATGCATTTCCGTAAGTATGGGAAAATAGCTAGAAATCTTCTCGATTGAGTGTCGTAAAAAACAAAATTAAAGAAACCACAAAGGCCGATCAGAAGAATGGAGAATACATGTACCTTGAAGAGCTAATGAGAACATAAAGTAGAAACAACCAAACTGCCTGAAACGCGGGAAAATGCGAGCGATCAAGTCATATTTGGTTCTAGTTTTGCATCTGATTGGTTGAGAGAGTAGCTGGAGTTTTTCTGACCAATCACAGAGCGAAGTTAAGCAAGAGTACAATGATGTTAAGTTAATTTTTGTTTTTCAGATCAGTATGGCCTTCAAGGAAACGCGGAGAATTTTTTCTATTTAAATCAAAGTGAAGTGTACACTACTGACAATAAAGATGACAAGAACGACTTTTTAGCAACAAGGGTGCGTTGATAAGAAAGTTCTACATACTTTGTGAAGGATAGCGCAACTGTTTTTAGATTTTCTATGTGGTAAAAACAGGCTAAAACACGGCTTACGCCCGAACGGACTTTTTTTGATTAAATAATGTTTACGATAAGATGAAGCCAAATTGATATGGGAGACTCAATTGAAATGATAGAGGAACACTACACTGAATACGTGACTCACTATTTTATTTCAGACTGCACTGGACGTGATCGGCGTAGACACTGCGAAGCAACAGATAATCTTCAAAGTGTTGTCCGCTATCCTAACTCTTGGTAACATTGAGTTTAAAGAAACTGAAAATGTGGCCTGTCCAACTAAACAGAACTGTAAGAATTTTATTTTCATCTCGTGAAACCAATCTCTTGCGTAAAATTTATCTCATCTAAGACATAACTCTTGTCAATCATCGCAGAGCGTCGTTAAGGTTACAAATTACAGTTAAGTTCAAGTGTTACTTAATTTCCCCTTTGTCTTCCGTAGCTATCACTATGAGTGACCTGCGCATTACAGTCATTAAACAAGTGCTTTCTGTCTTCTGCCTTAAGATCGTGATACTCAACGTAAAATGTTGATTAGCACAATAAAAGCAAGAACTTCGATTTTACATTTCCGTTAACAATCCTGTATATCAAAATGGTAGTTTGGATTTCTGTTGTTCTTCGTGACTTTTAGAGACACAAACTTTACCTTCAGACTCCGTTGATTTAACTTTTCCATAGTTTGCTATAAAACTGACATGTTCTGCTTCTATTTCGTTGTATACATCAGTGCTTGAAAGCCTCTCTCAAATACTCGGAATTAATAGAGAGAGCTTAGAGGAGAAACTAGTGAGGTAAGAAAATAAGAAAAAGCTAAGAAAAGTAAGGTTGTACCCATATTATGTTAAGAAGTTGGCACTTGAGGTTGAAATGACCCGAAGAGATTATTTTTTTGAGAATTTTTTTTTTTTTAAATTAAAAATAGTGTCTTCGTGGAAACTCGCCGCGGCGGAAGAGTTGAAATAACAAAGAAAACCAACAACAAATGTCAGGTGGGTATCATTGAATCCCATTATTTTGTTTCTGTCCTTTTTTTTTTTGTAATATGTTTCATATCTTTATACATCCACAGGCAGTGGCTGCCCGCGATACCCTGTCTAAAGCCTTATACTCACATTTGTTTGATTACCTCGTCAAGGTTCGTAACACTTATGTACTCTAGCTATTCGTTCCGTCCGTCCGTTCGTTCGTACTTCCTTACTTTTTTCTTTCAATCGTTTCGCTTAATTAATCATACTAACTTCGAGAACAGGTTATCAATGGTGCCCTAAAGAAAGATAATGACTATTTATCCATCGGAATACTGGACATTTATGGATTTGAATCTTTCAAAGTGAGTATACCTCTTCTTTCCGTCTGTCGCTCTGCCATGCCCAGTCGAAGTAACTTTTTCGTGTTCGTACTTTTTGTGCAAAAAGTAAGTAAGGTCTGTACTCAAGCCAAGTAGCCCACCTCCCCCCCCCCTCCAAAAGCCGGAGTTTATCTCAGCTTCCCTAGCATGAAGGGACTTGGAGTATCACTTCTCCTTTTGGATGAGATGGTAGTCCATCCTAAGGTGTTACCCCGCAGCATGTCATCAGACTCCCTGGCAAATTGCCTGCACCCATTTATACTCCTGTGTTGAAATAGGCCCTGTGAGAGTGAAGTGTTTTGATAAAGAACCTATCACAATTACCCAGCCAGGTCTCGAACCCGGACCTCTCGACTCGAGAGGTCCTGCACACCAACTATAAGACCACTGGGCTTCCCACGTTACTTTTGTGTAAAATGCGTTTTTGACTCATTACCAGGAAAATAGCTTTGAACAGTTCGCCATCAACTACGTGGACGAGAAACTTCAACAAGTTTTTGTGGAACTTACATTTACAATTGAACAGGTAATGAACGAATTCTTTCTAAATTGGAATTTGCTTTACAAATCAAGTGTCACCAGTTTAACATGGTTGTCATTTGAAGGAATGAAAACAGTTCAGTTGTACAGTGTCACTTATGAATAGCTAACCTTTATCTTATCAGGAAGAATATATCAGAGAAGGTATTGCCTGGAAAACCGTAAATTACTTCAATAATAAGATAGTCTGCGACCTCATCGAAAGCAAGGTATGCTACATTTGTTTTGTAACGTATTGTCTTTCTCAAGATCTGCCTCTAAATGTTGAGCATCGGTCATCAGATAATGTTTCGTGTCCAAGTTGCATGTATAAGACGTTTTCTTCTCCCATAGCGCCCTTCGGGAATCATGTCAGCCTTGGATGAAGCATGTTGCCCAGTGAAAAGCAAAAAAGAAGGATCTGAGAGGACTTTTGAACAGGTTAAACAGAAATTAACTAATTTTGATTTATATCAATTACTACTTGAAATCTATATTTGTTGTTCGAGTGGGTTCTATTATTCCTTACTATTATATATATTTATATATTTATATATCTATATATTTATTATTACTTACTCTTCTGCCTTGCATTTGTTTTTTTTGAATAATTTTTCTCGTCAGAAAATGAGGGAGATCGTTGGTTCCAATAAAGCGCATCAGGAATTACTTCAAGTTCACCATGACTACTTTACAGTGAAACACTTTGCAGGGAGTGTAAGTTTGTAAAGCACTTGTAATTCATGATCACCTCACGAAATTGTGTCGTTAAAAAAAAGTAGTCAATCTCTGTATGAGTGCTGAGTCATGGAATGTTTTCTCATTTGAAATAGGTTGATTACGAATTCGGTGGCTTTCGCGAGAGAAACAAAGACGAGCTGTCAAATGATCTAATATCTTTGATGCAGTCAAGTGAAAAGTATGAATACTAGTAATCGTTACGCTATTTGTTATTTGACTGTTAACTTAACAGCGACCGACCTCTACCTTTAATTTTTAAACAATGTTATTTACACCAATGAATCATAAAAGAAAGCTATCGAACGTTGCAAGCACAGTGAATTCATTCTGAAATTATGGACTGCAGGCTTCATGATACTTTAAATTTTTTCTTTAATTCACGGCATCTGAAATTAAACTTACATTGTGAGTTCGCGGGCTCAAGATTAGTTCACTTAAAAGTGAGTGCCTATCGAATTACCAAAAAAAAAAGATTAATAAAAAGGATGGAACCTTCAAAATTATGACTCATGATTGATTTCATTAATGCATTCTGTATTATACTCACGGAAATGGAATGTCGGAAATGTACCTTGTTTTTTCAGTCGTTTGTTTGTTTGTTTGTTTGCTTTTCGTTTTGCAGTTCATTTGTCAGAGACTTGTTTCCTGAAACAGTTTATGGCGTAGGGCAAGGAGGACATAAAACAAACACTGGCTCTGCTAAGATAAAGGTCAGCAAGCAAAACCAATCTAGACCTATATATAAACCGTTATTTTTTTCCTGTCGGTCAATTTCTTTCTAGTTATTCTTCCACAATTTCAGCTGTGAGATACCATCGTCTGAGATATTACTCTTTCAACGTTGCTGAACATTAATTTTGCCCACAAAATTGTTGATCCCATAATTTGCCAGGTAGCTTAATTACAATTTCTGCAGCATTGATTTGTTTCTAGTTTCCATTTCTTACTCTCTATCCGAAACTTGTCTCCAATCCCAAAATAGAAAATCATTTTTTGTTTCATTTACAGTTTCAGACAAACGGTGTGATTGGCAAGATCATGGCATGTAGTCCACATTACGTCAGATGTATCAAAACATCGGAACAGAAAACTCCACTGGCCTGGAACCAACAAAGGTACACGACATACATATATCTTATTGAACGTTTTGGTATGTGGTATCCCTGGGTATTTTTACGAGTTGTGCCGTATTTTGACGAGCCCGTAGCCCGTAGAGTCTTTCAGTTCATTTCTCATTAGGCGGTAAAAGCAAAGCGGATAGAGAAACGTAGTGTGTGCAGCTGACTGGTTAAAAGGTTTTTTTGGAGTACAAAATAACCAACTGTCCAAATAACAGTAAAATATCGCAGGATATTTGTACTTTATTCACGCGTTGTTTGTACTCTTCTTTGTGCAGTTTGATAACAATCACCGTTGTTCTACTGCTAAACTAAAATGCTAAACTTGCCAGAGAAACAGCGTCTAAAAAAGTGCTTAGACCGCACTCATTTCATTGAACGAGCGGTTTTTATGCTTATCAAGCGCGTGATAGAAAGACTTCGGTAAATTGGGTGCTCACGAGAAAATGTAACGTTAGAAAGTTGCTTAACTGTTACAGTCAGTTAGTCTTTCTAAACCAGTCATAATATTTTTCTTTTAGGGTTATTAATCAGATACGTTATCTTGGACTCAAAGAGAGCATTGTCATCAGAAAAACAGGATTTGCAATCCGCAGAAATTTTGAATGTATCTTAAGAAGGTAACCAAAAAGGGAAATATATGTCAGTGGTTCAAAGGGAGGATAACGACATCCTATTGACAAATCGCTATCCAGCGGATAAGTGTTCATAAAACGTACTGTACTATCCGCCGCATGGAGATTTATCCTCTGGATAGTGTTATATACCCTTCGAACAACCGGGCCAGGTTGTTAAGATTCAATAGTATTACGGGCACCCGACTCGAAAAAGGTATAATCATCTTTTCAAGTGCAATCAAAGTTGTACAAATGGAGAAATATTCTCTCAATAAACATCCACACGATGTTGTCACCATTGTAAAACTTTATCTAACTCAGTTCTTTCTTTAACTGTGCAAACATAACAGGTTTGGAATAATTGCTCCAGAAACCAAACATGGCTGGTCAGGTGACCGTGCTGAAGCTTGTCGCTTTATACTTAAAGCCGCTGGATTTGATTCTGGAAAATGGATAATTGGAAAAACAAAGTTATTTCTTAAAGAACCTGATGCGGTAAGAACACGGCTGGTGCGCCTTAAAGAGATTTTCAATTGAGTTTCGAAAGTGATCCGAGGTTGCTTTGGTTTGGGCTTGTACTTCGCTCTGTGATTGGTCCCTAAAACTCGTGCCACTTTCTCAACCAATCAAATGCAAAACTAAAACCAGCCAGGACTTGGTCGCCCGCGTTTTCCCGCGCTTTAGGCTTACTTTGAGTTCTAATTGGCTCTTTTTTAAAGGTATTTTCCTTTCTCCTGATTGGCCGTTGTGATAACCTTGGTTTTGGTTTTCGAATCTTAATCTAAAAGCGCTCTATTCCCATCAAGTAAATTACTTTTATTTTTTTAATTTCAATTGTTTTGGATACGTATTGCAGTGGTATCGACATAACCGACTGATTGATGTAAATAGGTGGTTATTGATCCTTATGGGCAGAACATTAATACAAATTATGAGCTCCACTATAGAGTTAATTGTTGATCTTTGATGATTAGCTTCATGATCTAGAGAACATAAAGAATAAACGCATCAACGAAGCTTGTGTCGCGATCCAAAGTAATTACCGACGTCACAGTCTGAAGAAACAGTACAACGAAAAGAAACAAGGTACGGCTTTCAATAGAATTTCGGTTGTTACTTTGACTTATGCCGTCTGATGAAGAATACTCGTGAAATACGAAGGCCTCCGTTATTGATTGTGACATTCTAAACATAATCCATTATATTTAGTTGATACCCTCGTAATTTGTCGAAAACATTGAACACAAGAGGTGGATGTCTAAAATATCGTATAGTTTTCACATACCATACTTTTGGTCCATAAGCTTCCGCCCGAATTTGTTATTTCTTATTTTATTAATTTTCTACAGATTTTAAAATATTTCGTCATACAGTCTTTCGACTATAAAGACATAATTATGTGTTTTCCAACTAAGGCGAGCCGTGGTTACCCTTTAACTTTTAAAAGGGATTAACATGCAACGTCTCCCTAGGGTGTCCTTGAATTATCCAGCAAACAGGCAATGAGAATACTCAAACTTATCAAATAGAAGTTGTTATTCTGATCTAACACCAAATTCTCGTAACTCGTGTTTAAAAAGGGAATGTGTAGCAGCTATTGGGGAGAATTTACAATCAGATCTTGGGATTCAAAGAGTTTCAACTCTTTAAAAGTACTGAACGAAAGATCGGTTATTTGAACGTTCATTAGAATGCATATATAAGCACAGGGAAAGCAGGTATGTGATGAGACCTTTCACCTTACGTAGCTCAAATAATTGTGCAAATGAACTGATGTCTACAAGTGAGTAAAGGGGGTAAGTTTCTAAAGAAACTATGGTGCTACGTCGGTGGGGGAGTATAACAAGTAATTTAGTGTTAACAACTGAGTTTAAACGTAAATTGGCCACCGCAAAGAGTTAAAAAGCTGACGTTTCGAACATTACCCTTCGATTCAATCGCTCTGACGAAGGGCTAACTCTCGAAACGTCAGCCTTTTAACACTTTATGATGGCCAATTTACGTTTTCAACTCAGTTGTTAACAATACATGACCTGATGTCTACAAGTCAGTACAAGTATTCACAGCATGTCACTTACTCTTGGTTCATTCCTTTTCCAGCCGCTGTTTTAATTCAAAGACGTTATCGCGCTTATCGACTCAAAGTAGGTAGGTTGCTTGCAGCTAAGCTGAGGGAGCCTTTCTTTTTTCAAATTCACATCTTGTTGAGACACCTCATTGTTAACCACTTGTCTCCGAACCACCGACAAGGAACCGATTCTTGGCTAAATGAATTTCCCACATGCTAAGATTGTAAAATTTTAATTTAGTTTAAGCGTTTAGAAACGCATCTCAAGTAAACGACAGGGTGCATTGCACGTATCAACAGATAAATTTTAAATACACTTCATCTATTTTTTGATGGCATGGTCATTTAAAATTATTGGCACGAGCTTAGCGATATAAAGACAACGTTGATACTTAAATTCGCCTTTTTCATTTTTAATTGCAGCCTCAGAATTCCGAAGAAACTCATTTGCCTCAGGAATGGAGTGGAAACCTCAGAATTGGGATATACTAGCAGAAATGTTTCAATCCACAAATGAATTTAAAAATGAAAGAAAATCAAATTCTGGATCTTTTACAATATTAATGAAAACGATATTTGGACCATCAGGAGGCGGTGTACACTGCAAAGGAATATGGCTTGAACTTTCGGAGCGATCATTAACAACAGCCACAAAAGAAGTTTGCCTCCATATCTGCAATTGCAAAGAGGAATTTGCACCCCTGAAAACTGGAGAACACTTCATAAGTGAGCTTGTGGCCTTAGGACCAAACAAAGATCCATTGAGAGCTCCCGCAAAATTGTGCCTTCCTCTTTATGATGATATGTGTGCAGATCAGGAATTGCTGCTACGATGGTCACCAACTCAAGTCGGTGAAGGGGCACAATGGAAGGACGTGTTTCCAGGAACTTTAAAAGGAAAATTTGCCGGACCCACCGTAATACTGCAGATTGTTAATACTAAACAAGTCAAAGTAACTACAAATACGTTTGGTTTATTTTGTATTATTTCTCGAGAACCGTCAAAAATAGATAGTCATCAGAATCATGATGAAGGTGAAGCAAGGAGGGGAAGTCTTCTTTCTCAAGGAATATCTGGTTTTATCAAACTAGTGGGTCAAAAGTTTAGGAATGAAAAGGAAGAATGGTTTGAACAAGATCAGGAAAGATCTGAACAAATTGCTTTGATAAGGTAGCGTAAGCACAATAAACGAATGGTATGGTCTGCATTGTGTGAAATCATGTTTCTAGATTTCAAGTTATCTAAGGATAAAATACTTAAATTTTTAACTCCGAATATTGCATTTCCAGTGTTCTGATTGGTTCATCCAACTCCGGTTAACAGGTCATATTCCGAGTCAACTTAAATGGGAATGCATTGCACCAATTGTTGCGGAGCTAAAAAAAGCTGCAAACGTTCAGGATTTAATGAAGTTTGATAAAACAATTAATTTATTCGCACTTGTTGGATACGAAACTAGTTACAGCCAACGAGTTGGCTATTTACCATCTCATATCCAACGCGCGCTCATGGAATAACTGTTAACTAACAATCCTTTGAACACGTCATCGAACTTTTGACAAAGGCCAGAGGTCAAATTATTTTAAATCAGCATCAACGTGGATTAGATTGGTTCGAATGTTTTGCAAAAGTCGTTTCATATTTCGCGTTACGTTAGACGCGCGTTCATTCAGTTTTACCTTAAAAGGCATTAGTCCTTTATAAATCCATATAGACGCTGCTACCCTCTCGTTTGGCCTTATTTCCTTTCTGCCCACCGAAATTCTATTCTTTTGCGAAAACATGTCCCTCATGAACGTGTTTCAGAAGCATTTGTTTATGGACAGGAAACTGCTCTCTGACTGGAAAGTGTTTACTTTGCCAAACATGAATAGTTTTTAAACCAGTTCTCGGTCAAAATTTCCTCCCTCGCGCCTCTTCGCTGGAAAGATCACCCACTTGCGCTGGTAAAGAGTTCCCCTTTATGAAATAGTTTCCCTACACAGTTTGAAAATTATTTTCGTTATTCGAGTTAAAAATATATAACTTTTTAGAAATAAGGTTGTGAGAAGGAAAGATTTTATTCATCTTTGATACGAAGAGCAGATTATTCCAGATGAGATTTTGAAGCTTGATTTCCGGTGAAAAGGAATACATTTTTCAACTCCTGTTCAAATCTTTACATAAAAGTTTTGCCTTACATTGTCAACGATCCATCTTTTTCTTGCGTGTTGCCAACTGAGTAGCCAGTGATTTATCTCCCTTTGAAGTTTTAGAAGATGGAGCCGAGACTGAAGAAGGTTTAGGAGGGGGAGGGGGAGGGGGAGGAGGAGGTGGCGCTGAGCCAGAGGAGGGAGGGTCCGGATTGGGCGGAGCTGGGGCGGAGGGGCCTGGGTTTGGAGGTGGGATAGAGGATACAGGGGACACAGGAGGCGGGGTCACAGCTGGATCAGCTGATGGAGATGTTGCACAGCTATCCTCAGTGTCAGAAACATGTGTTTGCGTGTCGCCTCTCTTAAACATGTTTCCTATTCGTTGAAGCAATGTAGGTGTATCATCCTCTCTTTGATGATTGGTGCTCGTGGAAGGTACATCATCTTTTATACTTGTTTGGTGTGCTTTGGGTTCCTCGGTAGCAATTATGCCAAATATTCCAAAATGTTTAGTGAACACCCTTGCCTTGCCCTCGCTAAATTCAAGAGCGATTTGACTCTCATCAGAGCGGTGTTTCTTGTCACAAACAAAGACGTCACTCCAGTTAGCTTTCTCTCCTGATTGTGTTGGGGTCCAACGAAGAAACTGTGCATGGCTCGCCTCAACGTTCTCTTCAATAGGTAGACAAAGCTCAGCAAACATACACAATGGCTTTCCAAGGGGGCTGAGTTCCACCACATGGCTGATAATCTTTTCCGCGTCGCTAAGAGGGGCAACTTGCTTTTTGTCTCTGCACAGCTGAATACAAACTTCTTTAGTTTCTGATGTCAAGGAGCCTTCTGGAAGGTCTACAAGTACTTCTTTGCATTTCACGCTTCCCCCTGACGGACCGAATATTGCTTTAGCCACAGCTGAGAAAGCGCTGGGATCTGGGACATTGACACCATATGTGGAACTCAGTTTCCGCTCGACTTTGTCAACGGACATACTAATGCTTGGAATTTTCTCAGTTTGCACTCCAGGAATTTCGACATCTTCAACTGAAGAACCTGTTGAATTTGATTCGGAAACTCAGTTCACACTAAAGGGGTAACATGACTGAAATGAATTATAATTGACTATCTGTGTTTTCACACGAAATGTTTGAATAGTTGAATGCATGGAATGTACCATACGTGGTCAAGCTATGCTAGTCAAATAACTTCAGGTTATTGGGAGTGGTGTCAACTGGGCAACCTATTTGTTTTTAGCGTTGGCGTTGACGAATAGATAACATTCTGCTATAATAATCAAAATGGTTTATGGCTAAATAGTAACGAGAAAGATTTAGCTTGCGTGCATTTTCTAAGCAAGTGTTAGATAGTGAGATAGTACGCATCTCAGAGGGGAATAGAGGACGAATTGGAGAGTCAACTTTTTTCATCTTATATAACAGGCTTTTCGAGGATAGAATGCGATGAATGATCTTATACTGGAACATTGAATTTTAGTTTCTTTCGAACTTATTTGAAGGTTATAAATGAAAAATCCACGACTTCATTCATACCTACATCAGCAGCAACAGTAAACGTCTTTTTAGACGGTGACGTTTTTAATTTCGATTCGCCTTTTTCTAAGAAACAAACATGGCGGACATCTCCTCCTTTTATGTGAAAATCAACCCTGCAAAACAAGTAGTACTGTTTCGTCAATGCAATGATCTATTAGCTTAATTTTCTTCGATTGTTTTGATCGGCGCCTAGATGTGTATATATATATATATATATATATTGAGCTCGGATAACGTAGATTCGTAGATATTCTCACAAAGAACACACGTATTTTTGTTGACTTGTTTCGTTGACTCCTTTTTAATCCTCTGTTACATGTTTTTTCTGAATTGCTGGGCTGAAGCAATCCAATTGAATGTAGTCAAAGAAGTTGATCGTTATCATGCGTCCAGATCAACTATTTGAGAATAATTAACCCTTTAACTCCCAGATCAACTGTTTCATTCTCCTTACTGTCAACCATGTAATTGTTATAATGTTAATTCAGAGAATTTAGTATTGGATCAACTAATTGTCCCCGAATTGATATTTTTCTTTATTCTCATCACTTATCTGGTTAATGTTGTATTGATATTGTAAGGAGAAATTCTGTCTTGGTCACTCATGGGAGTTAAAGGGTTAACATAATACATGTTATTAAGCAGAATACTGCGTCATTACCACAGATAAAGAGGTGTTTGGTATGCCTCGTAATAAACAATAGGGACCTTCGCAGTCAGGACGAAAATACTGAGGATACCGAGTGGAGTCCAATTCGGTCTGTAATGATACGAGTGATTGACAAAATCAGACGACCGCATAACTTTAGCATAACGTGTGTGAGCAGCGTTGAGTCCTAAATGGAACCTTAGATAATTTGCCGTCGAGGTTTCTGCTCTCAGACTATGCAAAGTTTGGTGATTTCACGAATTTGTTTTGCAGAGGACAACTAAGAAATGCACAAGGTTTTAAAATGCACGTGCTGAGTTATTATTATTCAGCACATTGGATCTCTTGTTTTACCGTGTCCTCGTTGCCGTCGTCGTTGGGGTTTTCCTAAGGTCCCTATAGTCCATTTTACAGTTGCGTGCTTGGTTGCCAAGCCTTTGAACAGGAGTGCGGCTAAGGGTGGCCTTCTTCTAATACAAATCTTGCTGCTTTTCAAATGCAAATGACTTTGTTATCATGCCAACTAAGCTTAACCAGATACTGGTTTTTATCACAACGTGGTCAACTTCAGTCTCACTCCAAATCAAAGGCTTGGGAACTAAGTGCACAACTGTAAAATGACCTATTGAGGAATATCAAGTAAACTTGTAAAAGATTGAACAGACTAGTCTTACTTGTCAGACACATTAAGTTGCAGCTCAGAGTTTCTCTCCAGTTGATACACAACAGCTAATCTGTTTAGAGCTTCAGGGAGCATGCGACATTCAAATATGTTATCATATTCCTTGGCATGAAGTATAAAGAAAGAGTCGTCATTGGGGCTGAAACAACAACACAAGAGCTCAATGATTCATATTTGAGTGCAAAGTAGGAGAATGCATTCTATTCATGTCGTTTTTCGGTCTCACCGGTTTTATGATATCGCGCGGGTATCACTTTTTAACTTTTCGACACCATTTTGGACTTACAAACACACACGTCCTTGATCACATGCGGGTATCTAAACTTCCTTCGGCTTGGATGCTGTGGTTAGATATGTTGTTAAATTGCAGCCATTTTATTGAATGAAATGAGTTACTCTAAATAAATCAGAGTGCACATCAATCAGAACTGAGAGTCAAGCCACCAATGGATGTTTGTAGGTTTTGTTTTAGGGTGGATTTTATTACAAAAATATCAATGCTCCATGGAGCGCACTTTTATTATCCAGGATTATTACTGGTCTACAGTTATAGCTTTTAATTTCACACCCGTTATGGTTTAATTAATTAATCAACGCAATTGTGCAAAACATGTTCGAGCTTGCGGCAAAAACAGCCTCTTCATTGCACTGCTTATTCAGTAAAATTACATACCTCACTGTTACATGATTTATGTTAGTCATGGGTAGCTTCCGTCTAACAGTGAAAGAGGAATTCGTCTGTGAAAGCAATTGTAAACTTAAATAAGTGCACCGCTCGAAGGTGTAAAGATGGCTTGCAGTTTCCAATGTGAAATGTAGACTGATTTTTCATTTACAATTCATCAATAGGCACATCCTTCAACTAATATCTTTCATTTCATGTAGGATATGGTTAAACCAGCCAAGTATTGGTCCTCTGTGCCAAACTCATTAAAGAAGAAGACTGAGGTTGGTTAGTTCATGTTGTTAGCGCTGGAGTACCAAGCGGGAAGTCGAGGGTTTCAAGCCTCAGACCGAATCAACACTCAGGGTCTTAAAACAATTGTGGAGAATGTGCCACCTTTATTATGATATCCTCGAATATCCACAAATATTTAGACATTGTATAATCTTCTCAGATATGGACAATAAACTGTATACCCCGTCTCTTGCATTTTTTCTGCACTGGTTAGCAGGGGCCGTTAAAGGACTCACGCAATGCAGAGAGTAGGGAAGGCAGCTCCCGGTGCTGTGGTCCGCTGACCTTTTGTTATTAGGGACCTTAAGCAAACCACGACGGCGACGACAACGCCGACATGGAAAACGAAAGATCTAATTGGCAGAACAATAGCTCAGCACTTGCGTTTTAAAACTTTATACATTTCTTAGCCGTCCCGTGCAAAACAACAACGTGAAATCACCACAATTTGTGTCGTCTGCGAACCGAAACCGCGACGGCAAATTATCTTAATTTCCATTTGGAACTCAACGCTTCTTTTATACGCTATGCTGAAGTTGAGACGGTAAACACATGCAGCCATTTTTTAAATTCTAATTAAAGGCAGAAATTCATTTTTTTAATCGAAGTCTTCATTGGCGTTGCCGTCCTGACTGCTTAAAGTCCCTAATGTTCATACAATCCCCCTCTTTCAGTTTTAAAGCTGAACTGAGCCAGCCTGTCTAAATATCCCACTCTTACTTGAGTAATGACGTATAAGCAACTCGTTGTCAAAATAAGGAGGCGATCTTGTTCCTGTGACAAAAGAAAATGAATGTCTTGAGAAACAAACTTTTAACGATAGAAACGAAAGCGAGCGACCAAGCCTTACCTTCCCATCACGGCAGTATTTATTGACTTCAGCCGCAAACTCAACCCTGGTATCCGCTAAACACAAAAGTATCACAGTTTTTATTTAGAAAAGGAATTCAAAACACAGTTAAGGTCAGCTAGGTCTCGTTTGGATTGTGTAGGTCTAAGATAGTTTCAGAAATCGAGTTTGAAATTACGTTGATACATTGACAAAAGTCCAAACACGGGACCCGGCCTAAGTCTGAGATATCCGGGATAAAGTTACAGTGATCATTATACTATCTAAAGTCCATACCCGAGGACCTCGCCCATATTTGAGATATCCAGGGTTTAATTAAAGTGATATACTGACATAAGTCTACACCCGGGGGCATTTACAGTGATGTACTGACACATCAAGTTTGAGAAATCTGGGTAAAATTACAGTGCTGTACTAAAACTAGTCTCTCGGGTTCCCCGCCTAACTTTGAGATATCTCGAATTAAATTGCAGTGATAAAAGGCACAAGCCTACACACGGAGATATTACATTGATACACTGAAAAAGGTCGGAATATTCAAGGTTTGAGTTAACAGAGCTTTAATGTAAAAAGTAACTTACCTATGATTTTCTGCAGAGGTTTTTGGTTCTGAAAACCGACGTAATCTCCTTTGAAGCCCATATCCCATGAATCTCTTCTCTTTTTCTTATCACCAAGCACATCGACCTCTATAAAGGCAATGCTTAGGGATCGGTCATAATTTATTGCCGGGGTGGGGTGGGTGGAAGAGGCGGTAAGAGAGAGCTAAAAACCAGTAGAACTCGCTATCTTTTCTGAAATACATCATAAACCGCCTTTTATTGCACATAAATATTGTTCAAACGGTATATCGTATAACAGCACCTTAGTTTTCTCACCAAAAAAGTTTTCAAACTTTTCCAATTTCCAACCAAAAGCCCCCTTAGATGTAGCGTCTTTTTTTCATAGTATGATTATTGCACTGTTGTTTCTTCTGCCTTGTGTTACGTTACCTTTTAACAATTTCTTAATGGCAATCATCCTGCCGAGAATATGACGGTCCCTGTATCGACGATAACCCTTCTGAATCACAACAACACCTTGAAAATAAAATTACAGGAAAAAAAAATTAAATGGAAAAAGGGATCTTGTAGCTGACGTTTCGAGCGTTAGCCCTTCCTTAGAGCTAAAAGAGTATCTGTGGGTTGTGTGTTGTTTACCCAGAGAAGATGGAGCTGCGCTATTGGTGGCAAATGGTGTCGCGAAAAGCACAAAAGTAAATAAGTCGAATGAAAAGCGTTCGTTGATACTGAAGGGAATGACATTGACGATTTGAAAAATAAATTTTTGATTTACAGTTTTGTGGCCTAGATGTAGGGAAAGGCTGCAGAATGACACACTTTACTTAGGATAATACGTCCGAAGCTTTATTGAGAATACAGGTTCAGGATAAGTTCGCATATAGTTCGAATTTCTATGCACCTGTCGTAGCATGTCGTAGCATTTGACATAACTCCATCATTGGTCGATAAGTCAATGGCCTCGCGCTACCGTGCAAAGTCCCACTCAGGGAATAAACACAAAAACAATGTGCACGAACCTTTCCGTATCCTTAGAAACCTTTTGCGCAGCCTGTAGGTCCGATAAACACCTTGAATTTTGACACAGTACTTCTCCAGGATTTTATTTTTTATATCCTCCAGTTCATTAAGCTGAAAAAAAATGACAACTTATCTAATCAATGTAATTTTATCTTATTCCTTTCCTAAATCCGATCTAGAAACTAACAATATGTTTACAACGAGTCAAACTGTCGGAGTCTTGACATGAAGCGAAATTCATATTGATTAGATTTTAGTAATAGGTTTAGTTTTAGCGAGAGATGAACAAAAATTGGCCTTCGGTAAAATTCGAACCCATATTTCCATTACAAATCCAACGCTTGAAATAGCCAGGTTCAAATAATTATACTCGCGGTAAGTGTGATATCAGAAAAAATTGATGAGACAATAAGTTACGATGCCTTTGTTTCTTAGCTTCGCTTCGACATGTTATTGAGCTACGGCAGTCTTCTCTTCGGAGAAAAGCGCGCGTGATCTCCGACCAATGGTAGCCTTCCTGTTTACGCTTCGCCGCTAATATTACAAGGCCCAGTTGTATAAAGGTTAGATAACGTTATCCAACGGATAAATCGCTATCTGGCGGATAAGTAACTGCAAAACGTACAGCATTGTTCACCGTATAACGATTCATCCGGTGGATAGCGTTATCCAACCTTCGAACAACCGGGGCCAGATCTGTAACATTTTCGCCGCTGCATGTAATTGTCGCGAGAACAATAGGGATTCTGCCAATGCGTTCGTCAAATAGCTAGATATGGTGACCTAACAAGAGTCTATAACTATACTAGAAAACAAAAAAAACCTCCTAATTTACTTACTGTATTTGGTTCTTTGAGAAACAACTTTGTTTTGCCAATTTTCCATCGAGAGGGATCGATGCCAGAATCTCTCATGACTATTTTACAACCTTCAGCTGGGTCACCAGTCCAGCAGTTGTTCACTTCAGGGGAAATAATACCGTATCTAAAAATACACACATCCAACTTATCATGGTCATCATAAAACAAATCACTTTCTATGCATATGGGAGAAAATTCATTATGACCAGACAAAACAAGCCATACTGTAAAGATACATTGACAACAGTGGAACAAAATGATAAATCAAGTGTCAAAAATTAGAACGGACAGTTTCATGTACAAATCATCGCTGACTGTTTTCGAGTAATGAGTTTCCAGTTTCGCTCTTTTACGCGGTGTGCGAGAACAACCACAAGTGTCGAGTTGAGAATAATCAGTCTAAATTTTAACTAAGCAGCCATAGTGTGCCAAAAAATGGGCCAGTTTTTAACTGAGAATCGAAAGTGATCGTGGATTTTTGTTTGATTTTTCTTTACTTCGCTCTGTGACTGGTCTAGAAATCTGGCGCTACCATTAGCACCAATCGTATGCAAAACTAAAACCATTCCAAACTTGGTACGTCGCTCACTTTTTCCCGCACTTCAAGCAGGTTGCCTATGTTGACTTTGAGTTGTCATCGGTCCATCATGATGTTGACCTTTGCTCTGATTGGTAAGTTGTGATGCCATTGGTTTTGGTTTTTCGACACATTTTTCGAAAACTGCTCTTATGAAGCAATAAATAATATTTTCTAGTCCTCGTAATATCAAACTCTCATAGTTAATAAGAAATTAAAACTTACCTGCGCACGACCTGTTCAAATTGACGACGAAATGCAAATCCGGCTCGTCTGACGCGAATATTTTCTTTTAAACCGAGGTATTGAATCTGATGAAGAACTCTAAAAAAAAACAACAACAAAAGCAATTTAGGAATTAGTCTTGATCGTCTTTATGTACGCATATGAACGAACCAACAAAGACTAGCACACAGAAAGAGATATATGTAACTCCTCGCTATTGTCACAAGTATGGGAGTGTCCCGCGATACTTCGAATCTCAGAACTTCCCATCTCCGGGTCGGAAACTCTACAAAACAAGGGTTACTCTTAAAAACATCGACGGGAGACGCGATGGATTAATGGTTAGTGCGCTGGACTCCGGCTCGAGAGGTCTGGGTTCAAGACCTTGCTGGGTCATAAGTGCCACTCTCCACCCATGAGTACAAATGAGTACAGGCGAATTGTCAGGGAAGCCTAATGAAATGATGCTGGGTAACGTTGTGATGGACTAGAATCTCATCCAGGATGGGGAATTAATACTCCTAGTCGCTTCATGCTTTAGGCACTTGGCTCGGGTACAGACCTTATTATTAAAACAAATCATCCAATCTGATATCGTGTTTATAAGGAACTTAGTATAAACGCCTTGTATAACAACAGAAAATGTTGAACACGGAGTCTGTTTAGAGGCTCTAGAACAAGGCTGGTCTTTCTTATAGAGTATTGTAACTTTTCAAATTTAACCAATCGAAATTCAAGAATCAACCTTGCACACAAGGTTTTTATATATACCTCTGGTCGTCCCAGTCCAGCGGTTTCTTGGACTCAGTGGGTTTGATACAACGAACGTAATGAGGAGTACATGACATAATCTTGGTGATCAGAGCTGCCGCCTGGGACTGGTGAACAAGTCAAAATAATAACAAGAATAGGTTTAGTGTTCTTACAATTCAATGTTATTATATCCTCATTGTCAAGGTCAATACAGTTACTGACACCATTCTCCTAAAACTCTTTTTCAAGATTTCCGGCCCTGAGAAAAACTGCAACTGCACACGTGTAAATTTACAATAATTTTTTGTGTTTGATATCGCCAATAAGTTGCTAACACGTCACTCGTCTTTTGCTCCACTCTGTCAGGTTGGCGAATGAATGGCAAGGCATTCACCACTCTCAATCCGAGGTCGTTTGTCGCAATTTTTGTTTTATGATATTACAAAGAGAATACATGGTTGCTAGTAGAAAAATAATTTCTCTTCTCGTGTTCAACTTGATGTCTCACGAGTGAGCGCAGTGGAATTCCATTTTTACATGTACGCGCTTTCATGTATTATCCTCTATGTGATATTATATGACAAAAATTGCGACAAAATTACATTGTGACGTTACCACTGATGTAATCTTCCTTAGTTGAGCGTTTTATCGATAGTGACAGGCAAACAGACCCTTGGCGCAGTACCTTAATCTTTGCTCCAGCAGTATTTGATTTCGCACCACCACGACGCCCACCTCCGCTATCAGGGTTCGCAACTACAGGGAACAGGTCCTTAACAAATGCACTGAAACACCAATGTGTGAAATATTGTTCTTGAGAAGCCGTTTATTGTTTGTAGAAATAACTAAATGTCAAACAGTTTTATCATATGCTCAATTTGAGTCCGGCAAAGAGATGACTTAACACACTGATTAACTTATAATTTTTTACTTTCTTTAGAGATTAATATGAATTATGACTCACTCCTCACTAGACTGCATTAATACAACCATATCGTTTGAGAGTATATCTTTGTTTTTCTCACAAAATCCTTTGGCTTCATAATCCACCTGAAAGATAGAGCAAAATTGATCCGCTTAGAGCTACATGTATATCACTGGTTGATTCAATTGCTTTGTTGTAAACTCACATTTCCAGCGTAGTGGGTGATCGTAAAATAGTTTGACTGCGCTCTGAAATAACGACTGAAGTCTTTATTTGAAGCCACAACTGCTCGAAGTTTCTGTTAAAAAAAAAAAATGGAACAAAGTCCAGAATCATGAGCAACCCATCATCCACTAACCCTTTACAGTTTAACTATTATCTGTCTTCTTCATATTGTTTTCTATAATTTTTTTTTGGTACTGACAAGGAGAATTCGTAAAACAGTCAAACCTTCTTCGGTTGGCGATCAATTCTATTATTCTCGTGATCCTAGTGAATGATACAACAGTATTACTGTAACGAGAAATTAGATGCTGATCACTCTCAGGACTTAAAAGGGTTAAAGAATACCTAAGCTATGATTTATACCAGAATGTTACATGGTTTACACGGGAAACTAAAAGAACAACTACTTCCGCGTACATGAAGATGGCACTTCAGCCCTTTTTTGAGAAAAAAAGAATGGTATAGTGACAGTCGTGCCCCGTGTTACACTGCTCATTCATTCTCAACACAGCTTAAACACAGACTACTAACAAAAAAACTACCATCGCAAAGACTTATTATCCTAATTACGGTTGGGTTTATCTCTTTGGATATGTGTTACAAAGATTCCTTTGCCCAATTTATTTCAGTGTGACACACCTTTCTGACCACCAAATCACTCAAATGGAAAACATGAATGTTAACAAGCCCAAGTACTGTACTAAAGTACCTCCATTAGAGTTTTCTCCGAGCCTTCGGTCTTTGCGTGCATTGTACTGCAGACGTCATCAAGAGTGCACATAACACCTGGGGGACGCTATAAACATTCAACCAATCAAAACGACTAGCTTCCATAGTCATTATCACGTGGTGAACAGGTAATCGATTAAAAGCCAGGAGATTATCAACAGTTTATATTCCCTTGATTAGAGCACAATGTCTTGAAAACTTTTAATTAAAAAACTTCTGCTTTCATTCATTGTGGACCTTGATGTTCTCGTGTATAGGCGTTATTTCAAAATGAGTTTCCTTTAGTTCAAAAAAGACGTTTCCGATGTCGCAAAATAAAGAATTGAGTTAAAACTCAGCTGAACTACAGATGTTCCATTCTGGTGACCTCCGTATTAGGGATATGCAATACCTTGCTCTCAATAAGTTCGCAGACTGTTTTGTTGTCAAAGTACTTGACTTCCTGCCATGGGATTCCTTCTTGTACATATTCCTCCTTCGAAACAATTTACAGACACAATTCAAGTAAAACTTGAGTCACAGATGGAGAGAAATAATAATACCAAGAAGTGTATTTTAATCTCTGCAAACACAATAAGGGGATTGAAAACGAAGCACATTTCGCTAGGGGAAAAAGGCTAAGGGTCAAGACATCATACTAATGTAGAGATTTCAATTTTTTTTTTCCCATCGTAAGAAGCAGAAGTACGAAAATAAACCAAGCCTACCTGTTCCGTTTTAAGTGTAAGCTCAATAAATATTTGCTGCAGCTTTTCATTGACAAAGTTGATGGCAAACTGCTCAAATTGATTGTTCTGAAAAAAGAAAAGGGTGCATGTGTCAATAATAGCTAAAATATCCAACCGAGCGTGAGGGCCGCACCGGAGAATATGGTCCCGAGGTAGTATGGACTGAACGCAGCGAGAGCCGCGCAAAAACGACTGAAGGCCAACATTCCTCAGTCGGGCTCAAGCAAGCGAGGTTAGTCAGTTGTTTGTTTTATGGCACCCAGACCTAGGTTGTTTATTTTGAATTTCCCGGCTTTCGCAAACAAAAATACGGGCTTATGACCGTTTTGGTGGAAACGGTCCGTATGGCAAAGAAAGGACCAACTAAAAACCAATCAGAATTCTCGGACTTACCTCAGGACTACCTTGCCATATAATATAGGTTTTTATTCAGTAGTGGCAGTAAAATCAAGCGATGGTGTGGCCATACCTCAAAAATCTCAAAGCCATAGATATCAAGTACACCAATAGACATTTCGTCTTTCTCTTTTGACATTGCCTCGTTTATACTCTGAAAAATATAAGCAGTTGTAAAATTACTGTATTTGTTTCCCGTTGACTTGAACTTCTCCCAGTCTCTGAATGATTTTACAAAGTATCACCTCGTGTTTTATTTATTATAATTAATTGCTTATAATAAATCACAAGATAAATTCCCAGTTAAAGGAAATACTTACATTTTCAAAACAAAACTATATAATCAATGCTTCTATCGCACTGTCTTTTTTATTATGTTATCATACTATGAATATCGTTTTTGAAATAACTTTTCTGGTGACCCTGAAACATGATAACTCATTGTCTGACCAGGTTCTTACCCGAACAAGATAATCAAAGACTTGTGAATACAATGCTTTCGCCAAAGCATCACGAGCAAACTGAGCCTGGAACAAAAATTAAATTGATTGGAAAAAATGTACAATTAATTAACAAGACGCACACTTCACTTTCCATGATTGAAAGTGTTTATTTAACAAATAGATTCCAAGTTGCCGTGCGTCTGTTCAGTAATAGATCTATTTTTGATGATGACGTCATCTATACGTCTGTCCTCCAATAGATCATAAGTGAGAACCAATCAGAATGCGTGCATTACTGAGCTTATTATATAAATCGCACTAGAGCTGGAATGGTAAAAAGCCTTAAAGAAAAACAATGTGATAAGTATGGGGCTTCGTGGCGCGCGCGTCACTCGCTGAGAGCTCCGCGACAAATTTTACGAACAAAACAGGAATACGCGACTTTGCTGATACTGTCGTCAGATCGAACGCTGAGATTGCTTTACTCGGTACCATCTCCCTCAAAGGGCTTGTTGTTCGCGCGGTCTCGATCTTTGTTGTTGTTGAGTCTCGAAAAGTTTTGTAAAATCTTTTAAAAAGTATGTTCGCAAACCTTCTTTCGCTCCATAATGGCCGCGGAGAACATTATACACTTAACCGAAGATATCCCAGTAGTTTCATAAATTTGATGAAAACCTTTAACCGGTATTCGCATTTTGCGGTAAAACTTTTTGTTTGTGATATTTCAGTTTTTTTTTTCAGAGTGCACGATAACGAATCCTGTAATCTGATTGGTTCTTTACGCGGTCCGTATTTTCCTATCTCTGCCCACGAGCAACGGTAACGCTTTCGTGAGTCGCCGAGTACATCCCTACTTTCGTTGCCATTTTTCATAAATATATCTCGTTTTTCCGGCTGGGCAGTATTTTTAAGCAAAGACGTCGGTCACTACCTTAGGCCGATAAATAACTTATAAATCCGCTCTTTTCTTTTTTTTTTTTTTTTTTTTAACAGCTTTATTGACCATTACACATGTAATTGACCATTACACATGTAATTGACCATTACACATGTTCTCTCTCTCAAATCACTTTGGTTGACAGAAACATCAATGGTGTCATTACGTTGGTTGACCAGCGGCCTGAAAACTGTCCGCAATTAATTTTAATCGTTCAAAAAAAGTACCAAGAAAGTTAAAACGTGAGGTATTTGGTTACAGTTGAACTAATCAATGGAACTTTCATCCATTTAATATCTGAATTTTCTCAAACAATTTGTTCGTAGTGAAAGGGCGAGCGAAGTTTTAATTTCAGCTCTTCAACAAATAAACGCTCTCAGTGAGTCTCTCCAAGTCCGTTCAATTTGTACCGTAAATTGCACAACCGAAACTGAAGGAATTCAATGAGAAAAGGCCGCATTAAATCCCCTTGTGTCTCGTTGGAGTTTATCATTCAAATTTAGTTTTTGTGAAGGAAAGACCAGATTTACACACGCCATTGCATCAAACAAACGAGCAAACTCTCACAACTTCAAAATAAAAAATTTGAATTTACTTACAATTACTTTTCTCGCTGTTTACTTAATGAACAGAGGCAAATCCTCGTACATGAATTAATCGTCGATGAGAGTGAATGATACTTTCCGTTAGATCATTGACTGTTTTTGAAGAAAACACTGTGGTGACAGTCCTTGCCAAACTAGTTTCGTTGTTTTTCAAAAGTGTACATGCGCTATTTTTTCTTACGCGCTCTCTAACTGACAGGTGTCAGATTGTGACAGATGCCTCTAAAAATAATGTTTCAAAGTTTGTTTGGAAGCCTTTTTAATCACCTTTATCATTACGCAAATGAAAATGTTTCGGTGAACCATCTCTCTTTAATTTGCATCACCTCAGAGTCTATTTTAACTACCATTTACTCGCTCAAAAATTGTTCAGTTTAAGAAGATCTTGCCGTATTTACAGCCCTAAATCATTCAGGTTATTTCGGAAAGAATTTCGTGAAGTTAAAAAAAAAATGTTATTTGCCGGCTAAGAGTCGACCGAGGTCACAGTTTTTCACCATACGGACCTCCCAGCCGGCAAATAACACATGATTCTTTCGCAGTCGTATCAGGGTTTTCTTAATGAGCAGTCCCGTTCGTTTTCCTCTTTTTTGCCCGATTTTTATTAGGAAAAAAATTAGATAGTGATATCCCAAGGGTTTTCCTCAGAAATCGCATCACATGCTCAAGGCTAATATGCAAATTTGTCAGGGTTATCAGATAATCGCATCAAAAGCTAACACAAAAATGCAAGGAAAAATGATCATGAAATGTCTCTATATTTAAAAGAGTACTAATACTGACCGCTCACAAACAAAAACCGAACGAATTTCTTTTATTTACGAGACCCGGGTGATGGATTCACCATGCTTCACAGTCAGAAAATTGCGTAGCGTTGTGTTGAAAAGCCCCTTGAGAGACCTGATACAGGGTTGGCCAAACAAAGCATTCATTTGAACGCAGTCTTAATGAGCAAAGTTGCATACTGTGTTGACGTCTACTCCCTAAAACTGCAGTTACTGATAGGCTCAAATGGCTTTTAAACCATTCCTTTCTTTACTTTAGAATATTCAACTGAGCACAAACAAGGCAGCATACTAATCTCTTTCTCTTGCCAGTATATTTAGTTATCAGAGAACTGAAAAAGTATCGGAATATTCACTAAACCTGTTCAGCGTTGTTTGTCTTCTTGGTGATTTCAACTTTGCCTCCCCATCTGGCTTCCATTACGGTGCTGAAACAGAAAATTTCAAAATTTCAAAATAAATAATAGATAAACATAATGATAAACAAAAAACAAATATGCAGTGAGAAACTTACAAAAATAAGGCATCGCTCTTTTTACATTAGGGCTGTGCGCAAATATTAAATTACTTATCCTATTAAATTACAACGAAATTGATATTTCTTAAGAGGAGAATCGATTGATAAGCAATCATCAAAGTTGTGAGTTTCTAATTACTCCCGGAAGTACTAATCTAACCTGTTTCTCCGGAAGTACAGGTTTTTTCCGGAAGTACTAGCCTGACCAGTTTCTCCAGAAGTACAAGTTTTTACCGGAAGTACTAACCTAACCAGTTTCTCCGGAAATACAAGTTTTTCCGGAAGTACTGACCCAACCAGTTTCCCCGGAAGTACAAGTTTTTTCCGGAATCACTAACCTAACCAGTTTCTCCTTGAGTAAATCCTTGTTGACACTGAGCAGTTTCGCGGGCATGGTTAACACTTTGAAGAAACAAACACGAAGTCGAGTGAGACATACAATTATGTTAGAAGACCTCGTGAAAGCATGGGTCAAAAATCAATATCTATCAACAAGGGTAATTATTATGAGATTTTTAAAAAGATGATATCAGTAAACAGAAAGTTATGAATACTCACGGTCGTCATTGATAGGTACAGCCACGTTACTTTCTTCTTTAAACTGCACATTACCGAGATGTAAGATGGCCGACACCAGTTTGAGAATGGTCCCTTGAGTCTGCGGGTCAAATCCTACCACAGTCATGGCTTTCTGTGAAAAAAATAGAACAACACAGTCCACCTTTTGATCATTTGTCTGTTACCGTTGTCGCAATTTTGTGGGTGAAAGAAAATTAGGAATTTCAATCGTGTATCAACTGTTAACCATCGAGAGATCGGAACCATCTAAAGAGTCTTTCACTTCAGACATGAAAAAGCAAGAATCCGTGGAAAGTATTTTGCAATGTCTGAACTTGACGCAGATGTTTAAAAAAAGTAGTAACTCTCTCTAAATCATTTTCTTCAAATTATTCTCACGATCGTCTTGAAATGAAGTGGGTTGAATAGATTATGCCTAAATTGACAGGCTTAGGCACAAATAGGTAGATCAGAACTCAATCAATAACTTAACTAAGCAGACAGAGACCTTTGTATGATAAGCTGAATTATACGCGCTTCTTGATTGGTTCTTACAAATGATCTTTTGGAAGTCATAAATATATGACGTAACCTTTATCACTAAAAACAAACACATTCCATGCTACCGTGGGTTTACACAGCAATAGGGACCTTTAGCAAACCGCGACGGCGACGGCAACAAGGACGAGGCAAAACAAAAGATCTAATGAGCGGAACAATAGCTCAGCACTTGCGTTTTAAAACTGTGAACATTTCTAAGCCGTCCTCTGCGAAATAACAATGTGAAGTCATCAAAATTTGCGTGGTCCAAGAAAGGAAACCCCGACGGAAAATTATTTAAGTTTCCATTTGGAACTCAACGCTGCTCTCGTACGTTATGCTGAGGTTAAATTGCGGCGTCGTAAGAGATGGTGAACAAATCCATTCAGTCGAGAAATTCCATCTAAATATATATATTCATTTTTAACTCGACGTCTTCCTTGGCGTTTACTCCTAACTGCTAAAAGTCCCTACTAGATCACAAAAGACGTCAAAATGTGGTAAGTAAATCAGTGACACACTTGTCTGGACATTGTGTGCAATTTTATGTTCCACAGACTCGCGGTAACATGAAATCTATTTTTTTTGAAGAGATCTGCTTATAAAAAATCAACAGAAGAGTTACTATTAAATCATGGTAATCATCAGTGTCGTTAGTGCCGTCCACTGTGTAAACACCAGTCTGGTTCAGATAGTAATAAGTCTCTGGTTTGGTGACCTCTATTCCGACATCAGCTAGAAAAAAAAGATAAACCATAAAAATTAAAAAAACAATTATGAATGCAGACAGATCACAAACCAGGTTAAGAATACGATCTTGTTTACATAGTAGGACAACGCATTAGCAAAAGAAACTGCACTCACTTCGATTTTCTTTTGCGCAGCCAGCAAGTAACTGATAGAAGACATGATAGTTCCTCTCATTCTGGTTCAAAGTCACTACACGGGACTGAAATGCAGATTCTACATCAATTAAGGATCATTGAAAACTAAACGGGAAGACTTAGAAGAAATTGTGCTTCATTAACAACAAAGAAAAATAAACGATTTCAGAAATTTCAAATTGATTAAAAGAACCACTTCACCTTTTCTAGTAGAAAGTTTGAAACCTTTCCTCCATCGGGATGGCCGGAATAGTTAAACTGGATTTCCATAAATTTACCCTGATGAGACAATGGTTAGAATAATAATAGTATAATAATAGTATAATAATAGTGTAATAATAGTATAATAATGGTGTAATAATAGTATAATAATAGTATAATAATAGTGTAATAGTAAGCGGCATCTATTGAGTGATAACTAGCTGCTTTTACTCTAGAAGAAGAAACCTCGCGTTCAAGCATAGAGTTTTGGTAAGTTGTTTAGGGATGTCTACTTTTCTTTTACATTTAGAGCAATTTCAATTGAGTGTTGGAAGAAATCCCAGATTGCATTGGTTTTGCTTCACTTCGCTCTGTAAATGGTCCAGAAAACTCATACTTCTCTCTCCACCAATCACATATGAAAACTTAATCCAGTCGCTACTTGATCGCCTGCTTCTTCCTGCACTTTAGGCAATTTTTTTTGTCTTTACTTTGAGTTCTCATTGGCTCATAGAGGCATTTACCTTCCTTTTGATAGACTGTTGTGATTCATTTGATTTTGGCTTTATGACGCTCAAGCGAAAAGCGCTGTAACGATGATTTGCCTTTTTGGAAATCTCATTGCTTCAATTATTTTTGTTTTCTTTTAGGCAGCTTTGATTTCAATAAAACTTACAAATCTGCTTGAGTTATTGTTCCTCGTGGTCTTGGCGTTACCAAAGGCTTCCAGTAAGGGATTGGATTGAATGATGATGTCCTTAATATTCTGTTGTCACATATTTACACAAAATGACACAACAATATATTCAACATACTTGTTTGGTGTTTGCCTACTCGGGTAAAACATTTTAAAATAATCAAAATGTTCTCAAAAGCCTATTTAGAAATTGATCCAAAACCAGTGATATCTTTAGTCCAACCACTCTTTTGTTTTAGAGTCTCTCTAGTTCGAGCATTAAACTTCCGATTAGGTGTTCGAAGATCCTTTTGTTCTATTCCTGTTTTGTTTGTTGCTTTTGCTTCTTTGTTTTGTTTTGGTTTTTTTTTTTTTTAGTATTTTAGAGCTCGTTCGAAAGGGTAGAAGTTTTCTCATACTATTAATAGCTTCATATTCACATATAGTAAGTGTATAGTAACATTACCTCAACTTTTGCTGATCCTTTACCAGAAGCTTTAGAAATGAAGTTCATGATGTGTTTTGCAGAAACTGTCTTACCCGCCCCGCTCTCTCCACTGAAAATAAAACCACATGAGTAGCATAACATTCTAATAGCTAATATCAAAGCAAATAAAAGGAAAAATATTGACATGTACCTGATGATAACACACTGATTCTCATGTTCAATCATCATATTCTGATACATGGTGTTTGTCAAGGCATACAAATGAGGAGGCTTGGGACCCTTAAAAGGAAAATCTTAGCGTTACATTCTTCGAGCTGGTTGCTTCCTGCTTTACAGGTACAATAAACACTATTCAAAGAGAACGAGTCCGAATTTCTGTGAAAAATATAACAATCTAAACGTGGTAAACTTCAAATGATGTCAGGAGTTAAACGTAGAGCAATTTTCAATTGAGCGATGAAAGTAATCCGGGATTGCGTTGGTTTTTCTTAACTTCGCCTTGCGATTGGTCCAGAAAACTCGCACCACTTTTTCTCAACCAATCAGATGAAAAAGTAAAGCCGATCACGACTTAGTCGCCTGCGTTTTCCCGCGCTTTGGACAATTTAGTTGTGACCATTGGTTCTTAAGAGTGTTTTCCTTTATTCTAATTGGCTGTCGTGGTCACTGTAATTTTGGATTCATGACACTCAATCGAAAAGCGCCCTAATGTACCTTTATATTCTTGAACATTCCAGTCTCACTTGAAGTTTCTTTTTGTATACTTCTCCTTCTGCCATCCAAAATGTCTGCAGGCATCTGTGCAGTTGTACAGCGGGTTGCTCGGTCGTCAATTTTTGGTGTACCCATGTCGTCTGCTTCTTCACCCCCGCGGTAGAAATCCACGGCATCTGAGCCATAGATTTTCAGAGCTTTGAAAGGATTCACTGCTATCAACACGCGGCCAATGTATGTCTGACGGAGAAAAGGAATATGGCCATTTAGACAATTTAAACTTGTTTCTTTAATAGGAGTTGAGGTAAACTTACATTTTGAAATCAATTTTTCACAAAACACCGACTTACATAAATCACTTCTTTCTTGAGGCGAACGCGAAGGTTTTCCCCGATGTCTTTTTCATTGATTTGCGGCAACTCAACCATATCATCAAAACCATTTGAATTGGACGCCATTCTAAAAGATTAACTACAAACAAGCAAGAAATAATGCATAACCAATTTGTTATTTTTCAAAAAGTTTGTTAAGACTTTATTCCTATCCATAGCAAAAAGTCCTCTTTTGGCAGCGTAGTCTTTTCCAACCCCTTCGATTTCTGGGCAATAACGAAATGGTTTGCTTGGAGGTTTAGTCGTTAAAAGTCTAATGATACAAACTCAGTGAGATAATTTCATCAAATTAAAAAGTGGCCTTACTGCATAACAAACTCGCTAGAGTAGTTTTCAATTGAGTATTAAAAGTAATCCGGGATTTCTTTGCTTGTGCTTTACTTCGTTATGTGATTGGTCCAAAAAACTCGTGCCACTTCTTTAATCAATCAGATGCAAAACTAAAACCAATCGCTTCTTTTTAACTCGCGCTTTCCCGCACTAAAGACACTTTGCTCGTTTAAACTTCGAACTCTCATTTGCCTCTCGTTGTACTTTCCTTGCTCTGACTGGCTGCTGAAATTAATTTGGTTTTGTTTGAAAGATTTGTAATATTTTTCTCCTTGTTTGCGTGTATAAAAAATACCAAAGTTTCCTAACCTTTCAGTGGTTTTTTTACGTTCACTTAAAAACTTTCTGTTTGTTCCCAAGGTTTTCCAGCAGTGGAAAAGCCATGTCCTTCTTGTTGCAAGTGTTTACATTGTGCGTATCTTTCACATTGAATTGAAAAGCTGAAAGATGAAAGTCCTCAGATTGAAGTCATTGCAACAATGACTTTCACAATAAATTAACGCAAACACGCGCGCCCAATAATTGCCTACGTTTTAAACGTCATCATAATCATGAAGTTACTAAACGTAATGTCAATTTCGAGCCCAGAGTCATTTTGGCTACTTGTCAGCGGTATGATCGCCAAATAATGACCTCTGGGAGAATCAAATTTTTATCCCAGGAATCGTGGGATTCCGGTTTAACTGCGCATATCTGCATTGTTTAGTTACTTCTGCACGTGTTCAAAATAGAACACACGGTCCGCTACGCCAGCGGAAGAAGAAAAGAACGTAAATTACCTTTGTGTAGGTGAACTTAGGACTCTTCATAACTAATATAATGTAATTTATCATGTAATTTATAAACCAGTAGAAGAAACCGGTGAAACTAGTGCACCTTCCGGTGCTCCTAGAAGTTTGGAAGGGAAAGAAAAAGGGATAAGTGACGGCCTTTTATGCAGTTTTTACGCTGTTTTCAGCTTCTCGCGCGAGGTGAATCGATCGCAAGCTAGTTAGTTGTAAAAATAGACTTTGAGCAAGCATGGATGCAGCAGTTTCATCTACTTTAAGAGAATTGGGTTCAAAGGAAATGAAAAAAGAACAACGCAAAACTCTAGAAGCGATTGGTTTAGATTCCAGAGAAGTCCTCCTGCTTCTTCTCCTGATGCAAAAGCTGATGATTATACAGGTGACTGTACATGAACCGGGATGACTACAAAACAGAGAAAAACAGCAATGTTTTGAAACTCTTATAAAACCACCCGTTTATTCGCCCCTAACATACGGCATACCTTAGACAACTTTTCCAACTTTTCCTTGATCTACTTAACAATAAAAACATGCTAAACAAGTTTCTTTTGACACTGCTTTAGTATGTTCCTTTCGCATCATTAAGTGAGAATAAAATTATTTAACAATTATTGTACCATTTACTTGTTCCAAAATAACTTTAGGGAGTAAAAATAAAAGTTGTTACTTGATCTGTTATATTTTGCAAAATTTTGAGACTATTACTTGACCTTGAGTTTACTTAAAAAACATGTTTATGAATTATTTCTTTCAGTCTGTTACGACTTTTAGCTCAAGTCTCATTTTTTAAATATTGCTTGTAGTTACTAAAATGATAGTTATATTATGATTAGAGTTTTCAATATCAAGGATGATAGAAATGAGTTTTTGGACAAGGTTTAGCTCCCAGCATTGGGTATTCATCTCATAACTATCTATCACACACACTGGAAGTACTTGACTAACATCTCCTTGTGCAACAGTACACCCACAGTGGCCATGAAATCAAGCAAGTCAACCTATCACTTCTTTAATAAGCTGCTCAAAATATTTTCTTCCCTTGAAATATCCAACGGAAGACTTGGTTACCATTCCTTGTTACATGTAAGACGTAAAAGCAAGCAGCTCCAGGTTTCTGCACACATAGGCTTCTGCGCTATTCATCAATCTCGTCTAGAAACTAGCATTTGGCACGTGCTTTGACGCTACAAGTAGGTAGCAACATAATAAGTTTAATTTTGCTTTTGCAGTTGCAAGGCTTGTCTGTGGTGCAACCCATAGCATATATACTTGATCCCTGAATTCAGTATTTGCATGTTCTGTCAACTAAATATAAACAGAAGGTAACGCTCCATATATTGGTAAATATTTTCATTTTGAATCAATTAAACTCTGTTGAACGTTTCTGATCATAGTAAATTGGACAAAAATATATTGACATGGAATTTTGAATGACATACATGTATATTGTAATTGTGAAAAAAATGCTTATCACAATGCAAACCAGCTGTAAAGGTAGCATCATATGAAACCTTCATACTTAAGGACCTCAGCATTTCTATGGCCAGCCTTCTCGAGTATTTCAATCCCTGTTGATTGCTTGTTTAACTTAGTGTTAAAGTATTGGTGTAAGAAAAAGAGAATTTATTTGTTGCAAGATTCATAGATAAATACGAAACGATTACCTCTGTGTTTCCATCTGAAGTGTCATCTTGGAGTACACGAGACGTGGGTATAATGGATCTTTTGAGTGGTTTACTTACGGTGAAGCAGATAGTGAAACTGTGGCCTGAGAAGGGCTTTGGATGGCGACAGACCTCATTTCTGTTTTTTTAAGAACGGAACCCTTTTCTCTGCGATTTCCTTACGTATTTAGGGTTCTCGAATTCTTCTTTGATACTGAATACTATGCCATTCTAATGTCGAACTATTTTACACTAGCACATTTCCGTACGTTCGCACGACTTCTACGATTCCTTCCTTTCTGCTTGTCACTCAAGTTAACAATTGGTTCAGCTTCAAACAAACTTCAAACAATTGGAACAGCTTCCCGTCATTGCAACACGCCGCGGCTTTAGCTAGATGTTCCCTCACGTATCAAAAGGCAGTTTATAAGTAAAAATTTTCATGCAAAAAAAACAACAACAACAATAACAACAATAAAAACAATTCAAATTTATCGTTGCTAATGCTCTACTTCCGGCCCGATCGATCCCTTCCGTAAATCACACTTCCTGTGTGGAGTCTATTGTTTTCCTATCAACCAATCAAAAAAATTGAATTAATCGGTTCTCCTAGAGATCATTATTTGACGACTATACCGCTGGCAAGGAGACAAATGACCCTGGGCTCGAGATTGTGATAACGTTAGCTCGTGTAGACAGCGGTCAAACGTTGGGCATGCGCTAAGGGATTAATTTTGACTGGCTGCAAGCCAATTTCCTGAGCATAATTTCAGAGGAAAACATAAGAAACAACCGCTGTTTTGCAAAATAAGCGAAAGCAAATAGAAACGTTTATAGAAATCTGTCAAAGGAAACAAAAGTGGGAAAAAGGAAAACTCGGAACTTCTCCAAAATAAAGCTTATTCAAGTATTGGTATCCTTTTGATCTTTCATTCCTTTTTTTCGCTTTACCAAAAAAGTTATGCGCTTTTAAAACATCATGACTTACTGGCGTGTGTGGTTGTTTGTAACTCGTGTAAGACAATTTGCCTCAGAGCCACCCAGTCAAACACAGCGGCAAAATGAGTGCGCATACTTGTCATTTACCACTACCACCGTTGTTATGAAATTTCTCAGTTTAACTACGCTATTTGACCGAGAAAACACTTTATTTTAAGCTTAAGATTTAAGACTTATGAATGATATCGGCAAATCTAAGATTTACTATTATCAAAGTGTCAAACAGAGGACAAATCTTGATAAAATTTCACCTGGTGGTGTGTTGAATTTTTCCTTCCTTTCACCAAATAAGTTTTTTGCTAAATTTCTTGCTCAACCAATGCCGAACCCGAAACACAATGAATAAAACAAGTTGGGTCAGCGGATGACCAACAAAGAAGAACCCAAGGATGGTCCCAATACTCTGCGTTGGATTTCCGCTGTAGTCTAATTTTGAATAAATATAAGGTTGACCTAAGATGTTTGTACCCCCATTCGCCCAGTAAACTACAGTAACCATGATGTAGACAGTAGTAAAAAGCATTGGATGAATTACGTGAAATAAACGAAGTGGAACTGTTCCCAGTAAAGTCTCGATCAAAATAAAAACAGTATTGAGGATTTGAGTGGTAACTATCAATCCATCCATTTGAAAACCAGAGTAGTCCCAGTTTGTTGCAGTAATGAGTAAGGCCGTATTTGCAGCAATGTTGTATATTACCCATAATGCTTCATGATAACGAGACATAGGAAGCTCTTGCATAACTTCCAGCGGATTTACCGAAGCTTTAACCTCCTCTCGACTTCTTGCTTTCTCTCGCGTGGAATCTCGAGATTCTGACTTCGCGCGTGTCTCTTCACGCGACTTATCGCGTGTATCTATGTCTGATGAACGCGAAATTCCTGAGCGAGATCGCCTCAATGGAATTGGTTCTGGACTTCTGATTTCATATTCGCCCTGTCTGCATTCACCTCTGTAGTACACCGCTGTTATTACAGTGGATAATACGAAGTATAATGTCACAAACAAGAAACTCCAGTTGGTGAGGTAAATAAACCACTTGTGATTTATGTTAGCTGGATGAAAACCGCTGTAAATAATCCAGGCGAGGCAGTAAACGGCAACTATAAGGCGGTATGTGAATATCACGGAAACATTAAACCACTGAAACAGAGAGGAAAATTTCCTTCAATTTTGAAGGGTTTTTTGGAAATAATAACTGTGATATACATAGTTCTTGTTAACTGAGTTCGAGGTCCGTACTGTAACTTAAGGACTGGGTTTTTTAGCCCGGATTTATGGCCCAAGCGTGAAACGCGCGGGCCATAAATCTAAGCGCAAAAAAAACAACGTTCCTTATAGCAAGTACCGAGAATACGAAGTTAGTAACATATTTATTATACTTCTGGTCTTAAATAGAGGGGGAAGATTTTAATTCAAACAAACTAGCTTTTGAATTTACTGAGTTATACAGTGAAAGCATGCGAGTTTCTAACCTTTACAGGTTGGCTGTTGCTAATCAAATCAGTGAGTTGTGAATAACTGTTAGCAAATTCGGTTAAGTCGGGTACGGTAACCAACATTTGGTACTTTCTGAAATTTTACAATTGCATAAGAATTATATCAGTCAAGAAAAGGCTCTTATTTCTTGAAAGGATATGAAATTTCAGGTCACGCATATCCAAATAACTAATTTATTCATAATTATAGCTGGAGAAGGAATGGTAATCAGCTGAAAACTCAATCGATCGCGTGACACATCATCAAAGTTGCGTACTAATTGTTAATGGAGTTTTCATGGTAATTTTCGAGTGAAGCCCGTTTTCAGAAATAATTTGGGTGAAAAATTGGGCGCTAACAAACACGATTGAAGTACATCACGACATTAAAAAAAAATCAAACGATGTGTTTTCGTCAAAATTATGTGGATTTGTCACCTTCTGTGAGCTTCTGGTACCAGTAGATCTTTCACTCTTCCAAGCCACGATTATTTAAGACGGCGCTTTGTTGCCTTTTGGTTTAAGCTAGGTTTATGAATGTGCTCTAGACCTTGGACTATGTACATTTTATATCTGGATACTGTTAGTAAAGTTCGAAAAAAAAATTTGGACGCTCGTCCTCGAAACGAAATTGAAATGAGTGATGATACTTAAAAACTTCTGGATAAATTGAGTTGAAGCCGTAAATCCAGCGAAGCGTCGAAAAATATACACATAAGTACTTTTTATAGTTTAATTATATAGTGAAGAGTTCCGGGTCGGGTATGTCGTTTTCTTAAGTATAATCAAAGAGGAAAGTAATGGAAGTGTGGACAAATGAAAACAGTTAAACCTCTATATCAGTACCTCACTGATCGATCTCTTTAAACGACAGCCGATAATTTAATGAGAACTATTCTATATGCTAAATTTAAAATCAACAAATTAGAATAGTGACTATCAGAGGAAATAATCTAATGCTATCTCAAGTAAAAAATTCGAAATCCTAGCGATGTTTGGACACAATATTGTAATTAAAACATGTATATGGACCTTAAAGTTGATTTTCGAAATACTAAGATCTACCGTTTTCAAAAATCTCTCCCGAAAAATGAATGAAGTCATACGAGCGAAATTATTTGCTGTCTTGATTCAGACGATTGAAGATCGATATCGATGAATCTGTTCGAAGACTTAACAGGAAACCGCTACGAGCTTTAGTGCAGACATTACACACAGTTTAAGTGAAAGTATTCAGAGATTCTTTAACTGACTATCTGAGTTCAGACTGAGAAGTATGTACTCATCTAAAAAAAGATACAGAGTAACAAGAAAAAGCCGATGGCTGCTCATGCAAATACACGAACAATGGCGACATTTGCTGATACTCGAAATCGATGACACTCTTACCGGGGACTCGGCAAAATCGCCAGAGTTTGAGTAGATTAAACGGAATTGTATAAGTTGAAATTCTTCCTTGAAGTCTTGAAGCTCCGTTCTCCACATTTCATCAGGTATATGAGACTAGCAGAACAAGAGAAGCGACCTTGTTTAAAACCAACTGACACATGTCTTAATTCAATGGCGTTACACTGGACACAAACAATTCCGCAATGTTATGTTGATTTGCCTAACAATGATAATGGCATCTCCCGGGTGACTCATCAAGTCTGTGACCACATGCTTGAAAGACCGGCACGCCACGGAATGGCTTTACGTCATTCCCGTGTTGTCCTTCTCAACATCGGCTTCTTGCATAGTTTACAGACTTCTTCCGATCTGTTGTTTTGTCAGTAAAAATTCAGAATAAAGGTGAAACAGAGGATAGCTCGTTAAAGATCGTCAGAAAACAAAAAAAGACTCGAAAATTAAATTGCAGATTCAAAAGACCACTTATGAAAAAACAAGCCGACAAATTGACAGGAAGTTTAAAAATATTGGGCCATCCTAGGAGTATAAACTCTCTAGTGTGGGCCGCACTAAGAGCACGTTTCAGGCTCAGTAAAAAGATAATCTCTGACTGAACTGATAAAAGGGAACAAATATAGACGCAAGTTTACATATTTTCATTCTTTATTAATTACCTACTTTTTCTTCGCATGAAATATTCAACGACATTGAAGGACAAGAAAACAGTTAGGTGATTTACCCCTTCACACCCTAACATCAGTATGCATATTCTCCATACTTTTCTTCATACATTTTCTAATAAGCCGGCAAGGAGAATTTGTTTAACAATCATAAGGTTCTTTAGTTAATTATCACTTCCTTTATTCTCATGACGTTAAAGTTTGATTCATGGGTGATATATTGAAAGGAAAAATTAGATGCTGGTCACTCTCAAGGATTAAAGAGAACCGTTTTGGTCCTATAACCATATGAAATTAAAATCTATTCATAAAATTTCTGATAAAATTAAACTTAGTCATTTACTACGGACAAATGTTAACCCTTTGACACCTAAGAGTGACTAGCATCTAATTTCTCCTTACAATATCGCCCCTGAATCAAACATAAGGGTCACAAGAATAAAGGAAATGATCACCAATTTAAGAAGCTCTTGATTGTTAAACAAATTCTCCTTGTCAGCTGCAAAGGAAATGTATAGAGAACAGTATATGCATCCTGATGTTTGGATGTAAAAGGTTAACGCCGATTACTTAAAAAGTTGTGCTTTTATCTGTGCATATATGTTTGTATTTATTTTCTTCACATTCTTCAACAAACGCGGTATGGTTGGACAAAATCAAGATAATTTGGCTTTTTTTCCAACTGGGTTGATGATAAGCAATTGTTGGATGAGGTTGAGCACGATATCATGAATTATTAATGCAGAGCGCTGAGATAACATGTTAAAACCGAGACAAAATATTTTTTTTACTACCAAGTTTTTAAACACTTCTCTCTAAAATTGCAAAAGTTCAAGAAAACTACACAGACATGCGGCTTGGAAACTAGGTAGACGGTGAACTCGAGATGATAAATTGTATATCGATTGAATGCTCTCGACCAATCAGATTTTTCATGGTAAGTGTGATGCATAATGATTAGTGGCGGCCTACGAAATGAGTTTCAAAGGCTGACGATTTGAGCATTAGTCCTTTCCCCTTTCGTTCTGGCGAGGGGCGAACACTTTAAAGGTCAGCTTTTGAAACTCTTCACGATGGCCAATTTACGTTTATCAACCCAGATGAGGAAACCTTGTGTCTTGTAATACCCTACCGTTTAATAGAGATTCGCCACCTTTATTTATTTATAAAATCAGTATGTCGAGAGTTAATCTGCTACAAGTTTTCAACATCACGACCAAGGAGATATAATGTATTTCAAACAATACTTGGAAATAAATGTTTGTCTCGTCACATTTTTTAATCACTAAATTGTACTACAATCTTGCTGAAAAGCGATAGGAATAAATATTGTAATGAAGTCCTGTTCATATAAAGCTTTCGGTTACGATTTATTGCCACATTTCAGGCCCAGAAAACAGCGTAGTTTGTACAAACCGAAAAGGAGACTTTGAACCACAGGCTGCCCAACTAGAATAAAGCCGCACACAAGACCGATTGAAAAACCCGGGCTGTTGTTGTAATCTATGTAGGAATAGATGTATGGCTCACCACGAGCGTTAGTCGCATCAACTGCCCAAAAGATAACAGTTGTCAACAGATAACAAATACCCAAGACCAATGGATAGACAACATGGAGAATTCTGACAGGAACGCAGCTCAGCATTATGTCTGCAACAATCATAACACTGTTTATCAGATGGGTACTCACATCCAGACCACTGGTTGTGCCGCCAAAAATTAGTGTCCAGTACAAAAGGGTCACCATAATGGCAGTATTGGCAGCAATGTTAAAAACGACCCATAATCCCTTGTGATACCACGACATCTTCACTGCGGATTTATGGACACTATCGCCCAGGCCTTCTCCTCCCTCTGCGTCACTGTCATGGTTGCCAATAGCCTTCATTTGCATGTCCACCTGGTTGTTTGTGATTCCAAAGTGATGCAGAACGCTGACAACAGAAGCCCACAAGAAATACATCGTCACAAAGGTAAAAGCCCAGTTTGTCAAATAGATGAACCATTTTTCTGCGCCATTAGCGGGATGGAAACCGCTATATATGATCCAACCCAAGCAATACGCGCTAAAAATACAGCGATATGCCGTCACCAGGGCAGCTGGGAGCCACTAAGGAAAAGAACAGGGGAATGTGTGAATTATTGATATCAATACCCAACGAGAACAAATATTTTTGCCCTCTCACGTGACGTGCAAAACAAAGAGCTCAAATGAGGCTACTCTCTCGACTGAATAAATAATTCATATAAAGCCGAAGGTAAACCTCTAAGCGCTTCACATTACGAAAGAGGGAGAAACAAACAGTTCGAATAAACATTAAGTGCTTGAAAAAAAAAATACAGCTTTGAGTGACAAATAATTACTCGTCAACAGCGAGTTTTATGACGACACACTTGAACATCTCTCACACCCAATCATGTATCACTAAACAGTGGTTAATATTGCCACAGGTTGACAAACATTTTTTAGATAGTACAAGTTCTTAATGAAGAAAATTCTCACGAATAACAGCTACTAATCTACAGTGAACAGCTCACCAGCAAATTGATAGATCACCTAATATGTTTAAAATGCTCTTTGCTGTAATCAAATTTAGGAAGTGAAGTAGAGCCGACGTGCAGATAGGACACACAGCGGCACGCTGGGTTCCATCCGCTCCTAGATTTTCACCCATAACTCCAATAGAACAGAAACAACTTCACTCGGCCAAGCGATTTAATGAAACAATAGAATTAGACCATTTCTGCTAAAATTATTTGCTTTAAATATTAGCGTCAAAGTTATGCGAAATCGATCGAACAATAACACGCTTGAAAACAAACAACTGGTACGAATATCAACAGGATGTAGGAACACGAACATTGAGTGCAAGGGGCTGACATCAACACATAAATCCCCCTAATGGAAAATTTATAACGTGGCAAATGTAAGAGCTAAAGGTCAGCGATCATCCACTGAACCCTTCGGTCAACTTTTTGACTTAATAACGCTAGTTATTTATTCGCATTCTTACAACATCCATGAAATAACTTAGATATGCACTCACCAGTGATCGGATGAAATCTTTGGCGTCAGAATGATACAATTTGACTTGAGACAAACGAAACTCGTCGCGGCACATGATGGACACTTGGTCAGTAACTACTAAATAGGATTCAAGTATACACCAACTCACTGGTTTTGATGTGCGTAAACAAACTTCAATTGTCACAAACGGTTCTTTGACGTCATGCGCCAAATACGCATTTCCGGTTCCAACCCAGTCTCTTCATCCACAGGCATCTCTGATCTCCAGCCCATCCGAGTCATTTTGGCTCTTTATCAACGGTATGGTCGCCATAGAGCTGTATATGAACGGAATTCGTGGGATTCCGGTTTTAACTACGCATGTTTACATTGTTTAGTTATTGCTTTCGGTTGACTTCTGCGCGTGTTCAAAATAAAGCACACGGTCTGCTACGCTAGCGGAAGATGAGAAGAACTCAAGATGATAAGACTCATTGTAACTAGTTGAAAGAGTAATTTTTAAATCAGAAGAAAATAACGAGATTTTTTCCAGTATGCCCTCCGGTGCTCCGAAGTTTGGAAGTGAAAGAAAAGGGGCTAGGGGACAGGTGATGGCCTTTTACGCAGCTTTTACGCTCTTTAAGAAATTTGACAAAAAAAGTCCGGCAGTGCTGACTTGAGTGGAACAGTCGAACTGCCAGACGTTTCAGTTATTGGCAGACCGTGTCCGGCAGTGTTCGAAGAAAATTTTCTAAGTGTCACGCTTGTATCTCTTCGTACATTGTGTACAAGGTCGGTGACAAAGACAACGTTCGAACTTTTCCACTTTCTTGAAGCGCTTGAGGATTCTAAATAAAGGTAGAAAATTATTCAGGGAAAATTGGGGTATTTCAAATAGAAATACGGAGTTATTTAAGGACCGTGTCCGGCCGTTCCATTGAAAGTGTCAAGCACTTAGATGGCTTCGCTCGCTGTATACAGGGTTAGCGAAAAACATCAAGTTCGAAATTTTTGGCTGCCTGGAAGCGCTTGAAGATTTTAAATAAAAGTTGAACATTGTCGTTTAAATATTTTTTGGATTTCGAAGAGAAATATGGGAAAATATCGGACTGACGGACGTTTGGTTATTTTAAGACCGTGTCCGGCCGCAGGACGCTTAGTCACTTCGTATTTGGCATGATCCGTGATCCAGTCCGTTTGTTTTTAGTATTACCAAAACAGCTTTACGCTTCCAAAACACCGTGACTTACTAGTTTGTGTGCTAGTTTATAACTAGCGCGAAACAACTTGGTTTTGGCAGCCCGAAAACACGCCACTGTTTAGGACATGGGCAGACATTTGACCCCTGTGTGCAGAATCCCTCACCTTTTAACCCTGTAGGTGTGCAGAGCTTTGGACGAGATACAAAACAAGAATACTAAACCGCAAGATACTAAACAAGAAAATATTTCTGTCAACGTCGCGATTTAATCAAAGATGCAAACTTTGGATACCAGTCTACCTCAATGCAGGAACATAAAAACCTATAATTTATTTGTTCTGGATGGAAATACAGAGTTTCTACTGTTCGATTATTGACGACTTCTCATCCTGTTAAAATGACACCGCAGTGTAAACATTCCGAAATTCCACAACTGAGCCAAAGGAAGCCCAACTAGTGCAATGACAGTGATTGCTAGAGCAGTAATATATGGTTTATGCCCATAATCTAGGAGTGGATAAATGTGGTCTTCGCCATTGGTGTCAGTGCCACCACTCTGCCAATACACCACTGTAAATATAACGTATATAATTCCATACAGCTCAGCGTAAACCACATGGAAAAGACATACGGGAATTGAACTAAGACAAGTTTCTATCAACATAAAAACCGAGTTCATTGCATGAAAAGCTATATCTATTTCATGAACAGCGCCTCCTGAATATAAAAAACTCCAGAACACTACTGTTACAACAGGCGCAATGTTTGCAGCGATGATGTAAAACAGCCACGTGACTTTGTGATACCATGTTTGGCAATAATCTACGGTTACAACAACCAATGGAATCTCACTTTCATCAATATCTTGAGCTTGTGCCGATGCTTCGATTTGTTCAGTATCCTCATAAGAGTCATAATACTGTTCTTGCTGCGAACCATCCCCTGAGTCACTTGATTCAGGAGTCACACGTGTGGTATGTGAATAAGGATCTCTCTGTGAAGACGTTTGTTCCTCTGGAGTGCACGCATGCCCTGATTCATTATCCATAAGTTTACCATGATGATGTGCCCAATATATAAGAGAAGTAAGAGTGCTGCACACAAAGTAAGTAGTCACGCACAGAAAAGACCAGTCTGTTAGGTAAATGAGCCATTTCCAAGTGTTGTCTCTGATAACACTGTAGATTATCCAGCTAGCGCAGTACAGGGTAACCAAGAGTCGATATCCTACAACACATGATACAGGGAGCCACTGTGGAAACAGGAAACAACTCAGGTTTATTTTTCAATTTTCGAGTCAAGTGGCCGTCGCTCTAATGCAAATTCGCTTGACGGGAGACAAGTGCGACGGCGGTATACAATACGTGGCCTGTCACGCTCGTGCCTTTCCATGCGTCAGGGCCTGTTCAACAGACTATAAAAAGAATACGTGACGGGCATTTGGTTCGGTGCTAAGCCTGAACGATAAGAGTGAAAAAGCCATTCTTCCGCAATAACTTCTGCCTTAACTGCCTCTTAATTTAGCTGTAACATCAAAAAATGCTTGGGCTTGTTTAAGACTCGTAAGTTTTATGAGTTTAAGATTCACAAAGCAATTGCAACCCCAAAGTAATATGCTTTAACACGTTCCCTTTGTCAGCGACAAGTACGAACACTAATTATAACCGGCATATTTACCTCTGCCCTTTTCTTTCGGCATAGTTTAACGGAGTAAATTTTATCCGGTACAACGAGCATACATTACTGATAATATTTTCCGCTTTACAATATGACTCGCAAAAGGAAAAACTATGAATATACGAACGTAAACAGTTCACCCAAACATCCTCACCGGCGATTCAGCGAAGACTCTGCCATTGGGGTAACTCAACCTGAAATTCCGTAGACGAAACTCTCTTGTGAACACATCCATTGTAAGCGACATCGACGACCGCATGCTGTTATACTGATCGTTCCATGAGAGTCACGAGTTTTTGTCACAAGCATTCAATCATCAACGGTTCAGTCATTTTCTGTCACGCAATAGGGACGGCTACCGGAGGTAAATTTGCATTAGCAAGCATGCACACGAGAGCTCCTCTCTCGCGTGTTTGCCGTCGTGGTCTCGTCGAGGACGCCTTTTAGTGAGTTTCGCCGTCGTGTCGAGAACGTGAGAATTTTGCATCTTGTTTTGACATGAAAAACGTTGTAGTTGATTCCATTTCCAGATATACTGATGGGGATGTTTATAAACATCATATTTTTGGTGTTTTTGTTGTAAATGACTTCAAATAGGAAAAGATATTTATAAATGTATTCATTGTGTATTTGTTTGTTGTTTCAGTCGCCATCCATAGATGCTCCCGCGCAAACGTTAACTACTGCGAGGAAAAGTAAATCAGTGTAAGTATTAAAAATTGAAGAATTCTTATACTAATCAAGTGTTCAAATCGATTAGAGAGAAAAAATAGAAGAATAAATTGATGTTAAATAAAATTTAGACAACTCGATAATAGTCCATTTTACAGTTGTGTGCTTGGTTGCTAAGCCTTTGAACAGGAATGAGTCTAAGGGTGACCTTGTTATGATACAAACCTTGCTGTTTTTCAATTGCAAATTACTTTGTTATCATGCTAACTAGATACTGGTCTCTATCACAACAAGGTCACCTTCAGCCTCACTCCAAATAAAAGGCTTGGCAACTAAGTACACAACTGTAAAATGGCCTATTGTTGTTTACCTCTTGTTGAGTTATACTGTAATTAAACATTTCAGTCCGGATTCACATATTCCGTTTTATTCAAGAATTGATTTTGATTATAATCTTCAGGAAGCCAATAGTGTGGAGTACTGTACACGACGAGATGTTATGCAGAGAAATATTGGTTGTAGATCCCTTTACTGGGACGAAAAAGGGTACAGTGACAAGAGGAACTAAGTGGAAAGAGGTCGCCGAAAACCTAAAAAAAATTCAGCAAGGTTACTTTAAAGTTGACAAGCGGGCAGTCCGAGATCGTTACAACCTCCTTACAAAGGAACAAAAAAACTGAAAAAACTGAAAAAACAAACTGAAACGAGAAGAAAAAGAAATTGGAATCGAAACTGATATGAAAGAATTTGAAATGGCATTAGAAGAATTAATTGACAAAGAAGATGCAGCTGAGACCGAGCAGAGGATTGTTGATGACCAGAAGAAAATGAAGGAAAGTGAAGACAGGAAAAATGCTGAGAGCGTTCGAAAGAAGGCCATGGAAAGACTTTGACAAACACAGAAAAGGAAAGCAGACGAGAGTGAAAGCGATGGGAGAAAAAGGAAGAAAAGATCAAGCGGCAGCGACACAGTGAGCTTTCTGAGAGAGAAAAATGAACAGGCACAGGAAAGGCAAAAACAGGAGTTGGAGTTGAGGAAACAGCAGCTCGAGGTTGAGTCAAAGAAGCAAGATAACTTCATGCAGATGATGCTAAATCAGCAGCAACAGCAACAAAGACAGATGCAGGATTTTCAGGCTCTGATGAGTATCCAGACAAAACAGCAAAAGGATTTGATGCTAGCCCTTGTTTCTAAGTTAGTAGAGAAGAAATAAAATATGTAACCACCATGTTGTAATCGAAAAGGGCAGTGGTGGTAGCACAAACAAAATTTGGGTTTACAAACTTAATTTTTAGCTGTTTTGCTGTTGTTATTGTTTATAAATCAGATAAGCTTTTTTGTTACTTGCTACGTAGACAGTAGTAAAGAATTTAATAGTCTACCTTGAATTTACACAATTTACAATTGCTGCCACTCAGTGAAGGTATATAGTTTATTTGTACATCATCACTTCAAAATGGTACTGTTGTTGTTGCACTGTAGTGGTTGCACTTTTAAATATTTTCAAAGAAAATGTTGTGTTGTTCATCACACATATCTAGATAAACATTTGAAACATCTGTCTGGAGTAATCCTGTGAAAGAAAGACAGATGTTGTATTAAAATGATATGGATTTAACATTTCCATCTCTCTTTTAAACTTTGAAGTCATGTGATATAAAACTATTTTTGATTTTAGTCAATAAAAATTTGCACTGATCAATAAAAAGTATGGTCATAAAGTGAAATCCTATACAAAATACTCTTCAAGGGTTGGGGGATCTAGATCAAAAAATTCTGAAGTTTGAATTCCATTAAAGAAATTAAGGGCATTGCGAAATAGAGCACTGAAATGTACGTTTTCCCCACGGAGCTTAGACCAATTTTTAAATTCTTATGAAAATCCATAAATTTAAAATAGTTCACAATGTCGCCAAAGAGCCATTCTACCGATTCACGCACAGCACTCATGGAGGAATTGAAGGCTTGCATGGCAGGAGTTAGAACTGCGTTCCTGAAGGGAACTTGCAGGTGGATACGAAGAGGGTAGGCAGGGTCACCGTAAAGGCACATGGGTTGACCAGTGGAAGAAAATGCAAAGCGCTGTAGATCATTGAGTAGTCCGGAATCTGCCAACATACCGGCATCGTGTTTTCTTCCTTCTGCAATAAAATTGAAAACCAAAACGGCAAATTCATAGTCAGAACCCAAAATTACAAACATGAAGGGTTTTGAACACTTAGCAACAATTTTATTTGAGGTATATTCTGAACCACAGACTTACCTACAGGCCCGTACATATTTGCAATCATACCATTAGGCAAGGTAAATGATTGCAATTTTAGTGCGTGAACCCGCTTGTGACCATTGTAGACGACTCTTTGTAATTCCCCGGGACGACAGATTAGTCTCACAGTTCCATCTATGAACCCTATACAGTTATCCAGTGCTGCACCTTTGTTATGGATAGCTTCAGCATACCTCTCCAGACTCACAAGACCTAGAATTGTATTGTTCCACTGACTTATTCTATGACCATGTGTGTTGTAAATGTGATACAAAACAATGTTGTAAATCATGCTCAGCTCTGGTATTGGTCGCCCGAAACGAGGTATCAAGTCAGAGTAGCGACAAGGGTAAGTCAGTCGCCTTAACAGCAAACAAAGTCCTTCTATTCCAGGAGCTGTTGTGCCTTGGCAAAAAAATGTTTCAGGAATATCCAATGATTCTGCTAATCGGGGAATTTCATTTTTCTGAAGCGAAATTCAGATTTGCATTCCGTATCATCCATCGCATCCAAGTCGAACATTTCGTACTCTTCGTATGGAAATTCTGGATTCTTCGAAAAGTTTCCTCCATACAACAAAACAAATTCATCATCATCGATCGTTATGGCTTTCCAAGAGAAGATTCCTAGCGTCTTTAAAGGATGATATTGCTGTTATAAAGCGAAAATATCGGGATCGCCGTCGTACACGAAAACAATACCCGCTTAAGTATTTTGTTTTTGGCGGGCACGACGAGAGTCGTCCCAGTCTTACTCTTCCAGTACCGTCGCCGTCCTGGCTTCCCGTCCTGGTATCTTAAGGTCCCTAATGTTTACATCGTCTCAGAGCCATTGTGTGTCGGACTATTGAGGTTTGTACTGAAGATCATTGGGTTTGTATTGTTTCCTTATTCGGAACTGGTTAGCTTAAATGACCACCACAAACCGCATAATATCAAGCCAAGCTTTAATAATTATTCGATCTAAAAGAATACATTTATTATTTGCAATCAGAACAAACGCAAATCAGGTCTTTATCTCATAGCAAAATTAAAAAACTTCAATGTGAAATTACTTCTGTGACGGGTCGTTACAACAGTGTCACTTTACAAGTTAGCAGATTCTCCAGGTAAGCGGATTTAGACAGAGAAATAATAACAAAAATAACTTCTTTCTCATTTCGATTCTGCTGAAAAACTGATTTTAAACATAATAACCTAACGCTTTTAAATTAATTTGTAGAATTAAAGTCAATCACGATTCTCGTCATCGAATGAATCTATCAATAAGAGGCAACGCCTACTTGATAAACGGAACATGTAGTGGGGATCATCCAACCCTCCCCCTCACAGCGAGATAAATAAAATCTCTTACAGAGTGGTACTAATGCTAACAGACGTTAATTAGTTCTTTATAATAAAAAAAAAACTGATTACAGTGTAAGATAGAACAAAACAATACATAGCCTGCGAGCAAGACCTCATTAATAGTACTACAGGACGTGCGTTTCTCCGCCCGTGAGAAGATGAGACGAGTCACCGGAGTCGGGGAGACTCCGAAATCTCTAAGATCTCTCAGATCTCAGAAAGCAGTTTTAGTAGTACTTTTAAGCGAGTTTTTGTAAATTTACCAGTCAATTAAGGCATAAGATGGCGATTTTTATCCTTATTTTAAAATACCCCTATTCAGTGGAACTTGTATCAGGCGGTCGCTCTGTATCAAGCGGTCACCCTGCCACTCCCCGCATGTGACCGCTCAATACAGGTTCAAATACACCAAAAAGACATAATGCTTGCGTTGAAAGAAAAAAAAGCACGTAAGTTGAATCTATTGGCATTCGAAGGCACTCCGAAATTTGGCAAAAAAAATACAAGCCTAAAACCATTAAGGAGAAATGTCCAGTTCCAATTCAGGTTCTTTTTTCCGGTTAACTGTTCAAATTAGTCGATTCCAAGAGCGGTTCAACTTCAAGCGCAGCTCGTAAAGTCCAAACAGAAGCAACTGCGACATTGCATTACCAACAAAAAGAAACAAGCAAATAATTATAGCAGCCCTCTTTGGATGTCCACTGTAGTCAAGAGCAGGGTAGATGTACGGCTCGCCATATGGATTTGTTCCCCCACAGGCCCAGTAAATAATGGAAAATATCATATAAACAGTAATGAATATGATTGGGTAAATAACGTGCAATAACTTGATCGGAATAGAGCTTACCATGATGTCGATAACAATAAGCACAGAGTTCAGAGCGTGCGAATTCAACGTTACGAAGTCAAAATCTCCAGGTTTGTAGACTAGGCTCCAAAACATCACGGTCACTGGAAAGGCAATGTTTGAAGCGATGTCACAAATGATCCATGATACCTTGCAAGCTAATGGAAGTTGTGGTTCGACACTGAATATGAATTGTTCGTCATCAGAGTTATCATCGCTTTCACTTTCTTCCTCGTATTCTTTGTTACTTCCTTTAATGTTCATTCCGTTAATGTTACTTCCGTTACTGTTACTTCCGTCACTGTTACTTCCGTCACTGTCACTTCCGTTACTGTTGGGCTGTACCGTTTGGTAATAATACACAAGAAACGCTTGAGTGACAAAATGTAGATTAATGAACGTGTAGCTCCAATTCGTGAGGAAGATCAACCATTTTAGACCCTGGTATTGCCTCTCAATCACAGCAAGTACTGTCATTGCTGTAGTGTATAGTGCCAGGACCACTCGGTATACAATAAAAGCGCGGCCGGTTAGCCACTAAGATAGGAAAAATTATAACAAAAAAATAAGTGAAGCGCCTCGTAAAAACTTACACAAGTGTAAGTGTGTTACGAAGTTCATGAAAGGAAACAGGGGACTACTTAAACAAAATAGAGCGGACTAGCTTAACATGAGGAGACTATCAAATGGCTGCCATGTTATTAATTGAGAGCGAAGTTACTTATTTCCAACTTAAGCTGGAGCGTGTCACTTGAGGCATGATACAGAATTGTTGCAAGCCACTTCATAGTAGGTATATTTTCCATTGTCTAATTGAAATTTTAAACGACCGAAGGTGGTACAGAAAATCTACAAACTTGTTGAATCAACGATGGAAATCTGCCAATTACTTTAAGTTAGTCACGAGGTCTCAGAAGTGACTCAGCTGCAGATCAGAACAAGAGGTCATTCTGCATCAGATGTCGATTAACTAGACGTACAGCACCGGCTATTGATGATGAACTTACCATTGACGAAGAAAAATCAGCGATATCTGCATCACATGGCCATAGATTTCTACGACGAAACTGGTCTTTCAAAGATAGGCACATGATTTGTTTTATTCGTAAAAGCTCATGAACCTGAAACCCGAAACTGAAATGAATGGTAATGAGCCTTTTTGGACGAGTCTTTGACGTCATCAAAGTAACACAACATAACTTAACGTCACTCGGTACGAGTCGGCGGATTATTTTTGGACTTTTGTCAACTCAATGTCATCGTGCTGAAAATGTCAGGAAAGTTCAGTGATGCACAATGAAATGCTTTTAGTGACAGACGTGTGAACAACGAGAATAACCACAATTACTGATGTTGCTCTCTGTTCCTGCCTGAGCGGAGTTCATAAATGTTTCCACACTGTTTACAATGCATGAACCTTAGCTGATAGGACTCTATGGAAGCAAAAACTGCATTAAAATACTGTTCAAAATACAAAATCATTCAATCTAACATCGCGTTTTCTATTAAGATAGCGTGACAGTTTCAAACGACTCCTTAAAATTGTGAAATTGTGAATATTTAGCTCTTCTTTTGGTGGCTGGACCGCTATATAAATGGCGTTTTAAACCATCCTTATCTTTGAGTATTTTCTGCTTGGCAAAATCAGAATGGAACAAACCTTGCTTAATATATTTTGGCTTAGACGAAGTAACTTATAGATTTATAAATTGCAGATGGATACGATATGAATTATCTGTTTTGTAAGATTAGGATTGATAGGCTTAATCTTAAAATCCACGCTTGCCAACATAGCACATCTAAGAACCGGAATCTAGTCATGACAGGTTAATTCTCCTGCTGGATGGCATAAAACAACGAAAAGCTTTTCGCGGAAGGCAAAAATTGAAATTGTATCCCAAGTTCTAGGCCAAGTGTTCCTTCTTTTTTTCCTCCATAATATAATACGTTAGATTTGAAGTGACGGTCACTGTTTCAAAAAAATGCTAATCAGGTGACGTTGATGACGTCAGAAATAAGCGATGAACACCTGTTTGTCTGTTCTTGTTATCATCATTTATTTTTCGTTCGCATTATTTCAATATCACAACACTCCGCTCCTCTGTATAGCGCTACTATGGCCCCTTGATCCGTTCCAAATCAGTTTGTCGCTTTGTTTTCGAGTGTCAAGTTATACTGCACAGTTAGCACCTAACTGTTCCAACTGACACTGCATGGCGCAGCGAACAAATTGATGCTCACTGAAAATTGACAACAAATCCGATACCTGAGCCGAAGAAGCACTTCACTTCATGAATCCGGAGTTTACCGAAGACTGAGTATCCATAAGGAGATAATTTTTTATCTTTTTTCTGATGACTTATACCGTGTAACTTTTTTATTCGTACGAGAAAATAAGAAATTTATGGCGGCTACAGCAAGACGAATCGGACTATCGACCCGCTTCGGAAGAAAAACATCGAGAGAAGATGACAGTAGCAATTGTAAGTCAAGAAAAATCAGTTCTGGGAGGCAAATATCACGGGAAGAAAATATTAATACTTTCTCTGTCAGAAAATCATCTCGAGGACTTCAAGAAGGTGAAATTCACTGCCAAGGGGCTTTGGAGGCAGCGTATTCTATTTCACGACCAGAGGCACATAGTTCATTTGATACAAAAGGAACAAGAATCAGACGGAAGATATCAGTGTATGCGCGTCCAGAGTCACTCGAAAGAGAAGTTAACCCGCAAGGGACAAGATGGCAAGAATTTTTGATGAGATATGAACCGATAATATTATCCTCTTTGGTTTTATTGATTGTGTCTGTTTCTCTTTATATCGTGTTCGTTGAAAGACAAAGTTTGTTTTCAAAATAAGAGACTTACTCGGTGATTAAAACCCCTGAGTTGCAATAATTTTAATTACACGTTCTTCCAAAGAAGACTTCAAATGTTTATTGCCGGATTACAAATCATGTGATCTGTTCTACCGAACAAATTACTCAAAATAAAAATTTTTAGAAGGAAAAAAAAGTTCATCAGTGCTAAATAAAAAATCGCTGTAGACGCGATGATTAATTTCCCTGTAAAATCAACACAGTCTGGTCGCGAAACACAAAAACCGAACGCAAATAGATATTTCTTTTTATTTAGCTCATCAACTGAGCTGACATTTAGGAAAGGTTTGTTATTAGCAGACCGAATGTTCAGACCCTCAGACCGTTTCCTGGCAAATTGCTCCGTTCGTGTACGTTTTTTTTTGGGGGGGGACTTTTTTAATTATTATCGGATATTTCCATTTTGCGAAAAATTCGGGCAGCTGAACATCATTGAACTTGAAGACGCTTTTAGACGTACGACAAGTTGTTGATCTTGTCCTTTTCAGCTACATCTCATTACGATCTCTGCCAACAGCGATGCCGCAGACAAAACAATCAAGTAATCCACATAACAATAAAACAATGACCGATGAAAGGCAAGGAAAGAACAAAGGTATTGCTATAAGCTCGTTCGATGCTGATGCAGAGAAGCAATCAAGGCAAGCTATCGACAGAAAAGTGTTGAATAGCCAAAAAATAATATCCTGAGGTATGAATTTCAATTATTTATTGCCTGGGGGAGGGAAGGGGTCGAGGATTTTTGGAGGGGATCACATGGTTTTCAGGGGTACGAGGGGGGGGGGGCAGTCGTCGCTAACAGAGTATGAAGGGGGGACTTTTAGGAAATTAAAAGCCAATGGGGGGGTCATAAGAACACTACAGAGCGTATGGGGGGGGGGGAACAGGTAAATTTTTTGGCTCAAAAAAAAATCCTCAAACCCCTGTCCCACTCCCTTACGCAATTAATCATGCTCGGTCCCTCAAAATTGTAGAAATTTTCAACACGTAGTTGAAACATTTGTTAGCTCAGATGAGGGCAGGTGCGAACTGAATGGTGTATGCTGTATTTCCCTCGATCATCAAGCACCATGCAAAGTTCTACGGTTTTCTTCACACATTGAGCTTATAAAATTTCTGTAAGAATACATTTTACCTCTGTTAGACTCGATTTACGTTCGCTTTGACACACTGCATCCGTTAACGGCATGTGACGTCAAAAGTTTCTCATCAAACTTGATTCCAGTGTCTTCCAATAAAACAATGACCGATGAAAGGCAAGGAAAGAACAAAGGTATTGCTATAAGCTCGTTCGATGCTGATGCAGAGAAGCAATCAAGGCAAGCTATCGACAGAAAAGTTTTAGAATAGCCAAAAAATAATATCCTGAGGTATGAATTTCAATTATTTATTGCCTGGGGGAGGGAAGGGGTCGAGGATTTTTGGAGAGGATCACATGGTTTTCAGGGGTACGAGGGGGGGGCAGTCGTCGCTAACAGAGTATGAAGGGGGGGGAGACAGGTAAATTTTTTGACTCAAAAAAATTTCCCTCGATCATCAAGCACCATGCAAAGTTCTGCGGTTTTCTTCACATATTGAGCTTGCAAAATTTCTGTAAGAATACATTTTACCCTTGTAAGACTCGATTTACGTTCGCTTTGACACACTGCATCCGTTAACGGCATGTGTCGTCAAAAGTTTCTAATCAAATTTGATTCCAGTGTCATGCCAAGCGTTATATAAAAGTTTTTCATCAAACATCTATTGTAATACAGCAGTCTTTGAAAGTAATCCATGCAGTATATCTTCAATTCACTCTGTGCCCATCTTATAGCCGATCAGAAGCAACACTAAAAAAAATCACGCCTTGGTCGCCCACGTTTTCCCGCGCTTTAGTTAGTCTAGTTGTTTTTAATTTGACTCAGTTCTCATTGGCTCTTAAGGTGACTCCTCAGAAAAAAAAAAAATTAGCCAACAATTTTTTTTCAACTTTCTTTAAATGTTCCCTTCCAATGCTTGTTTAGAAAAACAAAATAAAAAGATAGGTTATCGTGCTTGTTTAAGAGATATAATGGGCCAAACCTATCCAATTTATGCCTGTATTGGCACTAATCACGCGCGTCATTTCATAGCTTCAAAGTAAATTTTGCGTCAACTAGAAGCAAGGCTTTTTACAGTAACACTTGATAGGTACAAGGTCTCAAACGAATGTAAAAATTTTAATATACATTTTGAGGACAAATCGCCCAATATTAAACGACTTCGACATAAAGAATCGTGCATCGAGTCGTCGCTTAAAAGGACATAATTTGCGAGTAACGGGCTTCGTGCACGCTAAGATATATCTTATTTTTCCTTCGATTACTTCCTTATTTAATTTCTCCATTTTAAAGGGAATAATTTGAACACCGAAATTATTCGATAAAAAAATATACGTAATCGTGCTCATTTAAGAGCAAAAGACCATCGTACCTCTTTACCTGGTCCACAGATTGAAAACTAATACAATGTTCTCGGAATGCGCGCGCGCTTATCAGCCTGATTTCGTGATTTTTATGCTCAGTACAGCGGATTTTCCTCTCCTCTGATTGGCCATTACGATCACTATGGTTTTGAATTTGGTTTTACGACACCCAATCGGAAGACGCTCTATACATTTGTGGCTTTGATTCTGTTACGAAAGTATGTGTGAATTTTTAATGAAACTGCATTTCGTGAACTTTTTTTGCGGGAGTCAAAACAAAAATTGCTTTCCAGAAAGAACAGATTTGCAGTATATCGGACTAATCCATTTTCTTTCAAAAACAATAGACTATGTTGTTCAAAAGACGTCTGGTCACTTGGATAAACATTCCTCTTTTGTTTTTAAGATACCTAAAGTAAGTTTCATTTAATGCTGAGACAAAAGAAAGTTTGAAGAGTGGTGACTCCGGAATTTAATTTACAAACATTATAAACCAAATAACCGACTCCCTGAGAAACAAACGACCTTGATTGATTGAAGTTATAAAAAATATGGAGAACAGTTTCATGTGAAAAGTTGTTCTCACTGAAAATCTTATTTCAGTTAATCTGAAATCGCCAAAAAAAGCGTCAAAATACAAACACGAAAAGCCTTGCTATTCTTGGTTACGTAGGCGACCTTAATCCGTTACCAGGCAACTGGTGACAAACGAATAATTGAAAGATCAAAAGTCTACAAGTGACCGTGAACTCATGCAAACCAAACTATTTCTTTCGAGGCACTGCAGTTGAACTGCAGAAACTTCCCTTTTAAAGACAATTTAGCCGCGAAGAATACTGAAAAAGAACGGTGGAAGATTGAAAATAAGACGAATTTTGTTTGACGTGTCAGGGAATTGAGCAAATTCCAGTGTCGTAGAAAGGCACGATCCGCACTGTTCAGCAGCGTGCAGATGTCATTCACGCCATTAAGTTCCATCACCGTTGATCGTTGATTCGATTTTAAAAACGGTTGTTTAAAGCAACTGGTCACTGAAACGAAACTCAAAATGGCAGAAGAAGTTCAAGAAGGGCAACAGTTGAGCGACAGCGACAAAGCAGCCGAAAAACCAGCTCAAGACAATCCTGTTCAAGAGACGGAACAAAAAAACGTGCAGCTGACTTCGTCAGGTAATAACTTGTTTATGAATCCTACTCGAGTGCTTTTCATTATTGTATTTATTTTTGACAGACTTATAAACACCATATCAAAAGACCGATGTTCGGCGTTTTAGTCTGGTTACGCAAGATCCATCGCGAATATTCTTAACTTCCTATTTCCTCGTAAACGATGCATGAAATTTATCAAATATCGACAGCTCTTTCGTAACGTTCGATTTGTTTTAAGAGACCGTGATTGTGGTTTTATCCACGAGTAAACCCAAAACCCGAAGTAGCTGGTGAAAAGCTTTAAAAACCACCTCGAATGTTTCGATTACAAGGTTGCTTGCAATATAAACGATTGTGCAAGCGAACGAACTACCTCAACAAGGCAGTTTCCCTTAGATAATTCAATAAATCAGACTTCATTGAAGTACATAAAAAATCACGAAATGAAAATCAAGAATTTCAGCTTTACTTATCAGCATGAGCAAATTGTTGTTATGAATTGTATAGCTTTTATATCAAGATGGAAACAGGCAAAACTCCATTCTTTTAAATGCCTACGTTATAGTAACTACCTCACAGTAGAAGTACATATTATTCACTACTTTTATTTTCTCGGTCAATGGCTTTGTTGTTCCTGTCTAATATTTAGTTGTAATTGGGATTCTTTACAGAGCCACCACAAGGTAGTGATCCTGTGGCACAAGAGGAGTCCAAACCAGAAACAGGAGATAGCTCAGCTCCACAGGAGCCCGTCTCCAATGAAGGCGGTACAGAATCATCTGAGAGTGCAGAGCCTGTGAAAGATGCAGGTGAAGGACTTGCTGTAAGTGAGGAACAAGGAAATCAGAGGGAATCAGAGGAAAACACACCTGAGGAAAATGAGAATAACAATGTTAAGAGTGAGGAAAATTCAGAAGTACCCAAGGAAGAGACAGAAGTTAACAATGATGGTGAGAAAAAGGCAGAGTTACAGGAAGGTGATAATGTGCCACAAGAGGAAAGTATTGCTCAAAAACCTGGTGATGAACAACAAGCTGAGGTGAAACCAGAAGAGAAGAGGGAGGAACCTACAGAGGAAGGAAACAAAGAGGAACAAGGTGCAGTCAGCCAGGAGGAAAACAAGCCAGCTGATGGAGAAAGTAATGTTCAAAAACCCAGTGAGGAGCAACAAGCTGAAGGAACAGCAGCAGAATCTGAAAATAAGGATATAGCAGAGAAGCAAGAAAATGAATCAAATGGAGAAAAAGGAGATGCTCCTGACATAACCAATACCAATCAAGAAGAAGCTACAGAGGGCACTATAACTACAGAGGATTCTTCTCAAAAACTCAGTGATAAGGATGAAGCTGATGGAGCAACTAAACCAGACATAACACCTGTAGAGACAGACAACAACAAAGATAATCAGATAGTACAAGCAACTCCAGAGAATGAACCCACGGATGTGAAGCAGGAAGAGGTTTCAGAGGAAGCTGACAAGCCTGTGGAGAACCAGGAACATATTCAGTCAGATACTCCACCCACAGAACAACAGCCTGCTGTGACAACAACACAGATTGCTACAATACCTGCAAATGAAGCACCACAAACCAAACAAGATGAACTTCAAGAGGAGAACAAAAAATTGAAACAAGATATGTTTATGATGAAACAACAAGAGGATGCCTACAGAATCAAAGTCCTTAGCTTGGAACAAGAAGTTGGAAAGTTAAGAGCAAGAAAAATTGACAATAGAAGTACAGGTGTGTATTTCTTTTTCATGCAGGAAAGTAGGACAGCTGTGGGCCTAAATTCATCATAGACTCTTTACAGTTCTACTAGGTAGTATTGAACAAACCTTCACTCCTAAGGTCTCATTAGTAAATTTCCTTGCTGTCTGCCCTACAATTCTTATGATGTTAGATCAGAGAATTTGGTATTGGATCAAGAAATAATTCTGTAATTGGTATTTTTTTCTATTCTCATCACTTGCCTGTCTAATGTTGTATTGATATGCTATGAATAAATTCTGTCCTAATCACACATTGGAATTAAAGGGTTAAAGAAAAAATCTGCTGTGACTCACATTTATGTTGGAAAAAAAAATTACCAGAGACTCATAAAGGAAAGCCTGGAATAAAATCTTATTAACATAGTCTAACACCCAATCTATAAACTAGGAAAAAGTAAATGAAAAAATTTAATGTGATGTCTTTTTTTTCTTTTGTTGTCAGATTCACTTGCCTCAGACTCAGACAGTTACTTAAAACAGAAATTGGCAGAAACTGAGAGGGAACTAGATACAGCAGAGAGGAAAGTGAAGGACTTGCAGCTGAGACTGAAACGATTTGCTAAAGATGATCAGATTAAGGATGAAAAAATCTTCCAAATGGAAAAGGAGGTCAAAGAATTATCAGAACATATAAAGAAATTAGAGCGCTCAGTGGAGGATTCCAAAACAGAGAACAATAATAATACAACCCTACAGGCAAACCCAGACAAAAATGATTCAAAAGTTTGTATAATTCTCTGATATTGAAAATTGTTTTTATACTCATTTTTATTTATTTTTTGAATTGTTATGGTTGACTATAATGTTGGATGTTGAATATTTAAATGTGCACAAATGAACTTTTTTTATTGACAAAGGCATTTCAATACGATATTCATATGACTTGTGTATTCTGTAATTATTAATATATTGACATGTTATTTTCATCAGTTATTTGAGGTTTGTTAAAAGCATTTTACTCTAATTTATGGTGAGGAAAAAGAAGAATTCTAAGTTGAATTCCTCCAGCTCAACAACTTTAATTTGTACATTAATAGTAGGCAACCACATTTCTTTTGAGGCAATATACAGATCACAAGCATTTTCTTATACAAGTAGACAGTAAGCAGGATTTTGTCATTCTTGTTTCACAGACATGTAAGCCTAAAGATTATTTTTTGTGAATACACTATTTTTGATACATGTAAATACCTTTTTTCAGATAGCTTACTTTGTACAATTGTCACAATCTGCATACCTGACAACTAAGTTGATCTGACATCTGGAATGTTTTACAGGATTCCTATAGTAGACTTGACTCTTTCTGAAATCCAAACATCTCATTTCTCATTGACTTGAAAAAGGAACAAAAAATAACAATGAAAATTAAAAGCTTTTGTATATAATTCCTCGAAAAAAATCTACATTAACTTATTTCTTTCTAAGGCCCTAATGGTATTTCAGTATGTATACCATTTAATATTTTAATGTCAGAGTTACACAGGATGCCAAAAATAGTTGAATGTGTTTGATACTTATTGTTTGATGTTCTGTTTTGAAAACACAGTTTTCCATTATTACCTAGTAAACTCCACTAATCACAGAACCACAAAGACTGACAAAGTATCCATAGAATGGATGACTGCACAAGTAACAACCACATCAAGTTTCATTTAATCAATTGTTTTTCACTCAAAAATTGCCATGTTGTTTCATGAGATTTAATTAAATCAATGAATGAAGAGCCATGTCTGGTTTGGTGTCAGATTCTAAAAACATAAATGTTGACTCATTTAATGTTTTAACTCTTAAGAGTGACAAAGACAAAATTTTCCTTACAATAACAATACAATATCAAGCAGACAAGTGATGAGAATTAAGAAAACTATCAATTAGAGGATTATTAGTTGATCCAATACCAATTTCTCCAAACCAATACAACACGAGGTGTGTTGCAGACAGAAAGGAGAATTAATGATGAGATCTTGGTAGTGAAAGGGTGAAGTCACTCTCAAGTACGGCATCATGCATCACTCTGCTCCCTCCTTTCCCCCCCCCCCCCCTTTTTTTCCCCAACCATAAACCTTGGGACCCTCTAATGTAGTCATGGCGGCGTTTTTCTGTTCACGTTAAGGAAAACAAAAAAATAAACTTACATTTTCGGAGCACCAAGACAGTGTTTTAACCCGGTAAACACCCACGAAAAAAGCAGATTATTTTATTTACTGTAAGCTACACCTCACAATTTCGTACAACGCTATGTTTTATTGCGCATATTTAAATCGCCTCAGGTCACCAAAACTCACCCCATGTTAAGAGTAGGGATTACCTGCCCGGTTTTACTTACAACCATAGCTCTGGTGGGGAGTTTTCCGCACTGCCCTATTACTTCATTAGCGGGCATACAGTTCTTGGATAAAAAAACAATAGCGAAAACTATCGATTACCTTTGGGACTACGGCCTTCTTTTAGAATATCATGGGTCAGATACAGATGTCAATACTCACATCAAATACAGCTGAGGTCATTCAATTTGACCAAATCTCTGTCCGTTAGGTAAACTATATCGCAACAGTTCGCAATCCTCTCCGTCCTCTCGCGCGGACAGTTCGCGCGCTCTTGTACAGCTTGGTTACTAAGATCGCGGGCTCATTGTTTTTGTTGGATTCCTCACAAATTACTCGTAGAATGGAACGTGAAGGACACAGTTAGATTTTGCTTTTCATTTGTTCTGGTTTAACTTCAAAAGAAAAAATTCAGCATTTCAAGTGTTAAATATGGGTTGTACCGTAAGTGGCGTCAACAGGAACAATTTTGAAAGAGCTCTTGTCAGAGGTGTTGCGAACAACAAAAGAGGACAGTTACTCATATGCGGTAGAGAAAAGAAGAAAACTAACCTACAGACGGAAAAAAGGAAATATTCGGGCAAAATCGAATTATTCAGAACTACAGATTTACCAAAGACCTTAACAACGAAGAAAATTATAGAATCCCCCCAGATGACAGCACTGTCCGATTCAATTTCGAACGAGAGAAATACACGTGTTTATTTGAGCACAGGTTTGAACAAAGAAGCCTTTCACAGACTAGATGGAAAATGGGAAGGCACCAAAACGGAGCAAATTATCCAAGGTACTGATATTATGTTTCTCAGCAGAATTTAAGATGTGGAGAAAGAGGAAGAGACAAGTCGTCCATCAGTTGCTGCTTTCCTTATTTTAAAATCCTTTACACTCTAGCATCAGTATCTGTATTCTCAACACTCCTCTCTGTACAGTTCTTTTGGTGCTAACAAGGAGAATACATTTAACAATCAAAGTTTCTTAGGTTGGCAATCATTTTTTTTATTCTCATGATTTTAATGAATGATTCAGAAGTATCGTAAAAAGGATTAATTAGATGCTGGTCACTCTTAGAGTTTAAAGGATGAAAAATATAACTTCTGTTACTGTTTGGTTATGAAGCTAACATGGTATGTTGAAAGGAGACTCTCTTTCCACTTGGTGACTGCATCTTGTGATAAAGATACAACTCCTCCCACCCAGAGTGAGAAGGGGGGGAGGAAGGGACATTAGAGGTAGACTGTCACCAAGGAGAATATCTGAGGGTTAAAGAAAGAGCAATAAAATTCATGTTCCTATGTACTAACTTCCTACCTCCCCACAAAAAAGTGAAGGTCAAATACATACCCCCCCCCCTCCATCCATGCTAAACTTTTTCCCAGACAATGCAGATTTGAGCTTTTTATATCATTCATCTTTTCAGAAGTTAACAGCAGCCATCAATGCCACAGTTACAGCCTTGAGATTTCATGGCCAGATAGAATTAGTGAAAACCAGAGTGGAAAGACCAGTGAAGCTGGACTGGACCAGAAACTTAAACAAGACAGTTCCAATAGTCCTTGTTTTAAATTTTATGTCTCTATTTCAAAGTCCAGCGATAGTTCAACACATCACAATGGAGCCACACAATCCATCTTGGAGTTCCGCAGTTGCATGCCAGATGATTTTCCTAGAGTGAAAAGTGGTCAAGTTGCTGTAGCTGTCCATGAAAGCTTCTTCAATTGTAAGTAACTATGAGATGTAGCATACATGGGGTGAGGTGAGGTGCAGTGGAAACTCTTTGTCCACTTACAAAAGTCAGAATTAAGACCTTAAAATAAGGGGTTAACTCATTACTCATTACAGAAGCCCCTTAGCCCATTAGTAATAGGCTTCTGTTTAATATCCTTCTCCATCACAAGACTACAGGAGTCACTTTGATACTAAACCAAAGCACTACACCAAAGTGTGCAGCCATATCTTTATTACTGTACCCAGTGTCACAGGAGTAGTGATATCAAAAGGAGTAGCAAAGAAAACTTTGGGCTACACAAGTCCAAAATACCTTACAAAGAGTCTACTGCTTAATAACTTATTTAGCTGAATTATGTCATCTTCAGCTTACAAGCAACAAGCATTATATATTTTTAAAATATTGTAAAACAAATTATAAGTAAAAATCCGATGAGTTCATGGAACAGCAAATATGAACAATCTGGTAAATGAAAAATCTGTCCAAATTCTCATGCATGTTTATCATTGATGAGCATGATCCATAGTCTTGTGTAGCAGCTTGAATCTAAAAAAAAAGGTAATTCATGAATGTATCTCAATTTTGTCTTTGTAGCATTTGGAGATGACTGTGATGATGATGAATTTACCAGCTCAAGCCAGGGGTTTCTACATTGGATCAACTAAATATATGAAAAAGAAATAGCAACCTAAAAAAAAAAATCCTTAGCTCTACCCATGTACTTATAGTGTACAATCCTCCAAGACTGTCTATGTCTGTAGCTTGCCGCTTGCAGTAGGCACAGCATTACTACACTGATAAGAAACAAGAGTTGTACATCTCATAACACCTGAGTCAACTTTATTTCAACTCCACAGCTTCTTCAGCACTACAAACATTTAGAAATACAATTTGAAAAATAATTAAATTTCTCTATTGTTTACTAATAAATAGACACTTTCGCTTTTGGTTTTGAACATTCTTAAAATCCCTCATTTTGTAAGGATGTGAAAAGGATTTTAAGTTCCAGGATTAAAACTGCTCATTTCATTAAAACAATGTATTCCAAAAGACTTCCACAGGAAAAATGAGAATTCCACAACCTCTTCGAATTTTGTTTGTCTGATTCTTGGTAGTCTGAAGTTGGTTGCACTCAATGTGGGTTAAAACTCTTTGGGTCAAAGTCAATATCTAAGTAACTGCACATCTACCCCTCCCGTAACCCAACAATAACCCTTATTTGATATCAGTCAACTGCTGTTAGGTTAGGGGAGGTGTAGGTGTGCAGTTACTGTAGGTGTGCAGTTAGTTTACCATGTGTAATAAGTTATGACTGACCCTCTCTTCAACATTATAATGTACACAAAGAACAAATCAATACCACAATCAGGAAGTGTTTTTCTTAATTTGCACCACCTCTTGGGCTACTAAATAGCACACAAATTAATAACTGGCTTAACACAGATTTCCCATGAAACTACATGTACTACAACACAGCAGTCCCATGTCTGTGCATGTACAAACATTGTAATGACTAAGTGGCTTGTTTTAAGGCAGTCAGAACCAAGTTGTCTCACTCAGGTGACAAAAACACACAAACCAGTAAGTCAGGGTGTTTTAAAAACATTTTGCTGGTAAAGCAAAGGTATATCAACAGGATACTCACATTAAAGCAAGCCTTTTGTTTGAATAATTATTGATTTTCCTTTGTCCTACTTTTGTTGCCTTTGATAGATTTCTGTGAACATTTCTGCTTTCTTTTGCTTATTTTGGGAGCCAGTTGTTGTTTTCTATATATGTTTCCTTTTGATATTTTGCATGGGAAATTGGTGCACAGCCAGTCAGAATTACTCCTCTAGTGCAAGCCTGGTGTTTGACTGATGTGTTATGCAACACAAGGTATAAATTGCCAGCAAATACACAGTCTTGAAAAAAACCATGTCTACTGTTACCAGTATGGAAAATCTAAATATGTACGTTGTTATTTTTGTTTCACTAGTAGTTCACATAATCTGGAGTGCTCCAGTGCTTTGCCTTAACTCTTTAACTCCCAAGATCTCATTAGTAATTCTCTTTACTGTCTGTCATACAGTTGTAGTGATGTTGATTTGGAGAATTTGGTATTGGATCAACATATAATCTCCTAATTAATATTTATCTTTATTCTCATCACTTGTCTGCTTGATATTGTATTGATATTATAAGGAGAAATTCTGTCTTGATCACTCATGGGAGTTAAAGGGTTAATACAGGCAAAGTGAAAATAAAAATGATAAGTGCATCAGTAACAAATGGTGCACTTGAATCTGACCAGTGTTTCATTTGAATGACTGTAAAATGAAAAATTACAAATACTACATCCAAAATACACTCTCACTTAAAAAGCTGTTAACCCTTCCCACCCTAACATCAGTATGCATATTCCTCCATACTGTTCTTCATACATTTCCTAAGGTGCTGACGAGAAGAATTTGACAGTCAAGAGCTTCTTTAGTTTGTGATCATTTCCTAAGTTTTCTGATCTTTGTGTGTGATTAAGGGGTGATGTTATAAGGATAAATTAGATGCAAATCACTCCTAGGGGTTAAAGGGTTAACAAAATTAAGTGTTCAATAGATTCAATTAATCAAAGATCAGTAGCTTGCCAAAGAATGTTCTCAATACCTTATACAATAAAAAAAGACACCAATTTTCATTCATATTCAAACCAGTCCAATTACAATTTGAAACAACTTACATACATATAACGATTCTTCTAACAATTGAATTGAACTTATTATCAAACAAGGCATTGTAAAACTACACAGACAATAAGTTAAGGTAGATAAGAAATGAAGGTTTGCTAAAAAAGAGGAAACTACCTACTTTCAAGCTTTCAGCTATTGCAATGTTCCTCAAGTGTCACTGATCACTTTCATGTGTTGTACAGAGTGGAACACAAAGCACTCAAATGGAGGGAAAAAAGCCTCTAAAATGGCAATGAAACTGATCATCATTACCAATAAGCATATACACTTTAACCTGTAGAGAACTAATTTTAACAGATTCTTGACCCAAACTAAGTTTAAACTTGAGTAATTAGGGTTTTACTAGCCTCAAATAACTAAGTGGGGAGAGTTCAGTTCAGAATTAACACTTTAGGTCCTGTTTCGTTACTCAGTTGTGCAATCCCGTGCATAGTGTCCAGTCTCATTACAACGGTAACATTTCACATCATTTTGAACCTTCTGTGTGCAGTCCCGCTTCAAGTGGCCTTGTTGGCCACAGTTGTAACAGGACTGGCTTTCAGATGTACAATCACGAGCAAAATGGCCTGGTTTATTACACTTGTAGCAAACCGTTGTTGCATCCAAGGAACAGTCGCGTGCAAAATGGCCTGTCTTTCCACAACGGTAGCATTTTGTACCACAGTCCCGTGCAAAATGGCCCTCCCTACCACACTTGTAGCAGCCAGTTTCAGCATCTATCCCTTTATCTTCAGACATTGGACAATCTCTGACAAAGTGACCTATTTTTCCACAATTGTAGCACTCTCTCTTGCCATCTGTATTCTCTGGACAGTCTCTCTGCATATGACCCTTTTGACCACATGAATAGCATTCATCTGAGGATTTAAGAACATATATATGTATATGTATATACATTTTCTAGTTTGCTCAATGCCTTTAACTTTTAACACCTCTGGAACACACTTAAAAGGCATGTGAGAAATCCAACATATCAATTTAAGTCTTTAACCAGGTTTCAAGGGTGGTTAAGTGTTTAGATATTTATGTTTTTACTTAGTTGTACTGCAGATGGAGGTCATTCTTATACCGCTTCCCAAAAAAGAATATGCTTTACCAGGTGTAGCACTGAACCATTGATCTGATCCTTTTAACTGCTTTATGGTTATCACTGAAAAGACCTCACCTTCTCTTAAGGAATTGAAACCAAATTTATTCAACACTTTTTTGAAGGCCTGGTTGTAAAAGCCCAATGGAATCTTAGAGCCATTAAATCCAGCAGCATTATCTATTTTAGAATGACGCACTTAAATCAATGTAAAGCTGTAGTGAGAAAACTAAGAAAAACTGAAGTCACTTGTGCACGCAAAGTATAGATTTTCTTGAATTAAGTGTTGTAGACATGAATTTTCATGTGATCTAGAAGAGCTAAAGAGTGACTTGATTTGAGCTCAAGCCCTGTTTAGAAGGAAAAGATTTGCATAAATGTGAGCAGCCTGTCATGAAGCCACATGTCAAGCTTTTTATCTTTGGCTATTGTTTGGCTTGCTAGATTTAAATCATTTCCACAAAACTGCAGTCATGATCCTCAAAAAGTTCTTCAAACATGTTGAGCCTTGATTCTCAGTAATTTCAGGCATTGAAATTCGAGTCGAGACTGTCAACTCACATTTGAGCTGTAATGTGGCATACTGATGTAAGGGTGTAAAAAGTTTAAAAGGCTGCCCAGTTCAACTTTGAATAGTGTTACAATGAGTCCATCTTGAAGTTTGCTTGAATTACAATCTGTCCTAATGTGGTTGATCTACTTTCTGGATCTATTCCTCTTAAACACATCACTGTCCCCAATTCTATAAAAAGAGTAAGATACCTGTACAACTTCAGTTCACCCTTTGCCCCCTTACATCAGTATTCATATTCTCCTCACTGTTCCTGTTACAATTCCTATGATACTGACAAGGAGAATTTGTTTGACAGTCAGGGGTTTCTTAAATTAGTGGTCACTGCCTCTATTCTTGTGACTTTAACTTTTGATTCAAGGGTCAAACTTAAAGGAGAAATTACAAGCCAGACACTCTAAGCAGTTGAAGAGTTAACGAAGTTGGGTCATTGACAACCATTTCAATTTAAGAATTTTCCCTCTAACCTGACAAGCCACAAGACAATTTAAGTTGCCTGCCACTGTTGATAAGTTTCAATGATCTCTCAAATTTTCAATAAAGGGATAATGCCAGCTACTAGTAACTTGTTCACAACTGGTGTTTAATTAAACATACCACTCTTTTTGCTGCAGCTTTTGGATATATGTCCAGTTTCTCCACAAATGTAACAGCTTCTGTCTACAAATTAGCAAAAGGCAATTTTATGAATATTTGGAAAAATTAAATTAGGCCTTCAATTTATACACATTTTCCTCTTGATAGCATACATTTTTTATTAAATGCATTTGCATGCAATGACACCCAGCATGCACAGTTCACATGTGTAGTGCATCAGAATTACATGTGCATATAGGATGTCTAATGCTACAAAAGAAAAATGCAGTACTGTTTATGATACCCACTTAAATTATTTATCATAAAATCTCTCTGATTGATGTTTCAAAATCATTCAGTCCACACAATTATTGCAGAACACCTGAACCATGGTTGTCACAGCCATGGGTTTTTTAAATTACCTGAATTTTACCCAACTCTTTTCTTTCAAAAATGTAAAAATTTCCTTGACCAACTAGATTGCAATTTCACAAATAAAACCTGAAGATGGCCACCAATATCACCTCCCAGCTACCCTCTCCATCCATCTACTATATTTAACCACAGAGAGGGATGCAGCTTAAATATCATTACAAGTATTTTTCAATCATTAAGAGGGCCAAGACAAGAGGAGTGAATGCAATTTTTCTGTTGATTTATATTTTCACAGACTTGTTGTAAAGATTTAAATTATCTCTAAGTCATTGTAGAATTCACTGACTTTTCTCTAACTTTGAAGAGATACTTTTTCCCCAGACTTTTTCCTGATTGGTGACAACCATGTAAATATGGGATGAAGTTCCAAGTTTACCTTTAATCTACAAATGGAATTGGTCAATTTGCATTACCTTAAGCCTAATTGATACACAAACCTTACCTTCCTTATTCAAATTTATTTACCAATGGTTCAAATGTCCAGCATTTCATGTCAAATGTTACTTAACCCTTTAACTCCCAGATCAAATTTGTAATTCTCCTTACTGTCAACCATACATTTCTTATAATGTTAGTTCAGAGAATTTAGTATTGAATCAACTAATTATCTCCAAATTAATGTTTTCCTTTGATCTCATCACTAATCTGGTTGATATTGTATTGATACTGTAAGGAGAAATTCTGTCTCGGTCACTCATAGGAGTTAAAGGGTTAATCAGTAACACAACCTAGATACGAGATGGTCATTACTACGCACAACTCATGAAAATTCAACCCTGCCCTACTCAAATTTATCCACCCAAATATTTTGCCATTTCAAAATGAAATCCAGGAAACACTATATTATGTCCCCTGTTCATCATGGACAGACAGCATCTGAACACAGATGAAACATTTTAATATTAAATTCAGTGTACTCCTCAAAATTAACTGTATTTACAAAATTATGCATTTTCAAATAAAAGAGCTTGAGTAAATGCTGCAAATTTCTTTGTGAATGGGTGAAAATGAAAGAAATTCAAATTTTGTTAGTTTTTATTTACAAGGCTTACAGGAAATAAAATGTACTATAAAGCTCTTCGAGAAAAATAGCAGAGTAGGTTTGAGTCAGAACCATTTGCTTAATATATTAAATTTCAATACTCAGAAGATTTAACTGTCAATACTTTGACACCTGAAATACGAAAGCTATTTAAATATTTACGCTAACTTCCTAGAGTACACGTTTACCATCTCAGCTAACGCACACTCAAAGTATTTCAAAACCTGGCTCATTTTCGTGAGAGATCTTCAGAAGAAATCGCAAATACGGCAGTAGTGCACACACAAAAAAAAAACCAAGAAAATCCGAACAACGGGTTAATTTCAAGTCTTGATGTAATGTAAGTGTATGTAGAAATTAAAAACAATAGTAAAGATCCATGAGGCATAACAAAGTCTAATAGGGTTCGGTTTTTATTGCCATGTGCCTTATTCAAAACTATCCCTTTACCTTAAATACACATCATTTTTATTCATTATCCGAGTGATTTTCAGTTATACTATCATAAAATAAAAAGGATCTTCACTCACCTCCAAAACTCGCCCCACTGCCACTTCTGTTCTCTGAGGCAGACCTACATTCCTTCGCAAAATGTCCTGGTTTGCTACACTTGTAGCATTTTGACTTCGATCCCATCGCTGGTAATACAAGTCAAACCATACGTACATCAAAAACATGAAAGACCAAATGCGACTTAACAGTTTTCGCGAGTAACGTATGAATCCAGTCAAGTGCAACGTATGTTTAACCTATCTGAAATATCGGTGAGCAACACACACCTTTTTTAACTCACGTAAAGAAACCCATGGTCATTAAAGTGTGAATATATTTACTCGCTAATGAACAGAGGTCATAGCAAATTTAAAGAGGAACATTAATGAGAAAGCCAAACATACCAAAACTTGAGGAAAATGAACCGTTCCTACTTCCACTTGCTATAAAACTTTCCACGTGTGTTCAAATTGTAGCTCGAAAACATCGCTGGGTAATAGACAAGCGCATGACTTTTTTCTGGAAGCTTGATAGAGAGAGATGCTGCAGGCTCAAACTTGTAACATCCATTCCAAGTTATTAGTTTGAAAATCATGGCTGAGTATCGGAAATGGACAATCCACCACTTGATAGTGTTTTTACTCACATTTTTCAGGTACCGGAACTTCTTGTATTCTTAACTATCCAACGTATAGATGAGAAGAAACAGTGATAGACTCGAAGTATTCTATTTTCTGAACAGAGTTAACAAATGATCACTGTTCAGCTCAGTTTTGAACTCACGTGATGTTCTCAAACCTCTGAATATACCAACCTTGTTTTAGTATGCCTTAGCGTTGCCTTATAAATTCGAATACTCAATTCAATCAATTCTAAATGGTACGCTGACCATGGTGATTACTGCTAGTTTGTCTATCGTATTATGTGCATAATAATCGTGGCAGTTGTAAACAACACTCCTTTTCGTAACTACTTACCCACTTTCAAGCGTTGCATTGCTAGCTTTGTTTTCACAACCAATGTAATATTATTTATAAACTATAGTTATTTTTACTCAATCTTTTTCGGAGGGTAGCTAGATATTATTACTTAAAATTACATTTCATAAATTCGAACTTTGATAATTAATCAACTTAATGGCTTTGTGATTCAAGCCGACGGTAAAATTTCTGCACAGCCCCATACGATATTATGCATTCAGTTCTTGGATAGAGAAAACAATGACAAAAACAATACATTGCCATTGGGAAAACAGATTTGTTTTACAATAGTATGGGGCTGTGCGGAAATTTTACCGAAAGCAAATTCATGTACTTTCACTTTTGCTGGGCACTAGCTAGTGAGATTAGAATCATGACTTGAAAGGGAAAGACTTCCATGCAACAGTCAAACACAGTCCTATTCCCAAAGGCAATTCATCATTGGTGTGATTGTTTTCTTTTTCAAAGAACTGTATGCACAATTAAGTAAAAGGTTTCTGAGAAAATCTTGCCTGTTCAACTTTAACATGCTGTATCACATGAGCATGATGATGTGAATTGTTATCTTTATAGCTATTCCTGTTTCCATGCTACAAGGAAAGCTTTCAGTAATATAAAAGATTCAATGCAAAAAGAATGGACAAACAACTCTGTGACATTGGATCCCCCTGAGGTTGGTAACAATGGTGTCTTTTGTTGCGATTATAAGACAATTTTGTAACACTTAAATCAGTTTAAGCCTAAGGACATCCTTGCTTCATTGGGCAATAAATTACCTGAACTTGTTGCCAGAATGTTGTTAGTGTCTGATCAACAGGTAATTTGGTGTTAACAACTGAGTTGAAAACGTAAATTGGCCACCCTAAAGAGTTTAAAGAGTTAACTCTTTACAGTGGCCAATTTATGTTTTTAACTCAGTTGTTAACACCAAATTACCTGTTATACTCTCCCACTGACACAGCACCAAAGTTTCTTTAAAAACTTACCCCCTTTGTTCTAGTGTCTGATTAAGTTTGTTAATCAGTTGTGCAGAGATAAGGTGATTTCAGCTCACGAGGTAAATTGTAGATATCCAGGTATTCCATATACATATATATATATATATATATATGCATGTATATTTAATTTTCAATTCTATTTACAAAGTCCACAATAGATTTTTTTGCTATGAATTTCATTGTCTTAGTTATTATCAGTTTAGAGATCCTGCTTAATCATCTTTAAAGTCCATTTATTTTGTGAGCAGTTCTATTTTCTTCATTTTTTGGTTGACTTTATTTTTGTGTCACTGCTTAATTATGATATGTTGCTTCAGCAAATCTCTCACATTTCTAGATTAAATCATAATTATACCCACTTGTTTAAAAGATTGAACCTATTACAGTTAAGTTGAGTTAGTTTCTCATGGATAGTAAAATATCACTTCTTGATTTTCTGTCTTAGTTATGGGAAGACAGAGACTTTTTCAAAGATGAGGTTAGTAAAATTGTAGATACATGCATGTTTTGATTGATCTAAATGCCCAACTTAACTCTTTGACCCATAAAACTGACTAGCGTCAAATTTCTAGGAAATCATTTTATCTATGGAAATGATCACCAAGTAAAGAGTCTCTGGACTGTTAAAAAATAATTCTCCTAGTCAGGACCTTAGGAAATGTACAATGAGAGCAGTATGGAGAATGTACATACTGATGTGAGGAAATAAAGCGTTTTGGAAGTATTAAATTTTTCATACAAGAGTACCATACTCTTAGTTACATTTCGAGTTTTTTAGATTGATAATAGAATATTGGTGGACTTACATTCCTGTGATATGGTTGATAAATAGTTGAAGCTGTCAGTCCCAACTGTATCATGAAGACAATTTATCCTTTAACCCTGGGAAGTGATTAAAATGTAACTTCTCCTTAGGCTATCCATACATTATCTAGTAAATAGGTGAGAATACTCAAATTGATCTATCACCAAAATTCTGGTGACTAATTTACAAGGAAATGTGCAACAGGTTAGAGGGGAAAATGACCAATGAACAATCAGATCTTGGGAGTTAAGAGTTATTTACTGACTTGTGCATTGTTTACACAGCATTCTGCTGAACTCTTCCTTGGTGCAATGGATACAACATTTCTACTGGCATATGCTGTGGTAAGGAACTGGCATTAATTTGTTTTCAAAGGGAAGCTTGATTTGAGTATTCGTGATTACAGTCAATGAATTTAACCCTTTAACCCCAAAAAGTGGTTAGCGTCTTATTTCACCTTACATTATCCTTCGTGAATAAAACATTAAGGTCACTAGAGTAAAGGAAATGATCACTGACTGAAGAAACTCTTCTATGTGAAACAAACTTCCTCGTCAGAATCTTAGGGTATGTTTAGAGAACAGTATGAAGATTAAGCATATGGATGTTAGGGTGTAAAGGCCTAGGGATAAAAGAGTCAAGATGTATGCTCTGTGTAGGGTATAGAGGTGTTTATTAGAAAATTTATTATAATATACCTAAAAAGGTTGTGTAAAAGTGAGAAAGTAATCTCATGGTATGTTATACAAACTTCATGTATTTAACAAAGGCTTTTCAAAACTCATGGATTTTGTTTATTGAGATATTGTATTTAGTCTGTTAAGTGCAATTTTGTAGCATCTCTTTTTTAATTTTGTCACTGTCTTAGGATTTAGTGTCGTAAAAAATTATCTATGGTTTGGATTCTAATCTTTCATCAACTTTTTCAATTGTAAATATTATATCTCTCAGATAAAATGTGGGCTATGATTGGTCAATTTAGGGGACTGTATTTCACGGTACAACCCACTAAATTAAAAAGTTTTTTTGAATTGAAATCTTTCCCCCTCCATTTGAACCCAGAGTTATGATAAATATCTTACTAACCTCATTTTCTCAGTCTGCACTGTAAGTAACAGAACCTTGTTTTTGTTCTGTTCTGAAATATGGCCTGTAGGCCTGTAGGCCTGTAGGCCTCTCACTTTGGCCATAAATCTGAGTGGAAACAACTTGGTTTGTAACTTACAGTACAGACCTCGAACTAAGTTAGTGAGAAATATTCATTACATCTCCCTTTGCCAGGTTTCCTAACTTTATTTTCCTTCTTCTTGTGTTTTGTAGGGTTTATACATCAGTGGTATTTTGGGCGACAGGTTTGTCACATTTCTTTTAATCATCAATTTAGACAGTCCGTGGTGTAAAAGCATGACATGTTTGAGGACAATCAGAATTTAAAATGTTGTAATCCACATCCTAAGTGATCATGTCATGATACAAACAATTATATTTCCCTTTTAAAGGCACATTGTCAGGTAGATTTATCAACCATCTTTTTAAGGAAATTGGTAAAACCATCAGTGTCAGATTACTGATGTTTTTGCACCAGAGGCAACTTGTCAGGCATTCTAATTGTATTCATTTCCATACATGGGTAATTAAAGTTTTAAAGCTTATTGAAACATTGCAGTTGTTTCCAATGAAGGAACATTGCCAGAGATATTCATCAACTGTCGTTGTAAGGGAATTTCAATAAAAAGCTTGTCAGGCATGACACTGTAGATTTAGTAGAAACCTTGGTATTATGTTTTTCTTTAAATGAACAGGTTCAACCTGAGAAAAGTATTGGCATTAGGAATGTGTTCATCTGCAATTATGGTTGGTAACTTGTTGAAACAAGAGTGCATTATTAATTTGAATATGTGCATTTAGTAACCCACGGTGAACAAATTTCCTTGATGTGATGCAGTTGCTCTAGATCTTGGTGAAAGGACCTGCACAATTCTTAACCCTTTAAACCCAAAGAGTGACTAGCATTGAATTTCTCCCTACAATATCACCCCTGCATCACACATCAAGGTCAAGAGAATAAAGGAAATGATCAACAACAAAAGAGACTTTTGATTGGTAAACAAATTCTCCTTGTCAGCACCTTAGGAAATGTATAAAGAGCAGTATGGAGAATATTTATACTGATCTTATGGTTTAAAGGGTTAAGCCATTGATCCCTAATAGTGACTGCCATCTAATTTCACCTTACATTATTGCCCCTAAATTAAACAGTAAGGTCACGAGAATTAAGGAAATGATCATCAACCAAAGAGGTTCTTTACTGTTAAAAAAATGATCTTTGTCAGCAACTTAGTAAATGCATAGAGAACAGTATGAAGAATTTATATATACTGATATTAGAGTGTTAAAGAACCTGTAGGTGTAAATGTTGATGATAATTTGATATGTAATGGTAATCACTATGATATCATCAGTCTCACAAGTCATTTGAGAGACTGGTACACAACTAAAAAAAATTATCTGCTTGTTTTTATAATATGTAACCTCCCTTGCAGCATTATATTTTTTTGCAGAATGTAGCATTAGTCTCCAGATAGCATAATTGTTTACCTATTGCTTTTATCAGAAACTAATTTTGTAACCTACATGTAGACACTCTGCTAAATAAAGAAAAAAAAAGAAATATTTACATCCTAAGTAAAATATAAATCAATCTTTTTTTTCAGGTGTTCATGTTTGGAACTGTAAGCAAGTGGATTGGCATTTACAACATTTGGTATTATGGGGTATTCATGGCCCTCAATGGTAGGTATTCATCATCCAAGCTTTTTAATCCAGTACTATTTCTTGATTTCTTGTTTGTGGTTCAACTACAAACAATTCATTGTACTGAAAGGTTGAAATTTTCATTGTTATGTTGTGCAGTCATGCACATGACCACAATTCTTGTAGTTGTACATGTAGATACAGTGTAAGTAAAGTATCAATGTATCACCTTTTTTTTGGACTATTTATCTCTCATAGTTGCAGACAATTAATAATTATATAATTTTGCAGGTTTGTTCCAATCCACTGGTTGGCCATGTGTGGTGGCAGTCATGGGAAATTGGTTTGGAAAGTCAAGGTAATAAACAGAACAATAAATCATCTTAAAGAATTTTGTTCAATCGAGTTAAAGTAAAAGTAAGGAATTCAACACACAATTGTGTTAATTTTTATACAAACAAAAGCCATTTAGCACAAAAATTTGCTTGGATATTTGTCCTTGGACATTGTTTGTTCCAAGAATCAAACAGTTGTCCAGGAGCAAAACTTAAGGAAAACTTTGAACATCAAAGAACAGATAATGTCTAGGAAAAAGTAGGAGCATATTTTCACGCCTAATGGAGGCTCAAGTGTTAGTTATCCTTCAAATTTTATTGGAGCATGTGAGAAAAAATTTTTACATTACAACTTACCATTAACTGCACACCTAGGATGTTCACTTTTCAATGCTGTCTGGTACAACTTAATGAACAAATAGATGCATCAGTTCTTCTGTAACAACAGCTAAAAACTCTCTCCTCTTTACATATTTGACACAAGGTTTGAAAGTTGGGGAGTATCATTTAGGACATATAAATGGATGCACACAGTCACATGATGCATTTAGACCAAATGCATGCAAGCAAAAATATTTGATGGATTATAAGTGCTGTTATCTCTAATTGATATTTGGAGGGTAACTTATGATTTTGTTCTGTAGCCGTGGAATTGTCTTTGGAATATGGAGTGCTAATGCCTCTTTAGGAAACATAATTGGAGCTCTTCAAGTGAGTATTTGAGTTCTTATTGGCTCCTTGACATCTCTTTTAATTTTTTATAATATTAAACATTTATGATTGCTCTGGTTTTGGATTTTAGAACCCAAACCAAGGAGCACTATAAACTAACTTTTGTTATGTTAAATCCACGCTTCAAATTTGCAGATAAATGTTTTTTGATCACTTTGCTCTTGGTGATGTTCATCATCCAGTAGGCTCTGGTGCAGACTCTCAGACCAAGTGATGATCTACAGTGCATTGAAATTTCTCTATTGACAATGGAAAAAGTCAAGAATTAATACAACTTTCAATATGAACTTTACGAACTAATTTATGTTTAAAAATTATTTTTTCATTAGGTGGCAGCTGTACTGGATTATGGATATGAGGTCAGTAACATATGGATCTTGTACAATTTGTTTGATGTTCTGTTAGACTTTGAAAAATACTTATTGACTGAGTAGGAGGGCTGCACAGGAAAACATTTGCCCTGAGGAAAAGACATACAAAATGGGGGCTGCATGGTCTGTAAATCATGACAAAAGCCAAATATTTTCCCGTCCAGTTTGATCAAACTCAGTCAATGAGCATTTATTATATGAACACAGAGTGTTGAAAATGTTGACAATTTTGTTTCAACCTGAATAGGATGCAAAAGAAGGGCACATGGGGGACAACTACAAAGGAGATTCTACCTTATAAACATTTCCCTTTTTTCCACATCAAAACAAGAATCAAATTCATCAAAAAAATGAGCCTTTTTTTCTTCATTTCTATTTGCCCTTAAGTTTGATCAACTGAAAAGTATCAACATATGAAAATCAATACTGAAAAATTCAGGAAAAATCATTCTGTATAAACCTTGCTATAATTGTAAAATATGTAATTCTGTTAATGTACTATATGAATTGTTTTTTTCATTGCAGTATGCTATGCTTGTACCAGCTGTTGTATTATTTGCATTTGGCATTTTGATTTATTTCTGCTTAATACCATCCCCAGATGAAATTGGTGAGTACAAATACCTATACAAGGTTGTGAGTCATATAGAAATCACTTTCATTTCCTGAAGTGAAAAGATCGTCAGTTCTAAATATAGTTAATTATTTTTCAATTTATTTGTTGTCATACTTGAAGTAAGCAGACACAAAAAACTTGTCTCTTCTTCATGTGCTGTTACTGTGCTTTTTACTTAACATGCAAACTATGGAGATTTGAATGCATCATTAAAAATGCTGTTGGTCATTATAAAGACTAACTAGAAATAATGTGCAGTGTTTCCTGGGGTTCAAGAGGTCATGTTTTTTAGTTATGACCATTTTTTTGGATGGTAGTTAAAGAAATATTTGATAATGATATGACTAAGATTACAGGTTTAGATCTGTGCCTTAGTGATTGCATGTTATACAATGTGCAGTAATATATCACATTTTGCTGAACTTATAACCAGCCAGGGTAATGTAGAGGATATTGTTTATTTATTTTATATTTTTAAACAGGATTACCATTACCAGATGATGACCAAACCATACGAGCAAGAAATGGTTTGTAAACACTAATAGTGATGTTACATTGTGTGTAATAATTTTAATTGATCTGAATTAAAACAATACAATCTTGTAATATGCCAATACAAGGACAGTAAGCTTTGAACCCTTAATCTCCCAAGATCTGATTCTTAACTCTCCCTGCTAGCTTCTACACATTTCCTTATATTTTAGTTATGAGAATTTAGTGTAAGATCAAGATAACAACTTTTACCTGATAAGTTTGAGTATTCTCATAACCTGTTAGCTGATATTGTATGGATATTTTAGGGAGAAGTTACATGTTTATCACTTGTTGGAGTCAAAGGGTTAATTGTGTACCATCAGTTTGGAACCTAACAATATGATTTACTATTTCTAGTTTTTAATGAACAAATTGTTGAGCAAGAAGCATTTGCCAGACATCCTGGTGAAGGTCTCTCTCAAGTGAGTAGCAAAACTTAAAAAATAAAAAAAAAAGGTCTACTGTAGCAGCTCATGTCCACGTAATTAAACATAGGATTAAACTTTGGCTGTTCTCCTTTGAATTTGCCCTTTTTAATGTAATGTTATTGCTTATTGTTGTGGCAATGTCTTGTCATTTTGCAAATACTATGGCAGCATTGTACTAATACAGTTGAAAAGCACTGGCAGCATTGTGCTAATACAGTGGAAAAGCTCTGGCAGTATTGGCCCAATACAGTCCAACCTTGACTATCCAGATTCTTGGGGACTGGACTGAGTGGTCCAGATAATCAAAAAATATGAATATTAATATTTATAAGCCAAACATAAAACTGGATACATGTCATGTAAACAATTTTAAGGAGTAATTATGGCACATTCATATATCACTGTGTATCATTACAGTGTATGTGCACATTGCTATTTCTATCATTGTTTGAAACTGTATGAAAGGAATAATGTCAACGATGTTTTTCTTCCATCTATGTTAATCACTCCCTAAAATGTTCATCAGCTTCAGAAAGCAGAGCATATTTAGTTCCAATGGGAGTTTCAATACATGTGCTTTGTTTGATTGAGGAATTTGCTACGGATCTCAATTATGAGTTATTAATATTAATTATTAAAAAAATGGGACCAGAGAATTTAGTCTGGACAATTGAAAAATCTGGATAAAAAGGTCTAGATAGTCACAGTTTGAATGTATTGAGGTAAAGATTTAATCTTTGGTTGAATAATACTCTTAATAGATGGGGGAAGGAACTGCATGGTGCTGACTCTGAGCTCCTTCATGCTCAGCTTTATTCTGCAACACCCATTATGTCTCAACTTTTTAAAAAAAAAAAATTAATGAATCATTTCAACTAAATAAACTACATTTACTGACTCTTTATTGCTTGCTTCATTTTTGTAGTCATCATCAGCAAGCCAACAACAACAACAACCACCAAGGAAGGCTGTGAGCTTTTTCCAAGCTGTTTTATTGCCAGGAGTTATACCTGTAAGTTCAATTATTGCAATTCTGTCTCTTAATCTCAAGATTTCATTCATTCATCTCTTTACTGTCTGCCATACAACTCTTGTACAAGGTTAGTTTGGAGAATTCAGTATGGGTTCAACTAATACTCCCCTAGAGTAGTTTTTTCTTTTCCTCATCACTGGTCCACTTTATATTGTATTGATATTTTAAGGGGACATTCTGTTTTGGTCACCCATGGAACAGAAAACAACCTCTATGAAAAGAACAGTAACAGGCAATTTCATGTAAATTGATCAGCTCCATACTGCTGATGTTACATAGAGGGACAGAGAAGACCATAAAGTTCTTAGTGAATAGAGCTTTCAAGAAATTGAAAAAAAATTCTCGAATGAGAGTTGGGAAAGCTTGTGTGTCTTTGTTATAAAAACTACATGTATGTCATCTATCCATAAAAAGAAAAAAAACTATTGGTAGCTCTTTCTTGAATTTCATCATATTTTCTTTGATTTTAAGTGAGGGCAGCAATTTTTAATCATGTTATATTAGATAATAAATTGTTATGGAAAAGGGTGTGGGTGCTTATGCAAAAGGTATAGGTGCATAAATTTACAACGTATGCACTAGATAATATTTTCACTGTAACTAAATAACGATCTTTTTTTTTTCATCAGTACTCATTGTCTTATGCTTGTTTGAAATTGGTGAATTATTCATTCTTCTTTTGGCTGCCTTATTACTTGTCAAACAGTAAGTTCTGTATTTTGTCATTTCTTGTAAAATTTGTGGGCAGACAATTTGTGGGAAACATATTGCCATTACTTATTATACAATGATTATCTCAGTAATAGATAACCCATGCAGGGTGTTTAGAAAACATGAGAAAAGTTTGTAAACTGGGAAGGAGAGGCAAATCAGTTACTAACTTTGTGTTCTCCTGATATCCCATGTGGTTTATTATGCAGCTTAAACCAATATAAAGTGCAGTCTATGGCTCTTACAATACTAATTCTAAACAAAACACTTTTTTTTTCTTTTTTCTTTGTCCCATACTAATGACAAGACAAAAAGCATCTCTCTTTATTTCTTTACCAAGCATAAAACTTCCCATTTCTCTTATTCTGTTTACAAACATGATGCTATTGACATTGCTGATACTAGCAGTATGCAGGACGCTTGTTATATGAACTTTGTAATAAACCTCGTTACAGTAAAGTCTCTATGGCTCAGTAGTAGAGCATTGGATCGTGGAATCTGAAGGTCTGAGGTTGGATTCCTCATGGGTACTCAGAATTTTTTCTTTGTCCCATGCTTGCGACAAGACAAAAAACATCTTTCTCTAAAACACACTATGTTCCAATTATCAATGGGTTTACCAATGCGATATACAATATTTTTTGACCAATCAGGGTGCTCCTGGTGTATCAGTGATTTTACCAACATTTTTTCAGTGCTTACCATGAATGTTGCTGTGAAGGGCTACTTAATCCTTCCTATTTTTTTTTCTAGAATTTCAATGGAAGGACACAGTGGCAGACAAAATTTCAACATTTTATGATGTTGGAGGAATTGTTGGTAAGTAAGTGTATTTTTGAATGCTGATTTTACCTTTAAAATATCAGCCAACATTTCATTCGAGAAGTAAATATTATGATCATTTCCTTTATCCTCATGAGCTTAAGCTTTGATGCAGGGGTGATATTGTAGGGAGAGTTTGGATGTTAGTGACACTCGTAGGAGTTAAAGGGTGTAGATGGACTGGTAGTCCTAATAAAAAAAGTGTCATGGTCAACAAAGGTTTTGGCAAGCCATATGAATATAGGAGGCTTCAATTCTCTATATTGTGAATTTTAAATTGTTATATTTCAACACTTTCAGGTGGCGTAATTGGAGGATTAATCAGTGTAAGTTTTATCAATTTCTGTGTTGAAGTATTATTTTAAAATCATATCATCAGTAAAATATATCAATCAAATGCCACCCCCGCCTTACCCTTATTTGTGCTGTAACTGATCATTTTAAATAGATATATGAACCCTTAACACCCTAACATCAGTATGCATATTCTCCATGCTGTTCTCTACCAATTTCTTGTGGTTCTGACAAGGTGAATTTGTTTGACAATATAATCAAGAGCCTTTGGAACTGGTGATCATTTGTTCTATTCTCTTGACCTTTACATTTGATTGAAGAATGGTACAGTGAGGAGAAAGTAGAAGCTGGTCACTTTTGGGAGGGCAAAAACTAAAAAATATGTGAAAATCTAAAGTCGTAATTTAAATACTTAAATCTAAAATCTGAAATTTAAAATCCAGGAATGATTTAGTTATAATACAACTATTTATAAGGAAAATAAACTAGATATTTGCAAGATAATTTAGTGTTATCAACTGAGATGAAAACGTAAATTGGCCTCTGTAAAGTGTTTAAAGGCTTGTAGAGCATGTACATTGCCAGTCATAATATGTGACTAATACTTTAAGGGTACCCTGATTTTTGTGTCAACAAGCATTAGGCATGCATTGTTATTTTTTGCTTCTTGTTTAACTAATTTCTTAGGATCTGATGTCAAGTCGGTCCCCATTGGTCATTGCAATGCTTGTGTTGTCCATACCAATGCTTTTCATTTATGGAAGTTAGTTGGAATTTCTCTCTTTTTTCACTGTTATTAATGTTAGTAATTTGCAAACTCAGTGGTGGAACAGTCATTCATTCATTCAGTTCACTGAAAAGCCATCAAGGCATTAAGTTTTAAAATTGGTCAGCCATTTCTTGACTGAAGTCCAAATCCCAGATCAAATTGGGCATACAAGATAAAATATTTGACAAGAGAAATGTTTGTGTCAAGTGCAATAAGTTTTCTTTACGTGGGATATGCCTTTCAAAGTTATTAGAGGCTGTTATCATTTTATTATGATTGGTTCCAATCTTAAACCATTCATCTAACAATGTGTCCTTATATAATGGTAGATACTGGAGGCAGTTACACGCTGAATGCAAGTTTGATGACTTTACTAGGTTTGTGTGATATATTTTGTCCCTTTTTGCAGTGGTGATAAATGGTGTCTTAAGTGTACATGCTTACTTCAGGTCACCCGTGTACTCTTAACACTTATTGCTTGCAACATAGGAGAACACATGCTATTTATGTTGTTTTTCAGTCCCACTGATTTTATGAAATCTCTCAGGTATCAATTTGAAGCCAGACCATGTCAGCTTTCAACACCATTTTGGACAGACCAGATAGCCACAATCCCATGCATGTATCCAGACTCACTTCAGTCTGGATGCCATGGTTAGATTTGTAGTTAAATTGCTACCTTTGAGTTACTTCAAATCAGAACTGCAATCCAAGCCACCATTTAATATTTATATAAATTTTATTGCGTAGAGACAAAAATATTCATTCCTAAGCAATATTGCAAACACAGGTTCCTAATCCATGATTACTTCTAGTTTATTTTTCACCAACTCTATTATGCAGGTTTTATGGTTGGCGGTCCTGCAAACTTGATAAGTTCTGCAATATCAGCTGACCTGGGAAGACAGGTAAGAAGAGTTAGATGACCTCATCCATTAAGATTGAAACATGTTTTGGGCTGTGTTAGTATCTACTTTCATGAAAAAGATTTGTTGTACAGAAAATAGTAGAAAATGGGGCTTTGTGAGAACAGTGTCTGTTCAATAAGTGTGTGGGCCTTGTGTGACTTGCACATCACCAAATGTACTTATTGCAAAATTGCGTGTATTTCTGACTTCACTATCATTCTTTCTTTCTCTTTCACCTAAATGGTAATAAGTTAATGGAGGGTGGAACTCTGGGAAAGATTATCAACTGAGAAAAGGAGCTATCAATGATCAATATTATGGGCCTTTAAGGTTAATATCAAAGAAAATTATGAGCTTGATGTGTCTGCAGGATCATTTTGATACAATAGACAATTATTTTTTGGCAGCTCATTCCTTTCACAAAGGTCTAAAAGACATAATAATGATAATGCGATAATAAATGCAAGGAGTGACACTGTTTCTTTAAGATGCATATTTTGTGTTGTTTCATTATACAGAGTGCCCTTAGTGCCAACAGTGAAGCATTAGCTACTGTGACAGGGATTGTGGATGGCACTGGAAGTGTAGGAGCAGCTATTGGACAGGTGAGAATTACTCTTGGCTGCTGGTTGAACTGTAGGTTCAGATCAAAAAGGGTGTGAAGTAATTCTGAATTGACAGTCATACAAAACTTACTTCAAATTATTGGTACCTGTCTATTAATTGGTATATGACTTTCTGTCCTCAGTTTGTCTATGGCTCATCAAATTGCATCAGAAGCTGATGAGAAATAGCAGTTTATGCATTATCTTCTCTTTCCAGAATAATGTGCATACCAATAGTCAAAAGATCACAAAACTTTGTATCTTTAATACAAGAATCCACACTTTGTATTGACCCTTTAAATCCCAAGTTCTATTAATTGTTTATTTTCCCCGCTAGCTGCAAATTATTTCCTTGTAAATTAATTACAAGAATTTGGTATTAGATCAAGACCATAACATCTACATGATAACTTTGAGTTTTCTCATTACCTTTTTACTGGATGGTACATATGGATGCTACAGGGCAAAGTTACATGTTGATAACTAATGGTAAATAAAGGGTGGAGACAGTTTTGAGCAAGAATGATTTTAAATAAGCCATACAGATGATGACAGGATATAGAAAGCCATACAAAGCCATGATATTAATTTGTGGACATAATTTTTGCATTATCCAATCTTTCAGTTTCTTGTTCCTGTAATAAACACACACGCAGGTTGGAAGCCAGTGTTCTACTTTTTAATGGTGATGGTAAGCAACTTGGCTTGTTTTTTTGACAGAATCATTGATCAAGTGTGCTATGCTAAAAGATTCTTGCTACATGCACAAACTTAAACAAGTTGCCTGTTATCAAAGAATATTTTTGGAGTTGCTTTGGAGAGGTTGAGTAAATTAATTCAGAACATAAGTACAGCTACAATTTTTTGAGCTTTTGTTTTTTTGGTTAGTTTTTTTTGTTTTTTATTGCCATAAAAAGTGCGGCTAGTAATTTTTGCTCCAATTTGTAAAACAAGATGGAGGAGTATTGAATGAGTTTATATTAACATTTTAATATGCAAACACAATGATCCTGTCTCAAGTTGAAAGGAAACACCTCAATCTCATTCCTAGAGGTTGCACACCCCTAATCCCTTTCAGGCAGGACACAAGGACCTTGAAGTTCTTGTTTCTTGCCAGCAATATTAGATGGTGTCTTTTAACAAAGGATAGTGTTCGGAATTTTTCTTTATATCTGTTTTTCTCTTGGGAAACAAAGCTAGGCTAATTTAGGCAACAAACCACACTTTCAATCAGTTTACTGGCTAGTAAACTGCACGGGATGTTGGGAGAACACAAGAAAAGTTCATAAACCACAAGGTGTGGCTGAGTGGTTTACAGTCTCTGCAAGTGTTCTGATCAGTTCATAGGATTTTCAGTAAATGTCTGAATGAAAATCCAGTTCAACTGTGGTTGCAATTTTCTTGAAGCAAAAGCATGCTAACTTTTCCTTGTTGGCAAGCAGTTTGGGAAATTGCAGAAGAGAAGTTCTGAAGTTCTCTCACTACAAATATGCAGGAAAAGTAAAGGCTTAAAATGGAGCAACCAGGTTGTTAAGCTGAATTTTAAATAGAAAATTTGATCTTGTGTAAAAAATAAAATATTTGTTGTTGGTTTTGACACTTAAAGTGTCCTCTTAGGACCAAAGGCCTGTACCAAATTAAAATCTGGGAATTTCCACTGTGTGGCACCATTTCATGGGATGGGAAGATGTATCAGTTTTTTATCGTTATACAGGCAAATATTTAATATATTTTTGACCAATCAGAGTGCATGTTGTGTATAAGTTATGTCATAAAATGTTTTGTCATTGTTTAGTTGATTGGTTGAGCACATAGCCCTATCCTCTCCTCATCTTTGTTAATATTATTGTGATCATTTTTCATTGCTTGTCTTCATTTGCAGACTTTTATGAGTTTTGTTTGCCTCATTATTCCAATTTTGCTCAAATACATAAGGTGAGTAACATGTACACTCTGTTGACCCTTTGACCCCTCAGAGTGACGAACATCTCCCATAAATTCTCCTTACAGTATCACCCCTGAATCACACATGAAGGTTTTGAGAGTAGAGGAAATGATCACAAACTAGACAAACTTTTTGATTGATAAACAAATTCTCCTCATCAGCACCTAAGGAAACATATAGAGAACACTACAGGGAAGATGCACGCTGATGTCAGGATATAAATAGTTGATCAAATTTTTTTTAATGTATAATTCTTAGAGTTTCAGAAGGTGAACTTGTATTACACCAAGCTGAAGTATGAGACTCAGTTGACGATCATGTCACAAACTACTTTATTTTCTTTACTTTGCTTTATGATGATAATATCCCATTTTTCTTTAATTCATAGGGGTTTAAGAAGACGAGCAAGATATAGTTATGATCAAGTTTCAGTGGGCAATGACACTATGGAGTACCCCCCTAGCAGGCACATCAACACTACCTTAGCAAGTAAGTTGTGTCTAATAACTTATTTTGGATTTCTCTCTGATAAAGCAATTTTCAATTGAGCTTTCAAAGCAATCCTGGATTGCTTTGGGTGGTTTTACTCTGTTATGTGATTGTTCCAGAAAATTCACATCACTTTCTGAACCAATCAGATGCAAAACTTAAACCAATCACAACTTGGTCACTCTCCTTCCCCTGCGCTTTCAGCAGTTTGATATTTTCCTTGCTATGATTGGCTGTTTTGATTGTTTTGGTTTTGGTCTTTCATAATTTAATCAAAAAGTGCTCTAATTGGGAAAGAAAGAACAGATGCAAAGTACAAGAAAACCTTGTCTGGTACACAGTAACTTGAAACATTCAAATGAGAAACATTTGTTTTAGCACTCAGAACCAAATATTGTACAGATTTGTAGCAACTCTCAACTTCTGGTTGCCAATTCGTGTTTACAAAAAAATCTTCTTCTGAACCTCCTTATTTCATCATGTCTTGCCAATCTCTGCCAAGTGTATTGGTAAGCAATTAGTTACCCTTTAACTCCCAATACCTGATTGTTAATTTTCCCCTCCAGCTGATGCACATTTCCTTTTAAATAAGTTGTAAGAATTTTGTGTTAGATCAAGATAACTTCAACCTGATAAGTTTTAGCTCTCTCATTGCCGGTTTACAGGATGATGTATCAATATTTCAGGGAGAAGATATGTGTTAATCACTTCTGGAAGTGAAAGGGCTAAATATCAATAATGATTGTACAGGGGTTGGATTCATCCATACACAGTTCATATCCTGAGCTGTTTATTTCTGTCAGAAGCATGATTTTAGGTTGTGGGTACAATTTCCTCCTACATGACAAAATCACAACCTGAGTTTTCTGTTTTTGCAGATTCCTGAATGATGGCAAGCGTCATGTCACTGGTTCTTCAATAATATTGTTTTTTCATTCCTTTTTTGCCGTTTTTCACCTTTTAATGTATTTTTACCAGCTGAAATATTTCTAAGATTGAACTTTTGAGTAATTCCTGTACCTATCCCACACAAAGTCACCAGTGAAAATTAAACAGAGCAAGGCTTTTTCAAATAAATTATTAATATAGTTATTTCTCTCTTGAGAGTTTCGCCGAATGATTCCTTTCTTACACATAATTGTTGTCGTTAGTTCGTTTTACTCTTAAAGAATTAAACTATAGCTTTAAAGTCATTTGACATTTTTAGAATTTTCATCATTTCTGACAAGAAAGGCTCTGGTGTAAGGCTCTTTGGGAGCTTGTAACCTTATCTAGATAAGGTAAGACAAGTTATTTAGCCAGTAGGAAGCTGTCGATTCAACATGATTAATTATGTCATCATAAACATAACATGGCATAACATACAGCAAGCATAAAATTCATTTCTTGTCAGATTGTATGGTTTGAACCATTTCTGTATGAGCAATTAACCCTAGACAATTATGGCAAATGCTGTGATTATTTCCAATCAGCGTGACATCACACTGATGTTTTTAAGATGTCTGGTTCACTGGAAATTTTTGGGCTCTTTGGGAATAGAGAACGTTGAATTTCTTAAGTACAGTGTACCAAGGTGACCAGGACACTAGCCAATGGGTGATTGGGACATTAGCCCAAGGGTAACTAAGGCATTAGTCCAAGGGTAATCAGGGCATTAGCCTAAGGGTAACCAGGGCATTAGCTCAAGGGTAACCAAGGCATTAGCCCAAGGGTAATCGGGGCACTAGCCTAAAGATAACCAGTGCGTTGGCCCAAGGGTAACCAAGGCATTAGCCTAAGGGTAACCAGGGCACTACCGTAAGGTTGAGCGGGACATCTGTACTCAGTATTTGCAATTGTAATTTATAGTACATTTCTATTTAAATATGTTGATTAAAAGTGGCGTTAAATTGAAGTAATTGTTGGCTGACAGTTTGTTTTATTCTCGCAACTAATTTGTTGGGTAAAGCACGAGGGCAAAGTAAAAGTAGCACACGTGCGTTGTCAAAATTTCGTCCGGCTTGATTTTCTGTGATGCTTTTTTCATGTAAACTATAAACAAGTAACTATAATTTCTGGGGCAATTTAGTGTTAATAAGCACGATTACGTTTTTCTAAGACAACAAAATTGACGGAAGTGTTCACTGCTCTCTGATAAAAGTCACAGCGAATCATATTCTACCAATGGATCAATTGTTAAAACCACAACGAATATGAGATTCTTTTCAGGAGAATATGCATAAGGATGTTTAAGTGTAAAGTTAATCATATTATTTCCATTCACTAAGTAAGTTCACATGTATAGAAAAGACCACCATTTTTATTTGTGAACAAAGAAAAGTAAATCAAACTACGATATTCTTGTTTGTGATCACATCTGAGCGTGTCTGTTGATAAATCGTTCATTTTCTTTCACTGACGGGGAATAGGCTTGGTTCCCCATTGTGCCATCTTGTTGCTAATTGGTCGATTACGGAAGTACTCAGACTCCAAGAACTCTTTAATAGCAGGAATGCGCTGGTAAATTAAAAGACAGTGATATGATTTGTGAAAGACAAAAATCTAAAAGAAGAATAAACGGTTTTGTGTTTGACTGTGTAATTAGCAAATAGATATTCATGTTGCCGTGCGAATCGATTTGTTTCGTATGATAAAAAAGCAAAATCGTGATAAATGGTGAACTAATTGATGCGTCAGTATTCCAATGCGTGTGTAGTCAGTTCAGTTTATAAAACTATACTACACAGTTTACATAGTATCAACAGTATTTCATGTTCGTACAGCATCTGCACAATTTCACCTTGTTCGTACTTTTAGAGCAATATTTAATGAGGGTCAAAAGTAGTTAGAAATTTTATGGGTTTTGCTTTACTTTGCCATGCGATTGGTCCAGTAAACTGGCGCCATCTGCTTCACCAATCAGATTCAAAACGAAAACCAATCGGAACTTAGTCGTTTGCGTTTTCCTGCGCTTGATGCATTTTGCTTTTTTGTTACCTTAGTTTTCCATTGGCTCCTTGTGAGATTTCCCTTCGCCCTGATTGGTCGTCGTGATTACCTTGGTTCCGTTCTACGTCACTCTATGATTTTTGCTTTCCGAGATCGGTTCGTTCATCGATCAGAAAATAGGCATCATTGCATCTTTGTATCTTACCTCGATTCTGGCCATGAAGTCCTTGATGTTTTGAAATGGATTAAGAGCTAATGGCTCAAAGGTTCGTAGTTGATCCAAGATTTCATACATCATGAAATCGGCAAAACTTAACTAAATAAGAGGTGGAAGAAATGGAATATGCGTCGATCAATTCGAAGCTTCAATATCCCCTCCGGGAAACCCCTCGGGCATTTGAACGTTTGAAGATTGGTTGCCCTACCTTAAATGCTGGATTTGACAGGGACGACAACATGGACGACAGTCAAACTCCTGTGGGTTGCCCCGGAGAAGGATGTTGAAGCTTCAAATTAATTGGCACATAAATTCCACATGTTTTCACATGTCAATTACAAAGGTTGTTGGATCTGCCAGTTGGATCAATTATCAAGCTACGCGTGTTGAGTTTATATAGAATGAGCGACATCTTGAATGAGTTCTATCTTACTGTCCTAGCCTGTTTTACCAGTAATTTTCAAGATTCGTATTTTTTTCGTATTATACAATTGTGGGATACGATATGCAATATACCGTTGCCTGGTAATTTTATCTCCCGGGTTCTTTAAAAAAAATACGTATGGGTCCGTTTTAATGTCAGTTTTTTCTATGTGGACCTAGTTTTTTCGTGGTCGATCACGCAGGATTGTCCTTGCCACCATCGTTAACTTCTGACACCAGTTTCTTTGTTTACATCCGTTTATTTGTAGAATTTTTGAACTTTCATTCCGTTGGATAGGCGCCTCGCATGGGTCTTCGTGTCCCATTAGCGCCTTTTCCTTTTATTTTTTTATTCCCTTTATTTGTCCTTCCTATCCTTCTTATCTACTAATACTCTCTCTTCATTTATTACTCAACAAGGATTTAAGGAGTAAGGGATGATTAGGAAAATGTACCATAGAATACTCACGTGATCGCCGGTGAAGTAAGGATACGTGCTGAGGAAGTCTGAGTGACGCTGAAGAAACACTTTGCAAGAATTCAAATACGCTTCTCTTCCCCCTTCCTGTAAAATAAATGGAGTGTTGATACCAAGTTGGTTTTACCAGAAATAAATACAACTATAACTAACAAAACTGTATTACAATCCTTAAAGGTATATTAATTCATGTCACCACTCAGCTGGATTAGTTTACGTTTTTTTTTTTGCTAATTTCTGATAACTCGTGTTAGTATATACTAAACCAATGGAAAGCGTTGAATGCAGGCTCTGATTGGTTGCTCAAACCCCGGATAACAAAATCGTCAGAGAACAACATCAGAGACTTCGGAGGGGCGAAAAATTCAGTTTTGTGCGCGAAAAAATTGAATGAAACCCTTAAAACGTCTTATTACTTGATTTGACTCAGTTATAAACACGCTCTTACCATGTCTGGACTGAAATAAGTGAATTTTATGAATCCATTGATGAAGTCCAATGCCTGTAATGATGATAATAACAATAATAATAATAATGATAATAATTATGATAAAACACAGACGGTTGCCAGTCATTTCGTACCCTTGGTCGTTTCGTACCCAGTTGTTTCTTACCCAACTGGGTCGTTTCGTACCCAGTCAGCTCATTCATTTCGTACCCAGCTCGGTCGTTTCGTACCCAAACTAATAAAGTATGTTTTCCAAGTTAGCAATTGGAGAAAAAATATCACACTGACACGAGCTGTTATTGTTAAAAAAGTGACAAGTAAAAACGATAGACTTTTCAACTAAAAATATCACACTTACCTTGCGTCAAGCAATAATTATATTGTTTTTGTCGAGAAGGTCACAAGTATACAGAACAGATTTCTCTTTGTATCTTACTCGCTTGACTCTACTTATTTGTTGTACGCAACGATTGATATCTGTATGAATCGATCAGCGGATTGGGTAGGCAACGACTCAAACTTGGGTACGAAACGACTCAAACTTGGGTACGGAACGACTCAAACTTGGGTACGAAACGACTATACCTGGGTACGAAATGACCGGATACCAAAAAGACGGACAGTCAATTGAAGTGGCCATTTTTTCTGGTCATCTAATTTTTCTCATCGGGCTTAGCAGCGAAAACAAAACATTTTTCTCTTGAAATTAAGTGTACCAAGGACTATTTCCAGCGAACTCTTTTTCCATGTCCGAAGAACACTGACTAACAAAGACAAGTTGTAACTTGTTGAGTTCATTTACTGACAGTAACCGCTCGAAACCAACTGCCATTAGAACAAAATACAAAGACAGTTTTTGTTAAATGTTCACTTATAAGAAGAGAGCAAAACTTCCTTGAGCTCGGGACTCCTGATTCACAGTTCACCTGGCACGAACACACATCAGTCTTTCGATCTTTAATGATTAGTGATCAACTTGTAGCCGGGTGAGATGTTTCCACATCTTATACTTTTTAACAACTTTTCAGAAGGTTTTTTTTCTTTCTCAGATTTAATTTAGTTCAAAATCCATTTTAATCATGATAAATTTGATACTCGATCCAATAAGCGAATAACGGGGTTAAAGAAAACTGTGAAGCTGTGTCGATAGGGGAGTACACCAGATAATTTGGTTTTAAAAACCGATTTGATAATGCAAAATGGCCACCGTAAAGAAATTCTAAAGCTAACGTTTCGAGCGTTAGCCCTTCACCCTTCCCTCAACCGAGGAGCTAATTCCCAAAACCAAATGATCTTATTAGACCTACTAAGCGTTAGAAATTGCATCCCTTGATCGACAAAACAAAGTACGTCAAAAGTCGTACGTTCAGAAATGTTAGGTGCTCCCATGCAACAAAAACCATAATACTATCATTAGAGTAAGTGATGAAATTCGTTTGCACCTCGGCAGCAATTACATCGGCTCTCATCATCTCTTCTTCGCTGGTTCCACCTTCAAACACAAATTTAAAGTTAAGATAATTGCCAAAAAGACGTCTGAGAGGACCACTTCAGCTTGAAATACTAACGATTCCCTAAGAGTGACTAGCATCTAACATCACCCCTGGATCCCACATTAAGGTGACAAGAATAAAGGAAATAATCACCAACTAAAGAAGCTCTTGACTGTTAAACAAGTTCTCCTTGTCAGTACTTAGGAAATGTATATAGAGAACCGTATGGAGAACATCCTCGAAGGATCGCCACCTTGTCGTGGTCGGCGGGCTTGAGTGCCTCGGAGACCCCTAGAGCTATGCCGGCGGGAGCTTCGTCTCCTGGTAGGGCCACCCAAGCCGGACAGGTCGAAGGGTAGGGGTCCGACGAAGCGGTCTTCCAGGTTAGGGGGTTGGGCACAGGGCTAACAACCCTGTCCCGTAAAACACCCATGTTACGGAGACAGCACAAAAAGCCGCCCTACGTGCCACACGGCATAATGGGCATGAGTGAGTGAGTAAGTGTATGGAGAAAATGCATACTGATGTTAGTATGTATAGGGTAAAGTACCGACTCACTTTTAGGAGGTTAGGAATTAAACAATAAGTGTAACACTACATTTAGGTAAGTGGATGTCCCTTAATGTTTCCTAATTTTTACGATCCCTCTTACATTAGGATGTTTCCCCTTCATACTCTAGGATCGCAGCTAAAAGGTAACTTCTCGATTCATTGTTCTGTTGCTATAATTTGTTTTGTCCAATAAGAGTTTTGTTACACACTTTAAATTCAACTTTGTACTTTGTAATATTCAGAACTGAAGATGACAGAAGAACTGTCGAAACATGTTTTTAAGAAGTGTCGTTCGTTTCCTTAAATTCGTTACATATCTGCTTCTATCCAGACCTTTTGGAAACTAATCGACAGTAGAGACCTGATAGAGATTAACGAGGCATGGATGGGAGACCGTATACACAATTTAGTACTTAGGCGTAAAAACTGAAAAATTTTAACCGTTACTCGTCAGAAAAGTTCACCGTACTAACAACGTTTCTTTCAAACGTATCGGAAAGAAGTTCACTGTTGGCTGTAAAAATGGTCAAATTTTAACCGTTAGCTGTAAAAGCCATCATCCCATTGAGATACTTATAGTTTCACAATCAAGTATTTATTTCCAGATTCTCAGAAATTGCTCCGATGGAATTCAGCTTTCGAAACCACGAATTCGCGGAGAGAGGTACATATAGGGGTTAAGGCTTGCCACCGACGAAATCAACCGATGTTTACAAGTCTCTTAAGTTCAATCGCTCAGGCCATTTGCATTTTAAATGTTTCTTAAACAATTTCAGCAAATGATCCATATGTTAAGAGAAGGCAAATACGATAAATATCATGTCAAGAGAAGTGGCACAAAGATATCGGTTCCACGACCAATAGAAACGTTGATTGGAGGAAAGTCTCTCAAACATCTGCCGTGTGCACAGGGAACTCTAAATAATACATTTCAATTTCAGATTTTACAAAGACGGCGAACGACTAATAGATATTTACTGAAAAATGGGAATTAGACAGAGCGGAAAATGCACCTTTTGTCATAACGAAAAAGAAGATCTGATGCACTTATTCTGGCAATGCAAAAAACAAAAATATTTTGGCAGAATCTTGCGACATAGCTTCAGTCGCGACAGATTCTCCCAACAGACAACCAACTACACATAGAAACCGCTTTGGGTCTTATGCCTGACAGCTCCGATTTCAAACTCCAAATAAATGTTGCTGCCTAATGGCTAAACACTATATTTGGATATGTCGATCGAAAGAACTTTATCCAACTCGAAACAACTTCTTGATTCATCTAAAACATATACATCACTTAGAAAACAGGACACCAAGCAACACAAAAAAATGGAAGCCTTTTCTATCCTCGCTGGATCAGGTCTCCTGAGCCCTTGACTCCGAAACCAGTACTTCTCTTACATGTAAAACATATATTAAAATAGTATACTCTGTGTAGAATATCTTTTCGCCCCGAAAAAAGAAAACAAGAAGAGAATTTATCAAATAAAAATAACGGACTAGAAAAAATACCCAAAAAAAAACTTGTAGCCAACTTTCAGAAATAATGCAATTAGCCCCTTTAATTTAAGTTTTAAAGTATAAACTGTGTAACTTGTGATACCATTGAATATAGTGTTAGTATTGTGATGTAAATAGCGTTAGTCTTTTTAATGCAAGTAACAGAAATGTAAGTAAAGTATCGTTGTAAATAGCGCAACTGCTGTAACGTAAGTAGTGTCTCTTTTGTAACTCTGTAAGTAGTTTTTTTTCTGTTTTTGTTTTGTTTTGTCTTTTCTTTTGCAATTAAATAAATGTGAAAGTAAAAAATATATAATGACAAATAAGTGAATATTTAGTTAACTGTAAAAAAAAAAAAACACTTACATAGATTGTGCTTTCGGGCGATGTGTCGAATAATCTGGGAAGATATAATATATATTTGTTAAAATAAATAAGTTATTCCCCCCTCTCCCGTAGTCCTGTTCCAGTGCTACGCGGATCTTTTTGTTCAGCACTATATATCGAGGACCCTGATTTAGTTTGATCAGAAACAGGATGCATATTGTAATTCTCCGTCTGGACCAGTTGTTCACCATAACGTAATACTCTGGGAATGGGTTTGGTTTTTGCTGTAAACCGTAGGATACCGTTTGCGGTATGAGATGGCTTGATCCATATGAATAAATTAATTGATATTATTTGATTGGCTGAATATTGAACAACTATTCGTTGAAGTGGATATTTACTGAACCGCAAAGAGGCGAGGTAAATATCCGCTGCTAGCCACTGACACTAACATGAATAACTGTTAAACTATGTACTTAGAGAATGAGATAGAGAACGACGCTTTTCGTCTTGTCACGAGCGTGGGACAAAGAAAAAATTTTGAGTCCCCATGAGGAATCGAACATCAGACCTGTGGATTTCGCGCTCTACCACTGAGCCACAGGGACTCTACGGTGCGAGATCCATTACGAAGTTCATATAACACTCGTCCCGCATACTGCTAGGATCAGCAATGTCGATAGCGTAATGTTTGTAGATATAAATAAGAGAGGTGGTAAATTTTGAGCTCGGTAAAGAAATAGAGAAAGATGTTTTTCGTCTTGTCACGAGAGAAAAAAAGATTGAGATAGTATAGCACAAAAAGATGATTTCAAGGTGATTCGTCAGTATTGCACTGCACATCCTGTAGTGCGCATAAAAATCACGTGATGAGGTGAATAAGCGCGCGCATTCCGAGAAAATGGTATTGTTTTTCAGTTAATGGACCAGGTAACGAGATACGATGGTCTTTAGCTCTTGAACGAGCACGGTGATCTATATTTTCTATTGCATAATTTTGGCGTTCAAATCATCCCCTTTAAATTGGAGAAATTTAAAAATTCATCTTGATAATGAAAATTATGACATTGAGAGCAACGACTCGAGGAACGTTTTGAATCGATGTCGCTTAAAGTTGCGTGATTTTTCCACAAATTGTATAGTCCTTTATTCCTGCAACAATTAAAATGTCATCGGGCGCAAGTTCCGCGCGAGTTGCTCGGAGGTAAATAGTGAAGGATATTTGAAGTTTAAGTAATCAATCAGAGCGCGCCTTCAACGTTATCCACTGTTATAGTACGCACTAAATTGCAATATTGTTCATGAGTCAGTTTATGTGATCTTAAAACACATGCAACATTGCCTACCGCTGTCGTCTGTGTTAACTTCACATCCCCGTCGATGTAATAGGGTAACTGAAAGATAAACAGTACTAAAAAAAATCTGATTCTCTCCCAGAATTTGTACATTTTATTAATTATAAAGGGGAAAAAATATATATTTTGGACATGTAGACAAGCAAAAAATCTAGTTCATTTAGCGTCTGATTCCTGTTTACATTATCACCTATCAATCAAACATTTAGGTCATGAAAATTAAGGAAAGGAATCCTAACTAAAGAAGCTCTTGATTAATTGACAAATTCTCCTCGTCAACATCATAACAGATGTATAGAGAAAACTATGGAGAATATGCAGACTGATGTAGGGGTGTAAAGGGTTTAAGGGTCCGCCATCACTTACGTTCGGAAAGGGCAGTCCTAACGTCTCTTTCACAGACAACCAACCGCTTTTGTCATAATCAGGTGCTGCAAAATATCAACAGACGGCGATCATTGTCAGTTAGCATAGCACGGGTAAACAGCAGAGTCTAATGAGGTAAATCCTACACGCATTTTGATCGGTTGTTAGTTTTTTGTCTATCGGAAGACAGACGCATGAATGACCTCACCATTACTAACAATTTTGCCTTTTTATCATATAAAACAAATTGATTTTATGTTACCGTGCTCTTTTCAGTAACAGATCACAGAAAACGACAGAACGCGAGAAGAACATCAGTTGTACACCCGGCTGCGCCTCGTGTCGGCAACTTTTTTGTTCTAACCACATTTTGCCGACTTCAGCTGTGATCTGTTACTGAACAGAAGCACGGTAACATGGAATCTATCTGTAACCTACACAACGGATTGCTGTCAAGTTACATTCATTTTATCATTTCTTTCTTATTCAGCCTCTGTTGAAACCGCCTCACTCCCAAGCGTAACACGAGTTTGATTACATGTAACACGAGTTTTCGAGTAGAGTTTTATATGAGTTGAGTTTCACCGATTAAAGTTAATATTCTAACAAGCAAAAGTTCGAGTGATCACTACAGCCTCCAAGAATGTACTTACCGTCCCCAGTCACGTAGTCACAGTACTCGCACTTTGTTCCAGTATAAGCCATCAGATAGCGAATTGGTTCAGCAATCTGTCAATAATAGTGACAAATATGTATCCTTGGAATAAGAGTTATTCTCGTTTTTTATGTACTCATTTATTTTTATAAATAAAGGCCTAACCGAAAAGTTTTAAGCACTGGATATTTATCCTAATGATTCTATTTCCGACAATGATCCTATTTAACCGATAAACTGGTTTATATTCTATACTATATATTATTATATTATATGGTTGTTCAGATTTGAACTCCATGATTGTGTCTCTTAAAATCCACCATTGGATTTGCCTTCTGGTAGATGGAATTTATATATGAGTTAAATAATTTATCTATTTCTGAAAAAAGAAAACATAGTCTTTAAAAACCTTTGCCTTAGTAGTACAACTCTCTGACTTTCTCAACCCGTTAGACTCAATTGTTAAGTTGAACCAAGAGTCAAACTTAATTTATTTCTACAGAGACTCCAGGTGTCCGTCTGAACTTTACGACGATCCAAAGGTGTTTAATATTTAAGCTTTATTTAGAAGGCATGTTTTTACACGTAAAAGGAAATTGGTAGTTCACCGTTGATCCAGTGATCTCCACAGAAACCTTTGACACAATTGATCCTTTGGCGCAACTTCAATTCTCAAGTACATCTCAGCAATATCACAGATAAGTGCAACAGGGTATCTTCTGAACCGGAGTAAGACATCGTTCAAATCTCTCTGAAACTTTGGTCTTTAATAAATGACGTCATTTAAGGAGACTTCTTCGTATCTAACTGTAGCATCGAAGACTATACGAGTTTTAGTTGGGGCTCTGTCCGGTCGTACTACAGGAAAATGAGGTAGGTACCACTCGGGGCTTTTTAATAGGCGCCTCTCTGTGTTTATCAGTCTTCTTAGGGCCATTTCATAATTGTCTGGTAAAATTGGATTGTCTTCCTTCCATGGAATTCCCACTTGATATCTACCATCCACGTTCTTAAGAGACTTCTCGACTTTCTCTAGTGCACATTGGTCTTCAGGACTCATGAAGTAATCTTCTGATTTCGTTTGTGTCGGCACTCTCTCCCCTAGCTACCACGTTTCAAGCCACTAATAGGTCCGGTGCAGCTCTATCCTGAGTGGGTTAGTCTAGCCACCGGCTCGCTGGGATTTCCTCGAATGTCCTTAAATGAGAAGTGTAGCTCGGCATAGTCGACTCCAATCAGGAGCGAATTAGGAACCAATTATGGAGCGAATACCAAGATTTGAAAACTGTTACAATTTCACTGCATGTTTCTTCCAACTCATCACTTCCACGTCTCCTGTGACTCTCTCTGAAGTAAACGCACTTAGCTTCGTCTTCACGTTTCCATCTAAGCTTTCAAGTTCTACTTCTACTGGCGTAGTCTCGAACGTTTCTGTTTGACCATTGAGAATGTTTACAGTTACTTTCTGGGGTTGCCCTTGGAGACCTTATTCAGCTGCTACGTCGGCATATATATATAAGTCTTTGTAGATGCCTCGTCTAGTAATGTATTCACTTTAATTCTCCGATTACCATACTTCAGAATCACTGGTACTGTGCGCAATGCTACGATTATTATGTGATCGGCGGCTGCAGAAACTGTTGTGGTAGTGTGTTTCCTTTCCAATATTTACTCTTCCGTGACCTAAGGAGAAGAATTAACCAGTGGACTTCTTTCCTGGCCAATAGTATCAGCTTCTCTTTCATTTTGACCCCCATCTTCTTCACCACGATCCATCGACTGGCGATTATCTGTTTGCTCAATGTGATTGGTTGGCCGCATATCGTTGTGTAACAGTCTGTTGTGGTTGCTCTTTCCACCCTTCATACTGTCGTTTATCTCCACTTAAGACAGGAATGGAATTTGTCCTCTACAAATTTCTCCATACTCTTATGCGCCACTCTTTCTTCGATTCGACGAAGGCGAGTCTCTTCTGAAGCATCAGTTGCCAAACTAAAGAGTTCGTCCTTACAACTTTCCAAATATTCATTAGCCTTTTCTTTCGCTCCCGAAAATTCCATTTCCAGTTCTTCCATTTCTTCTTCAAGTTCCTGCGTTTGTCCTTTTCATCAAGGTGTAAATACTCGTCCGGCGACAGTCACGGCATTGTCTTCTTAGCGCGTTCCTGCGCGACACTAAGTTTTTAACAAACTTCTCGCCGACGTGGATAATCTTCCTCGTCTATAAGGTGCAGCAGCTTTTTTCTCTATCCTGATAAATGCCGATTAAGTCCTTGCTTTGTCCTGCTTTATGCTCTTGATAAGTTCCTTATCCTCGCCCGTAGTTTCATCCGCAACTCTACCCAAATTTCCGCCCGTATTTACATCCATTGATTTAACGCTAACCTCGAAGATCCGTGATAATAACCACGCTGAACCGTGATGAAAAACCTCGCCCTGCTACCAAAAAATGTTCACTTGTTGAACATTTTATTATTAACTCGAACTAAGTATGAATAACAAAGTTAAACTGAGCACAAAATGACCGATCTCGAACGAGCTAATCTTGAACGACCTCGAATAAATTCGAACACGACTTCGAATAAACTTGAACGAATTACACAAAACATGTTTTTTTTTACAATTATAGAACAAACGAAGCATAAAAAAACCTACAAATTATCTTGCAAAACAAAAGACGCTACATAACAAAAACCTACAATACGACGAAATAAATTTTAAAAATACGTAAGGTTAAATAAGCACGATCCATAAATTAAATGTTCTTTAGTCCATTAACCTTGTTTTTTATTTCGATCTTAAGTTTGTTTGCCTTGAGATCGAAGTTTGTTAACTAGTTACGCAAAATTTTAATTCAAAGGTTCATGTACTGTTCAAACATAGACTGTGTCTGTGCGAAGATTTGAACATGCATGACTAACATCACCCCCTATGATTGTTTTCATTGCCTCGAAGGGGAAAATCTTTCATTTTTTTTTCGCTTTTGTGAAGCTTTGGAATTGTTACACTGTTCGTTTGCAAAACTAGAGTGATATGCCACGAAACTTTTGGTGTGCGTGACCCAGGTGCTGAAATCTTTAGTCAAGTAACCTATTAAACGAGTTTCTACCTCACAGTCTTTGCAGCTAACATCCTTACACAACATCGTTGGACAATAGGATCGCCATCGCTGACACAATCTGCCTAGCGATGCAGGTATTTACTTAGCCATACTGTTTAGCACGGGAAAATAGCAAAATTTTCCATTTTAATTCAAATTTGATTTACAGAGAAGGTAAACAATAAAAACGAAATATAGACCCAGGCGTAAGATGAGTTACTGCCCACTACCTAACTTTTGCCTCTGAAGCTAACGAGAAACCTGTGGGCGTTTACCCAACTGGGCAGAGGAGCGGTTCCCCTGAAGTGACAAAATTCATCCCAGAGGCAGACTTAGACATGTCTCGGTAAGTCCGCATAACTCGCATTTCAACTGCGTCGCCCTCTATGGCTTTTCGGTCGTTGTCCTTTGAATAATTTTCTTGTCAGCAATGCAAAACGGATAGTTAATAAAATGAAAACAAAACTAAACAAGTTTGAAATTATTCTTACCCCTCGTACGTTCCAGTAGCCGAGAATCGGAGCCATTATTGTCACTTTAAGATTTTAACACGGACAACTCATCAACCTAGAAGTGACGTCTAGACGCTAGCCACTGGCGACAGCGCGTCACCCAAGCCGAAAATGCACTGGACACTAATCAAAATACTCTAAAGGGGTTGGTACCTTCTACTAGTAACGCCTGCTGATTCTTTAAGCTAATTCTTGCCTCTTGTTAGTATGTATACCGAAATGAATCCCTGAATTACGCCGAAGAAAAACGCCTGACGTATAAAGGAACTGGTCGGCTGGTTCGCGAGAGGATTTCACCGACCCAAAACAAGGCTTGAAATTTCTACATTTTCTAATCGATTCATATGTCTCCCACGGTCAAAAGACACTGCGAATTTGTAGTGAAATAGTAGCGCCTGTTTATTTCGACAGTTAATCTTGTTGTTTACCTGTATTTTCCTTCAAGTGAGGCAAAGTGGAACGTATTTGTGGTAAAATTTCCGCACAGTCCTATACTAAAACAAATCTGTTTTCCCAATGGCAATGTATTGTTTTTGTCATTGTTTTCTCTATCCAAGAACTAAATGCATAATGTAGTATGGGGCTGTGCGGAAATTTTACCGTATTTGCCACGAAGGGTCTACAAGAAAGGTTTAAGCTACCAAGACAGTAATGTTTGTGTAACAAAGTATGATGGCTAAAGCACACCAGTTGTGCTATTGAATATCATTGGACATTAATGGCCAAGTGGATCATCAAATGGACTACCTAGATGACTCCAGCCTGCAACATAAGGGTAACTTTCCTGAAATGTAATCATTTGACGTTAAGTTCTTTATCAACAATACGTTCAGACTTAATGTTGATAACAATAAACTTAATAAACAGACTCATTGTTGATAAACAATGATTGTTTCATAAGTCATATTACAACTTAGTATTTTAACCTGTGTTTATTGTCAAGCCCAAAACAATTGAAACGCTCAATCCCTCTAAAAATAACATACTCCGAAAATTAGCTTACCCGAAAATAAGTGTATCAAAAAAACCTTAGAACAAATATAAACCATGGGCTTATTATAGGAATTTTACAGTATCTCTGTTTTTTAAAGTTTAACTCAAAATGTATTGTAAAGTGATGATATCTGTGAATCGAATCAAAAGGAAATTTCACAAGAATCTGCTTTCAGAGACAATTGATTGGAAGTCAAGATCAAAGTGATTGAGAAAATCATTTATTGATCGATTTCTGTTTCATGGTGGCTTTGGTGGCTTTGGTGGCTTTGGACACATGATAGACAGAGAAGATAGTCAATGTCACGTGCTTGCTGGGTGGTGTAATGTTACATTCCCTTAAACTTTCTGCTCGGTCTCATTTATGTTGAAGCATGATCATACAACATACAACTGCTTGTATTTTGAAATGCTTGCTTATTTATTTCTATATCATCTGGGTAATAAACTATTCTAAATATATGTTCAAGTTTCGTAATCGATCAGAATGTTCAAATGACATAATCTTTTTTCTTTTTTACAACAAAATCCACTGTACAGTAACTGGATAAGAAAAACTAAAAAATAAAAAAGTATTTAAAAAAAATAGCGTAAGATCCGACGTGAATTTAACAGAACGTGGAAAATTCACCTTGGAAATAATACAGTAAACTGTTTAAACTATACCTAATCTGCAATTCATTTGATTTTCAAACTTAGCGGCAGAGAACTTTACAATATAATTAACAAAAAAAAATTGTATAAACGATGATCGAGACTACTTTTATACAATTCACAGTATATACCCATTTCCTATTTATTGCATAGCTAATTTTCTATGAATTATCACATTTACAATTTAAAACAATAAAAATTTCAAAGTTCTTTTTCAAGCTAGCACACTTGTAATTAACTTTTTCTTGGAAAATATCTACTCTAGCTGAAGGCTTGGTAATCCATTACCACTGTCGAGAAGCTTAAACAAAATCCTGTAACTAACAGCTTTCGGGGCATGACATCTGGCACACTTACATTAGGAAACGACGTTACAAGTTGGAAACAGATGCGCACTTTCGCTTTGTTAACCTCATTAACTTTGTCAGTTCAGTCCTTTATAATCTTCTCCATACTCGCCAATCCTCGTTTCTTTCTACTTCATTAGTGGTAGCTCTGGTTTTTTTTTCCAGCAACCTTACTAAACTAAAATACTAAAGATCCCGATTTTCCAAAATCAAAATCGACTTGATCCATTATTTTCCACCTCAGCCATTTACTTCTTTTTCTTTACACGACTTTAACCCAAAAGTTGAAGTCACACAAGATGTAAGGAACAGTCAGCTTCAATATACTCCACCAGTGTATCATAACAGAACTCGTACTGCCCCTGTAAACAACACATGTGCCTTTATTATAAACATTGTTCAAGACATGTTTGAAACAATTATTTTGTAACGTGCTTTGGTAGCTTTAGTGTTAAAGAAAAATGTGTTTCACTTTGAGCACGACGAACGCTCCATTGATAGCGAATGTCTATCTAGAAATTAATTTTCTATGAAGTTGCGTTTTCCTTTGATACATTAATTGGAACACTTCGTAACATCAAAGAAGAGGCGTTAAAATCATGAACCGTCTAACAGTATTTTAGTGTTGAACTGCTGATGCAAACGGACAATATTCGCATTTTTTAGACGGTTGCAAATCAGGGTCAATAGCAGCGACAGACTCGTGATTTCAGCCAGAAAATGGGATGAGCCTCTGTCACTGAGATACTCACGAGGCCCACGAGCCAACAACCTTTTGAAAACGTTCGCAATCGCACTTTCTCAAAGGACATCCGGCTTCCATCCCAGCATAGAATAACTTGTAAAGTAACCAACCTTCTCAGGCGCTTTGGTAAAAAAAAAAAAAAAAAAGATCTATTCCATGTTCTTACCAGAGTTGATACACAGCGAGGTCTCTGATGATTGTATAGGCGAGCTATTTGATAGATGGAGACACTCTTCTCGCGTTCAATCTGATGGTACATTGTATGCAGTAGACAGTAAGCACCTGTCCGTCCTACTCCATAGCTGAGAAGGAACAACAAAGCATTGATTATTGTACTCCTATCAACTTACTGTTACGACATATAACATCATCTTAAGTAGTCATTCAGTAACGAACTCATTTCCTCCTCATTTTTATCACTCTATCGGTACTTTCCTTCATTCTCAACACATTTTCAAAAATGCTTGCTAGGACATTCTAAGTGAATTTGACATGAACAATCTTTCGTAAGAGTCAAAGAGTAAACCAAACACCATCTGACAAATTTCTTACTTGCAGTGCACCACAACTGGTCCGATCACTTCAAATGGTTTGGCATTAAGTCGTACTTCCCTCTCCCAGCTGTCCACTTTACAGATCAGTTGAAGAATAGTCTGACCAGACCATGGATTGCCATCTTCAGGCCAGTGAAGAAAGTGAAAATGTTGGATATTTCTGTACTCACTAGGGTCCTACAAGCCCGAAAAAATAGAGTTGATTAGAGTTTGCTAATCCTCTCCTCTCCTCCACCCACCCCTCCCTTCACGTGAAAAAAATGACATGGAGTTTAATTTAGAAATAATGCATAAGCATGATGTGAGTGGAAACGAAAAAACTTTTATATGGTGTACCTTGATGGAGACCATTCTTAGTTCTGTGATCAAAATGTCACCACGTGTAGCCTCGGAGTCAGCGGTCACCTCATAGTCACCGAACCTGGTTGTTTCGTTTAAAGGCGGTAGATACCTATGGTAAAAACCCTGAAACAGAAAAAAAAAATTAGTATAAACCAACAGTTTATATCATGGCGTTATCGCTAAGTGTTCACAGAGACAACATCTGGAACAAAAAAAATTATGAATAAATTAATTTGAAATAATATCAACAGTGTCGATCATAAACAATACAGACAAAAGAAGAATAACTCCCTGTAAAACTCAACACCCTGGATTGTGAGGGAAATACCAATGGGCTTACGCAGACTGTAAGCAAGTAGTACAAATCCAATTTGCAAAGCACTGTATAACACGCTACCTTCACTTCTACAAATCAGGTAAGTACGCAGTGGTTGCGCCCCTTGGTTTATAACGATTAACATTGCTGAAAATTACTTCATAATAAAACCAAAGTAACAAAATTAATCTACTCATATGGATCAAAAGGTCTCTAAAAACAAAAAGGAAAACAAAAGTACGCTTAGCGACACTCCACTATGCCCTGAGGCGAATTCTTTATGTAATTGGCTGCTTTCTTCATGTTACCCACCTTTTGTCCTCTTTTTTTTTTTTAAGAAGTGTCGATTCAAAAGTTGGTTAAAATGAGTAGGCTAAGAAAATGCAAGAGTTGGATGAAAAAGAAAACAACATTGCTGGATTCCACATTGAACAGGAAACTGACACAGTGTGGAAGTATAAAAGGTATCACCAAACCGTTGAATGTTCTGTTTAGGTATAGTACCTCTTCCATCTCTGCTTTGCTGAGCAGCATGACAAGTGAGCGACAGTTTTCCTGCCAAACCATCCTCCAAAAGTCGTCCGTAGTCTCCGCCAGAGGATACTGAGTTGCTATGTAAGCTTCGGACTTCCAGAAACCCTGCAAGACATAATAGGCACACATGTACATTAAAAGCAATAAAGCATTTTTGAAGAAATTTTAGAATCCTTCCGAGGCTACAAGTATGTTACGCTTTATTAACTGAACAAAGACCGAAAACAAAAGTGAACAAAACAAAAGAAAACAAAGAATCCTATATGTAATCACTTGCAATCCAGCATAACACTTGAAACCCTACGAGTGACCAGCATATAGTTTCTCCTTAGAGAAATACTCAGCTGAATCACTCATTAAGATCATGAGAATAAAGGTAATGATCACCAATCTAACAAGCTCTGATCAATAAACGAACTCTCCTTGTCGGTATCAAAGGAAATTTATAAAGAAAATTATGGAGAGTATGGGTACTGATGTTAGGATGTTAAGGGCTCACCTCTGCCTCCCTGCATCCTGGCTCATTTTTTTCATTTTGGTTTTTGTCTTCCCCAACTAGTCATCATTTTAATGCTTTTTACATAATTTAGGTCCTGAGGAAGTTTATCTACTTTTGTTCTTTTCAAATAAATGTATCCAAATCCTTCCTCTACCAAAGAGTTGCTAGATACGTGTTCTTGCACTTTACATCCAGCTCATTTCTAATCTATAATCTTCACAAATAAAATGGACTGATTCTTACCGCAAGGTAAGTTGCATTGATGTAATCTGAACCCTCCTCTCTCGGGCGAGGATACAACTCAACTCTGGAACTGTCAGCTAAGAAGGTAAGAACCAGTAATATGTTATCATTACCATTGAAGATAATTAACAAAACTCGTCACTTAACTGATTGATAGGTGCAGAGTAAGCTCACTGATTAATCTTTATAAAATACCAAAGATACTATGAGTGCCCTGATTGGTCAAAAACCTGTGGTTTCTGTAGCGGTAAACCTATAGGAAAAAGTACTCGAAAACTATGAAAATCTCTTGCCTCCGGCTCATGATTTATATAGTTTTCTCTTGTTCGCCTAACATCCTGCGCTGGTTAATTCGTCGGTAAAACGAAAGAAAGTGCAGTTTATTGATTAAAATAAATCATATAGCCTTAAGACTGAAATGTTACCTGGAATATAATCTACTGATCTATTCTTTGCTAAATTGCACCCACGCTTAGCTTGCTTCAAATTGTAGTATCTCACTTGAATTGCACTCAAGTCCTAAAGTAAACAAAATGAACACAGTGATCAGGGAAAAGGCTTCTGAGCTTTCTTCAATAGAAACATCAATCAGTCTAAACAACTAAATCTTAGATTACAAAATATGGTAAATTTTGAATTCGATCCTGGAATATGCGTCTTGTCACGAGCGCGAGACAAAAATAAAGTCTAAGTTCCCATGACACATCGAGCCCCAAACCATCAGATTCCAATCTCTGTTGCTCTACTTCAGAAGTACAGAAAATTCGTCAGTCAGTTAGGTCATTGCTTGCGCACTAGATACCGCTACAGTCAGAAATATCAAAAGCTTCGTGAGCGTAAATGTATTGAGAAAGATGTTTTTTTAGCTGTAGAGTTGATGACATGATTCCAGTAGCAGTACTTGTCATTCCGCAGTTCAGTCGACCAAAACTCCACACCAAGAAATTAGAATCACGATAATCATTTGTAAAATCATAAGAAAACAAACAAACAAACAAACAAAACAAACAAAAAACAAACAAACAAACAAAAAACAAAAACAGACGTTTCAACAAGTTTGCGACAAGTCTCAGCCACAAAACCAACTTGACATCAAGAGAATTTAAAGCACTGCCACGTATCTTCCCAAAACAAATAACAATACATAGAAATGGACAAACTAATACCAGCTTAGTACGGCTGCAATAAATAATAAAGTATTTTTTGACGGAAAGTATATACACTAACACGAAAAAGTCTGTTAACACATCAAAAAATATTAATAACAATTTCAAGTAGTCCAATTACTGTGAACATAATGTAATAACATGTTCAACATATACGAAAACATTTAGTGATTCTTAATAACTAAAGACTTGGGAGGAAATTAAGACAAAGAAAAACCTCCTTGCAGCAAATTGGTTTATGCACCACCCCTTCCCCTCCCCTCCTGCCTCTGAATGATGAACGCTAACCTCAAATTCCACTTCAAGTCCGCTTGTACTCGAGCAGTTCTTCCTCAACTTCTGTACATGATCTTTCAGTTCATCTATGGGGATTGACAGCTGAAACCCACTTTCAATGAAATGTAGCAAGGCATCATGTACAAAAATGTATTGACACTGAAACAAGAACAAAAGATGTGTTCATGTCTAACTTCAACAGCTTCCAACATAAACTCATGAGGGCACGAAAACAGATGACTCAGACAATACAGGGTAGTAATACTGAGAGCGCTTTTGGATTGGGTGTCGTAACAGTAAAACCAAATTAATGACAACGGCCAATCGGAGGGAGGGACAAAACCCTCAACAGCCAATGAAAACTCAAAGTAAAAACATGTAAACCGCTTAAAACGCGGGAAAATGCGGGCGACCAAGTTGTGATTGGATTAAGTTTTTCCATGTGATTGGTTTAAAGAGTGGCGCGAGTTTTTTGGACCAATCACAGAGCTAAGTAAAGCAAACCCAATGCTACACCGGATGATTTTCGACACTCTAAGATCCTCTAAGACAACTCAGGTAATGTACTCAGACAAAGGGAAGAAATAAGAAGAAATAACTTTCACAAGGTCAGGTTTTAAGGGTTATGAAATTTTGGGGTAAAAAAGGTGGAAGAAACTTTTGTGGCATTACATGTTTGCGGCAACAATTGTGGTTAAAAAAACTATCGATAGTAATGTAGAGCGAAATGCCAAAAGTACAATATACATGTACGAGCCGACAGCCGGCATACATAAAGTTCACTGTAATGTATTATTGCATTGTGTTTTATTTCGGACTGTTGCCATGGACCAGTCTTGTGAAGATTGTGAATTGAAGCTGCACATGACTCAGGTTTCTATACCTCAAGATAAAACACGACAAATGAATAGCGGGGATAAAGATCCTCGCAATACGAATAATTAAAATCAGTTGATTTGGATTTTAACTTATTCATTTTTCCATTTCCTTTGGAATCCGGAGTAATCCACAAAGGAATGCGAGTCGACTGGTTTTAACTACCATGAGCATTTTTTAAATTGCCATCCTGTAATGGTGGCTTCACCAACCTCCTCTTGTACAAGATGATTTCTCTGTTGACGTATCTGAGCAACAAAGTCAAAGATGTTAACATCCCTCATCTCTATCATTCTTTTCATCATGCTGTGGATAACAATATATGCCCCACTTCGACCAACACCCGCACTGAAACAGAAATGGAATCCACATCTCAGAACGAGAAGTGTTTTTAATCTTTTCACTCCTAGGATCTCACTAGTAATTCTCCTTACTGTCTGCCATACAATTCTCATTCTGTTACTTTGGATACTTTTAAATTGGATCGACTAATTATACCCTAAGTGATATTTTTCTTTATTCTCATGACTTATCTGTGTGACACTGTATTGATATTGCAAGGAGAAATTCTGCTTTGGTCAGTAATGGAAGTTACAGGGTTGAATCAATTTTGATATTTTTTTTTCTGGTCAAAAAAATTAAATGGTACTTAAATTAGCCAAATATCAGATGCCATTCAAAGTTGTAAAACAGATTAATTAAAAAGACTGTTTCATATGGCAATGACCACTGCCTGAAAGTCTTATTCAACCTGAAACAAAAACACATTTCTAATTCAAAACAGAGCACTTACTCAAATATGAGAAAGCTGGATTGCAGATTCATACAAAATAAATTCCTCATTCATTTTTAAATGTCATGGAATGTCAGGTACATTCTAAAGCCACAAAGTAAATTCATTTGCTGTTTAATTAATGTCATCAGTCTATGGCCAATGTTTAACACCAGAAGTTTCAATAAAAGCTGGTTACTGGCCATCTATCATCACCTATAACACCTCTTACCACCATCTGTTTGGGTTTCAACTTACTGCCCCTTTTTGGGCACAGTCACTTCCCACACCATCAGCAGCTGCTTTTGAAAAAAGTTACTGAAACCCCTAAAATTTTAGCACTGATAATTTTTCAGTATTTGAGAAAAGTTATTGAAACCTCTAAAACTTTAGCACTGATAGTTTTTCAGTAGCAATTATCACCTGCAGTGAACAATAATGGGACCTGCCCCTTCTTGACTAGCAGCACTTGACTTGAATATAAAGTCCAGAGCTGGGTACTCACAGCCATGATCTGGAGCACCATGGTCTGGCCAACCAGTGAAATGGTACTGACACACAATCATTGGTTTGACTTCGTCTTCTGTTGCATCCTGCCCAGAAAAAAAGAGAGAAAAATCAAGAATTTAATATACAGCCATGAGGAACTAGTTGATAATAGTATGTAATTCTTATAATAGGTTTTTTTTACATCTCAGAAAACGGTACATGGAATACATCTTTAGTAAATTAGTAAATTGTTATAATCATGAAAATATTACATGTCTTTTTATTACAATTTAAGGCATAATTTTAACACATCATCATAACACAATTAATCATGGTACAATTTTGAGCAGGGCCACCCAATTAAAAGAAAGGTTATAAAATCAAATCACAGTTTGTTCTATATAAGATCAATCACGGCCACGGCACTTGATTCCATACTTCATACATATGAACAAGTAGCTAGTTTTAAATTGCCAGGCATATACCAGTATTTATGTTTTGTCCACTTTTATGTATTGCAGAAATCTGTTAAAAAACATGGCCTTAAGTTTTGTTCATATTTTAATGAAAACAAAAAAGCCAATTTGTGTCAACCTTGAAGGTAAAATGGCAATAAAGCACTTATTTCCTTTTTTTTCTGGGTGAATAATTATTTAACAAAAAGAGACTTTCACATAAACTTGACACTTGCTGCCATAGTTGAGTTTGAATTCAGATTCTCAAAAATTTAAGGTGGCTCATCATGAACTTGTTGTACTTGTTGCAATTAACCTTGTTTCAAAATAAGATTTTAAATTCAGTTTGCCTGCAATCAATGGATTTATCAAAAGTGTTATTAATTATTCTAAATCAAGTGCCTGGGTAAACAAGTTTGTTGAATTAAATTCAAGTAGTAAACTAACAATTTTCACCAAATATACACGTCAAAAATTTAAGATATTTGATGAAAGTTCACCTTGTAAATTTTAAATTTTTCAATTTTGCTTTGATGTACTATATTACCATTTTTCAGTTTTACTTTGGGGTTCTTTATCATAAAAGCAACTTTGAAAAATAATTACTTAATGAATCATCAATAGCTTATCAAAGGCTAATAGGGAGGTATTTCATTTTAAAACTGTAACATTTCATTTTCTTTCATGCCCTCTCTGTTTACATGGCTCAAGATTCCTCTTGGCAAATGTTTGTTCATTTATTTTATTATTTGTTCATTGTTTTATTGTTTTAATTTTATTTACTTCCTTGTTTGGCTGAGATGAACAAGAATATTACTGCAAAGGAGTCTTACCCAGTTTATGCCGATGGTAACCATCCTAGATGAATATTTATACTTTGCATGCAAGATAAACAACAGTATAAAAAAGTTAATTTTAAAACAACTGTTGTTCTAATTTATTAGACATAAGTTGAAGTGGACATAAAGGTGATATGTTGTACAATATACTGTGAGCTTACTGAGCTTCATGAATACTTATAATAGTGATAAGTTTTAAAATGACATTTGATGTTATAGTGAGTGACATCCATGTCATTGTACTGCAAGAATCCAAAGCAATGTTTCAAACCTTAGTATTTGAAAGCCACCATTTGGTGATCATTTCAATAAGAAAAGCTTTGATTGCCAGAAAAAAAGAGAAAATAAGTGGCATATTGCACATGAACTTGTCACTGACCATATCACAGGTCTTTTGAATGAACGATATGACTGGCAATTGTTTTTTAAACTTTCCTTCCACAAAAAAGGCTTACAGCTCAAACAACCAAGGAGAAAGGAGCAAATCATAATGAACAAAAACAAAATAGCGTAAGAATGATATTTCAAGCCAAAATTCATCACACTTCAGCCCAAGACCATGAAAACTTCCTAATGAAAACACTGCACCTTGCTGTGTGACTGTCAAACACAAGTTGCAGAATTAGTGACTCTCACACCAAAATTTTTAAGACTTACCATGCATGGGTATAGGTACTGCCTTGTTGAATATAAAGTCAATTTTACTCTAATCGTACATGTTTATCTCATATCTGCTCAAAAATGTAAACTTCAAACATACCTGACTATAGTGTGTGCTGTGTTCAACTGGTTTTACTTCAAATCGACGCAAAGTGTAATGAGCAAAAGCCTCCTCATCTAAGTAGGTTACTCTTAGGGGACCATGAGCTTCACTCTTAGCTTGTTTAGAAGGCCAGTACATTGCACATTTATGCTGAAAGGAAATGTAAGGAATCTCAATCTCAATTCAAATGATTCATCATAGTATATTTGATTTACAACTTGCAAATAGTAGTCAAATTTTAAATTCCATAATATCACAAGCAGACATGTGTGCAACAAGTGAACACTGACCAAGGGCACCATTTGGCTTTAAGAGAATTTCACATCCCTATGGTACATTTTGCAATAAAAATAAACAAAAAATAATTTTGACAAGCGTAACTTACCCTTCCTTTTTCTATGATATTTGTGATCATGACCACAACTGTACAGTTTTGTTCCCAGACCATCCTCCAAAAATCTTTGATTGTGTTGGCCATGGGTCCTTCAAAAGACCAAAAATAAATGGGACTTAAGATGTTGTATTCTTGTTAACTACAAGGTTTCCAGCAAAAGATGAATGCCTCTATTACTTGGAAGAAACATGAATATCTCCTTAAATAATTAAAGTAGTTCTTGAAACTTTAGCATATTTTTTAGGTGATAGTAATAGCATCAGAAAAGCATAAGGTAAAGTACCATTAATCAATTAACAATTTTTCAATAAAAAGAAACATGCGCAAACAAACACTGATTGAGGGAGATGAATTTTAAACTGCAGCAAATTCCTAGCTGGTATAAAAAAATTAAAATTAATTACCAAGGATGTTGCCAAAGAGCCCTTCCCTGCACAATGCCTTCTTTACAATCTCATAAATTAACCTTACAAGAGCAACTCTAGCTTCTTGAGTGCTCTCCAAACTTCCCAAGTGCTTCATATCTTGATGAATGCACAGCTGACGTATGAACCAATTGTTTTATAACATTTTCAACCTGATGGAAATTTTTTTTTTCGAGGGATTTGTTTGCTGACATCATGAGTATGCACAATAGGAATATGAAGCATGTTTGCGCAATTGAACTTGATTAGACAAATTTACTCACTATGTTATAATGAAAAGTAGTCATTATGATAATTTTGTGTAACATCGAAAAACAATGTGAACGGATAAAACATAACAAAGTGATGATGGCGTATATCATTATGAGTATTATAGTGAGCTTGAAAATTATTTTAATTGTAATAGTCATAATCATTGTACATCAAAATGTCAGCCTTACCTTGAGTTGCAATGTAAGCATTTACTTTCTTGAAGCTCTAGAAATCAAATAAAAAAAATAGTTATCAATAAAATGGTAGTAATAATAATACTTTTGCTCAGCTGATTATAGAGATGCGTGCACTCTGATTGGTCAGGGATTGTAGCATATCTTGCTATAATCACCTCATGCAAGGTGATTATAGCAAGAGGGCTAAATTTCAAAATGGCTGCCTCACGTTTGGTCGATGTTTCCGAGAAAGTAGTACACTCAATAGAATAAAACTTGATTCATTTGCAAAGAGCACAAAAGATATTAAAGATTTAAAAACACTTTTTGAAAGAAAGATATGAAATTTTAGCTACCAACAGCTTACTACTAAATCACACTTACATCAACATAGTTTCCATTGATATAGTGTGAATCTGGTTCATTTTCTGTCAAAGACAGAATCACCCTTGAATGATCATCTGTTCAAAGAGAAAAAAATTATGTTTATGCACACATGCATAAACATGCTTTCCTGATTCCAAGTGAGCAGTGGAATAAAAATTAAAAATGATGATAACAGTCAACAAAAAAGATGATAACAGAAATGTGTTACATATTATGGTCATGTCACTTAAAGAAGAATTGTTCTTCTCACTTGATCTAATGTTGTTCAAGGCCAAAATAAAACATGTAAGCTGTTACCTCAATGTCAAAAACAATTTTTTTTAAGGATTTTTAATAAAAAAAAAATCCATCCTTTAAAGATCATGTTCCAATCAAGAAAGCTGGATCTTATGGCAACAGTGACAACTGCCCACACCAAGACAGACATCAGCAAAATGTACTTCTATCACTTATGTAACAAACGTTCATGAAAATATGCTACTATAATTGCCAACATGGTAGTGTTGTTAAATAGCAACATGGCTACTCCATTTAGAAGCTCTAAAATACTTAATAGCAGACTCTCCAGTATCATGTTCGACATTATCATTCAAGACCCATGACTGTGCAACAAGTGTAGGACAAAAAATTGTTACTTACAAGCTACAATATTATTATATCTATTTTTGGATTGGTTCTCTGGTTTTTCACTGTTTATCCATGTCTTGCTCTTGACATGAACACTTTGCAATGACTAGAAAGAGAAAAACAATACTTAAATTATTGACTTCATCCAATTCAAATTGCAAGTATTTATTTTGCCCTCCAGACTTCACAAAATACAAAAAGGCAATTCATCATTCTTCTACTACCCTGTTTTACCATTATAGGGCAATAAAAGGTGTGAAATATGCCACAATATTACAGTATATGGACAAAAAGCTAAAAGCTGGGCAGACAGAAGGATCCTAACTTTCCATTATTTAAGCTTCACCTTTCACTAAGAAAGAGCTTTTATTAAGTGCATCAAATTTTTTGTCCGTCAAACTGGTTTTTGTTTGTGTGTGTATTTGTTAACCCATGTCTAAGATAGTTTTTATATACTTCTGCACTTCAAATCTCATCTTGTCTATAATATAATTCAAAATTAATTCTTATCAGAAGCATTAAATCCAGATGTATTTCTTAGTGTGAATTTGCTCTCCTCGACAAAATCTCATCTTATCTTCTCTCACCAGCACTATTCCCTAATCTGGGACAAAACTTTTTCATTGCAAACTTTGTAGCATTGCCATTACCAGAGATCATTGTTTCTGTCATCAACTGAAAAAAACTGTCATTTAAATTTTATAAACCAAGTTATTCTGAATCAAGATTAAAACCTAATTGTAATGATCTCAAACATTGTTCCCTTGTACCTTCCAGTTGAAATCTTTCTGTACAGAGACCTACACTTTTTTCAAAATAAAAAATTGCATTCCCAATTTAGCTACCTTCTGTCCACGTGTTTTCTTAACTTGCTGAATCATTGAAAGGAGGATAAGCAAGCTTAAACAAATAGAGAAAACAGATAATATGAAAATGATCAACTTTACCTCAAATTCCTGATTGAATCTGTAGTCGCCATCTGTATGCATGAGTTTCACATGAGCAGCAAAATTTTCCACAGGTATAGCTCCATGTTTATATTCTGAAACAGAGCAATGAATTAGCTTTTATCCTGGATGAAAAGTTAAAAGAAAAGAACGAAATGCTGCTGAAAATACCCATAATAATTGTTCACAGTGTTAAGAGTCTTAAATATTTAATAGCAACAGCCATAAGTTCAGCTAATAAGTTCTAAGCCCTTTTTCCTTATGAAATACACCCTTGTCATATGAATCACCAACACCATCACCCACACACACCTTGATGCATCTTTTCTCATCCCAATTGTGAAGAGAAAATTTTAAAACTAAAACTTATCTTAAAGTTAAACTGATGAATATGCTATATGTGGCAAGTATGTCTATATTATCTGATTAGCATTTCCACATCACCAGAAAAAAATAAAGCTAAAGTAAATAAGTCATTGTGCTTCCTTCTAAAATACAACAGATTGATCAAATCAGTTCATGTAAAAAAAAACCAAGTATTTTTTACAGAATGACAAATGGATTAAAACTGCTTAGATTTAAAAATCCTTGAAGAAATGCGAATTCAACCATCCAAAACAATAGGAATAATTTGCATACAGAATGTATCTATAGACCACAAAAAGTACAACAAATGATATAATCTGAGACAAAATATACAGCAACTTTGATTCTTGGGATTTCTTAAGAAAAATATATAATCTAAAGCTGTACAGTGCTGCAAAATCTAGAAAGTAACAGACAGTTCATAAGCTTTATATGGACCTGATGTTTGTGCGGCTGAAACTCTCCCCTCCATCTCTAGCTGAATTCAAAATTCATACAGATATCAAGATTTGTGCATAGAAACTACCACACAGGTAGAAAATGAAAAATGCTGGTAGACTTCAAGGAAATAAAAATTTCATTTTCCATCAAATTACTAGTGAGGCTGTTTATTTTTAAAAGTGATCCATCCTCCTAATTTTCTGGGTGTCATTTAGAGCTGAGAAATATGCCTTATGAACTTCTAATATCATGAACAGGTATTTCTCAATAAGAAATGATTGCCTTGGATTGTTAATAATTTATTTCAACCAATTACTAGATAAGATGAAAAGAGGAAACCATAATTAGCCCTTTTGGTGGCATTTGTGGCAAATACAGGTATGAACAGATTTATGAAATAACTTATAGTGTGGGGGAGATGATTTCAACCATGTATAACCCAAGGTAAAAAAAAAGACATTTTTTGAGTATCATCATCTACAGTTTCAAATACAATTACTTCACAGCACATGGAACCAAATGGAGTTGCACAAATACACATCGTGCAAGAAACCAATTAGCCTCTTACGTAGGCAGAACATGACAATAGTCTTCATCCATAATTTGGGATATTACAACTTGAAACAGAATAAAGATAACCCAACTGATATGATAAAACTGCCGAATGATAACAACATTCACTTGTCAGACAATGTACTGTTCAAGAAACCACAATGGCAGATAATTCGCTAAATATCACAGAGCCACAAGTCAAATATTAAGTAAGTATATTGTCTGTGAAAAGTCAAGAATATAAACTGTGAAATTATTATCAAAAAGTTTCAATCAATATTTAAACGATTCATTATTAGTATTATAATACATTTTGTCAATCTGCTAAAACAAACTAAAGGTCTACTGTAAAGTAAGAGAGATCTAAGAACAAAACACCTATGACATGAGATAGCTTTACTCTAACTCGTTCTCATAGAAAACCTACAACACTAGTAAACCTTGTGAACTAGAAAGTATGGTCAGGCTTACCCAGGGTAAATGACTGTGATATATTGTATTGTAAGTTACATAATACACATTGTTAACATTACACAGCTAATAAGATTAAAAAGCAACCTTACCATAACAAAAAGCATTCATTACGTTCAAAGTGCTCAAAGTCTAAAACACTGCTTTTTGTGGTTAAAACCCATGTACACTTTATACAAAATAAAAATACTATAACATGACTTAGCCCTTTAATTCCTATGAGTGACCAATACAGAATTTTCCTTACAATATCAATACAATATCAACCAGATAAGTGATGAGAATAAAGAAAAATATCAATTTGGGGATAATTAGTTGATCCAATACTAAATTCTCTGATTTAACATTATAAGAATTGTATTGTTGACAGTAAGGAGAATTGCAAATTTGATCTGGGAGGTAAAGGGTTAACAAAACTAAGTTAACATTTTCAAGCTAAGATCTTACTTGAATACCCAACAAGGCTTGGTCTTCGTGGCTTAGTTGGTGTGTCAGGAGGTATAGGGTCACTTGGAAAGAATACATTACAGTACTTCTTACAACAGCATTGGCATCTCCTGTACCTGATAAAAGAGAGAAAGAATGATTGAATTAGTTCAGCCAGAAGCTTTAAGTTCAGCTTATTTAGAATTAAAAAAAGGAAACTTCTACATGCTGCTATTGTGTTTGGGATGCTTCTTTGCCAATGCAAGTGCCTTAAAAAACTAATTTTGGCAAAAAACACTGCTTGGTCAAGCACAATGGATTCAAATAGTTTTCTTTGCTAGTATATAGCTCCAATTTGCCATTTTAAGTTAGCTGGCCCACTTCAAACAGCCAAGTGATTTGCATTGCAAAGTTTCCACATTAACATAGTGACAGACAAGATGACACAGCTTACAATGAGCCTTTTAATGGCAAACGGGGGTAAGCATTCACTCTGAGGAAGGGCTAATGATTGAAAGGTCAGCTTAAGGTCAAATTAGAATAAAAACCACTTGATAAAACCAAATTTGTTGATTGTTTTTAGTTGCAGTTTACCTGTCAGAATCAATCCTCTCCTCATCACCCGCAGATCAAGATATTATTTATTTTATACTTTAATTATTTAACTTATCTAATTTAACTTTGGCTGAAAAATTCTCTATGGGGAGTAAAGAGCCCAGTGAGATCTGCCCAGCTGCTAACCCTTTACATCCTAACATCAGTATGCATATTCTCCATACTGTTCTCTATACATGTTCTAAGGTGGCGACAAGGAGAATTAGTTGAACAATCAAGAGCACCTTCTGTAGGGGATCATTTCCTTTACTCTCATGACCTTAATGCCTGAATCAGGGGTGATATTGTAAGGAGAAATTAGATTTTGGTCACTCTTAGGGGTCAAAGGATTAACATATATATATAACTCTATGGCTCATAAGCTGGACATATGCCAAATTAACCTTTAACTCAACAATTTGAATAAGATTGAGTGACATTTCAACTGATTTCAAATAAAGTTACTAGGATATCATATCACTAACAATTCAGGTCATATTAAGCCTGTTTCAAAGGGTCAATGACTCTCCTCTCCTACACTGTCAGTGCTTAATTGTATATGAGGTAACAAAGTGTCAAATGATGGCAGCCACTTGACTTGGGTTGTGCAAACTGAGATTTATACTTAGTGAACCATGCTACAGAGCAGGAATCAGGCAAGCACACTGTAAGTAATGAAATCAATGGGCTCATTTTCTCTTCACTTTGCACCACTAAATACCTTTTTTTGTGTGTGTCTTTTTTTTTTTAAATGTACATTACAGCAGAACTGGAAATAGTTGCTTCAACAACCTCTCTCCTTTAGCCCTTTAACTCCCACAATCTGATTGTTAATTCTCCCATCTAACTGCTACACATTTTCTTGTAAAGTAGCTGGGAGAATTTGGTGTTAGATCAAGATAACAACTTTTACCTAATAAGTCTGAGTATTCTCATTACCTGTTTGTTGGATAATGTATGGATATTATGGGGAGAAGTTACATGTTAATCACTTCTGGGAGTTAAAGGGTTAAGTCCAATATGGTTTTTAGGATTATTAAAAGATATACTAAATGAAATAGAAAAGCAGGTGAACCTCACCTCAGCCACAAAAATGCTCCCACAGCAGCAGCAACAACAAGTACCCCAACGAAAACTCCAAGAATAACAATACCTGCTGCATGTTTATCTGATTTTGTGGGTGTGGGTGTGGTGCTGTCACTTGCTGAGACAGTAGTACTGCTAACTGGACAACCTACAATAATAATAATTTCATGTAATCAAAGGTTATTATTAAATAAATATGAAGGCCTTCTAGTATCACCTACTGATTTTCAAAACTGGCATAAAATCTTGTTCAATCATAATTATAATTAACAAAAATCAAATATTTGCTAAAAAGTTGTTCAAGTTCATATAGAACAATGAACCAGGCCTAACTATATGATCACAAGGTTTCCCATGTACTTTTGAAAATTTGTTTATAACAAAAAACAGCCAAACAACATATTTGTCAAATTTGTTTTCAGTTGTTGGTGATCATGAAGCAGCCACAGTCAACAACAACAACCTCTTTATTTGTAACCTAAATTAATTAACATGACACAAAAAGCATATATTACATGAAAAATGAAGACAGTTCAGACTGCCTATAACAACCGTGGAAGGCTAAAAGATAGGGCGGCCTTACTTAAGTTATTAACCCTTTACACCCTAACATCAGTATGTAAACTCTCTGTACTGTTCTCTAAGCATTTCCTAAGGTGCTGATAAGGAGAATTTGTCTAACAATCAAGAACTTTTATTGTAGGTGATCACTACCTTCATTCCCCTAACCTTAATGTTTAATTCAGGGGTGATATGGTAAGGAGAAATTAGATGCCATTCATTCTTAGGGGTTAAAAGGTTAATAAATTATTATATTAAAGGGTCGAGTACCACACACACGCACACACTACACAAAACACAAAAAGAAAATGCTCCCACAGCAGCAGCAACAACAAGTACCCCAACGAAAACTCCAAGAGTAATACCTAGTGTTGAATGTGTGGGTGTGGGTGTGGTGCTGTCACTTGCTGAGACAGTAGTACTGCTAACTGGACAACCTACAATAATAATAATTTCATGTAATCAAAGGTTATTATTAAATAAATATGAAGGCCTTCTAGTATCACCTACTGATTTTCAAAACTGGCATAAAATCTTGTTCAATCATAATTATAATTAACAAAAATCAAATATTTGCTAAAAAGTTGTTCGAGTTCATATAGAACAATGAACTTGGCCTAACTATGATCACAAGGTTTCCCATGTGCTTTTGAAAATTTGTTTATAACAAAAAACAGCCAAACAACATATTTGTCAAATTTGTTTTCAGTTGTTGGTGATCATGAAGCAGCCACAGTCAACAACAACAACCTCTTTATTTGTAACCTAAATTAATTAACATGACACAAAAAGCATATATTACATGAAAAATGAAGACAGTTTAGGCTGCCTATAACAACCGTGGAAGGCTAAAAGATAGGGCAGCCTTACTTAAGTTATTAACCCTTTACACCCTAACATCAGTATGTAAACTCTCTGTACTGTTCTATAAGCATTTCCTAAGGTGCTGATAAGGAGAATTTGTCTAACAATCAAGAGCTTTTATTGTAGGTGATCACTTCCTTCATTCCCCTAACCTTAATGTTTAATTCAGGGGTGATATGGTAAGGAGAAATTAGATGCCATTCATTCTTAGGGGTTAAAAGGTTAATAAACTATTATATTAAAGGGTCGAGTACCACACACACGCACACACTACACAAAACACAAAAAGAAAATGCTCCCACAGCAGCAGCAACAACAAGTACCCCAACGAAAACTCCAAGAGTAATACCTAGTGTTGAATGTGTGGGTGTGGGTGTGGTGCTGTCACTTGCTGAGACAGTAGTACTGCTAACTGGACAACCTACAATAATAATAATTTCATGTAATCAAAGGTTATTATTAAATAAATATGAAGGCCTTCTAGTATCACCTACTGATTTTCAAAACTGGCATAAAATCTTGTTTGATCATATAATTAACAAAAATCAAATATTTGCTTAAAAGTTGTTCGAGTTCATATAGAACAATGAACCAGGCCTAACTATGATCACAAGGTTTCCCATGTACTTTTGAAAATTTGTTTATAACAAAAAACAGCCAAACAACATATTTGCCAAATTTGTTTTCAGTTGTTGGTGATCATGAAGCAGCCACAGTCAATAACAACAACCTCTTTATTTGTAACCTAAATTAATTAACATGACACAAAAAACATATATTACATGAAAAATGAAGACAGTTTAGGCTGCCTATAACAACCGTGGAAGGCTAAAAGATAGGGCAGCCTTACTTAAGTTATTAACCCTTTACACCCTAACATCAGTATGTAAACTCTCTGTACTGTTCTATAAGCATTTCCTAAGGTGCTGATAAGGAGAATTTGTCTAACAATCAAGAGCTTTTATTGTAGGTGATCACTACCTTCATTCCCCTAACCTTAATGTTTAATTCTGGGGTGATATGGTAAGGAGAAATTAGATGCCATTCATTCTTAGGGGTTAAAAGGTTAATAAATTATTATATTAAAGGGTCGAGTACCACACACACACACACTACACAAAACACAAAAAGAAAAAGTGAAAAAAGCTGGTAGAAAAAGAAAGACAACAAAACAAAGCAAAGTATACCAGTATTTAATATTATGGAAAACCAGAAAAAATATAATAGTTTGGGTAAATGTGCAATTAATATTTAGCAATAAGAATTGACTTTTCCTTAAAACATTTGAGAGAGAGAAGCATAATTATATCATCACTTGTATCATTCCAAACTTTAGCATCCTGGAACCTTATGTTGAAATTCCATAATTTGTTCTGGCTTTTGGGATGTCAGAAATAATGTAACCAAATGATCACATGTGAGTTCTGTCCCAGCCATTTTGGTAATTGAAAAGGCAAGCGGTGTGGTCAGAGGAATAACCATTGGGTGAGACCTTCCAATGGGGTTTTTGATGTTGTTTTGGTGCTCAATATCAGTATCTGGGCAACTGCCCACCTACCCCTCCCCTAACTCAACAACAGTCAATTGACAACAAGGTAAGGTTAATGTTGGGTTAGGGGAGGAGTAGGTGGGCAGTTGCCCAGATATTGATCCCACCCCTGTTGCTTATTTGGTTTGGGACAGATGTCTCTGTTACTTTTTCACTAGAATAGGATGTCCCTGTTGTACTAAATTAGTAAAATAGTAATGTCTGACTTGTGCTAGTGTCTGTAAGTGTTGTCTTTTTAACGTAAGATTAACCGCACATTAATTTCTATTGGCTTGAAAAGAAGTTCAGTTGAACCCTAGGGACTTGAACTGCCAACCAAAGTTAAAATTACCTTGAGTTATCAGGGTTTTGAACAAAAAGACCAGAAACACTTGATTTAAGAGGTTTTATGCTTATAAATGTTTTAATGTAACATTTCTAGCAATGTAAGGGTATAAAAACGAAAAAACAAAACCATGAAAACTACAAGTAAATGACATTAAAATGCAATCTTCTTGGGCAAAATGTTATGGCTCATTAGTTTGCAAAAGTAAAAATCAACTTCAAGTTATCAAGGGTAAAATTACAAAGAAAGTACAGGTACCCAATTACAGCCAATTGCCAGACTACATCAATACTAATTACTACTAATTCTTTTTGAACAAAAAGACCAGAAACACTTGATTTAAGAGGTTTTATGCTTATTAATGTTTTAATGTAACATTTCTAGCAATGCCAATTGCCAGACTACATTGTCTACAGAATAACAAGTGAAAAATTGAGCAGCTAGTGCACCAGTCATATTTGGGTAAATTGTGATGATTATGATTAGAGTAGTTTACCCATGAACATAATATTTGACATGATAGGAAAAGCTTTCTCACCTTTAACATGCACAATTGTGGACCCATTTCGTGCAGTAAATCCAGGATTTTCCTTTAGTGTGTTCCTGGGAGAGCAAGTATAATTGCCTTGAAGATCACAACTTGCATTTCTGTATTTCAGTCGTGAGATGTTTCCTTATGAAAATAAATAACAAGTTAAATGTAATTTTCAACATTACAACACAATAAGAAAATTCTAGAAATTCTACCTTAACTCCAGGGCACACATCCATATATCTGGCTCAAGATACTAAATTTTTAAATTCACTAGGAGCTTGAGATACAAAAATCCAAAGGCTAATACAAAGTTTGAGTTACTTGGATTATACACAATAAGTAGAGTGTACTGTCAGTCATTGTGAGGGAGAGATGGAAAAGCCTTTGGTCACTTTAAAGTGCCAGTTCTCTCTGTAATTTCACTGTGGAAGTTTCAGTTCAGAATCTAACAAATTTGGTGACCCACTTCTGGGGAAAAAAAAGAGGGCAATAATGTTTTATTCCATTGAATGGGTTAGCCTAATAAAAAGGAATAAAAATGAGATACTAAAGATACTGCCAGTATTAAAGGTGTTTAATTCATAGATCTCTTAGTGTGTATATTTTACTTCCTGGAATAAGCACCCATGCTCTAATAAGCTCCCCCCCCCCCCCCCCCCCCCACATAAGCACCCACCCCCTCCTCCCTCACTTTCTTAAATAGTAGGGATGCAAAGAAAACCAGCTTCTATTACCACTTAATTTATAACTTTTTGAGCTTCAAATACAACAAAATCAGTACAGGTTAATAATTTCTTAATAAGTGCACTCCACAATTAAGCACCTCTTCTTTAAGAACCCAGGCACTTATTCTAGTAAACACCCTAGTCATTATTCCTTTATGCTGTTAGAAAGGTGTTCAGGAGAAAAACTATATATCAAACAGTGAATATTGTTTTAAATAGCTTAAGAAACATAACCATTAATGACAGATAAAATTGAAATCTAGTCTGTGATGTCTCACCTGAAATGTTAGAGCAGCTATCATCTATGCTTCTGTTCCTAAAAAACCAGACTACTTCAGAAACTGGTGGTACACCATCAATTTGGCAAGAAATTTCAATTTTCTGACCAAATGTAAAATTTGTCGTCTTTGATGAAATGTCCCCTTCAGCCCCATCTAATCAAAAGAAAAAAAAACTCTCTATATGTTAGATTCCATAATATACAACTGAATGCAGTAATATTGTAATAAAAAGGCAAAAAGAAAAAAGAAAAACAACAAATTTTGAATTACTAAGTACATTCGAACTTGATAATCCAGACCTCGATAATCCAGATTTTTCAATTATTCAGACTCACTTCTCTGGTCCCATTTTTTCACAAGTATTAATTGGTCACATTGGAGTTTCCCATCAAACAAAAACACAGGGGAATAGGTTTTTACTACAGAAAACTAAGAGTGAGTCTTGCCACTGAAAGGTAAATTTTGCCATAGCAGACGAGAGGTAATGTAGTTTCTACAAGCTTTTCTGAAAAATTTTTTCTCAAAAATTATGTACATTGCTTATCAAAATTATTTACCAACCAAGTAGAAGGTCAGTATAGGAGAATCTTTCATTTAGCAATTATAACAACAGGAACAAGCCAAGTTTTCCTTTTTTTTTTTTTTGTATGTAACTTTTTGTGGACAGTCTTTTTAGGGCAACTTGATTGATCTTGATCCTGGTTTAAATGGAAAAATCTATAATACCCTCAATTTTTAATTAAGCTGATCAAATCCTCGAATTTGGTCATTTTGAGCTCTTTCAGGAAAAGCCATGCATATGATAAATGTCCCTAACCAGAGGAATATCATATAACCAACTGACTAAAGATAACTGGTAATCCAGGTTTTGTAATTAAATGGCTGGAATCTATCATAAAGAGCACAAAAAAATGATACTTTTCTCATTCTTAGAACTTACAACCCATGAAAAACCAACTAAATGTAACTTACATTGGACTATCACATTAAAAGAATGTTCTGATGAACTAGAATTCCGACACTTGTAGATTCCACTCATATTCCGCTTGATACTTGACTTAGAGAAATTCTGACCAGTATGGAGATGTTCCCCTTTGTTTCCTGTCCAATTGATGCTGGCATTTAAGGCAACCAGAGGGCACTTCAATGTCATATTATCAAACTCAATGAATGTAAGATCTAAAAATGAATCAAAAGGTTTAAAATCAATAAATTAAAAAATCAAAACTAAATCTTCTTCTAGTGTCAAGGAATTAAAAATAATTGTTCAGTTTAAGTGAGGTCTGAAAATTCAGGGTGTGAAATTAATTTTTTTTCTGATAACCACTTGGCTCCTAAATTTTTCAAAGTGGTAGCCAATTCAAAAAAAGTTGGTCACCATTTTTATAGACAAACAAAACCCTTTTTTTTATGCTGTCAGCATACTAGATAGACCCTCCAAAATTAAATTCTACAAAGTTCTACAAAGTGGACACTACGATGGCTGATATACAACATTCAAGCTCACCTCAATCCTAGATGGCGTCTTGTTATCAATCAAGATGCATTTGCCACATTTTGGAAACAAACTTAACAAGGAAATTTGCCGCAGAATTATCTTTGCAAATCTATTTAATTCACTATATCTCTAGGTATGGTCATGATGAAGCATTCTAGTCACCAATTTGGCCACTACTTTTGAGGATTCGGTCGCCAAAGTGAAAAATTTAGTCACATTGGTGCCTGTATTAGGCGCAATTTCACACCCTGAAATTGTTCCAAGCAAGATGGTTATTTTTTTTTAAAGAATTGTGTTTATAGCTTTCAGCTTGAAAAATTGACTTAAGTCTGCCATAATACAAACAGGGGTTTCATTAACCCTTTAACTCCCAGATCAAATTTGTAATTCTCCTTACTGTCAATCATACAATTCTCACAATGTTAGTTCAGAGAATTTAGTATTGGATCAACTAATTATCCCCAAATTGATATCTGTCTTTATTCTCATCACTTATCTGGTTTATGTTGTATTAATATTGTAGGAAACAATTCTGTCCTGGTCACTCATGAGAGTTAAAGGGTTAAGGACCAGGCAGCAGGAGGATTGAATAGCCGTCAGAGAAAATCTGACAAAGGACTAATGCTTGAAACATCAGCTTTAGAAACTCTTTACAGTGGCCAATCCATGTTATCAATTCAGCTGATAAAACCAAATTATCTTGGAATTCATCAATTAATTATGTATCAAATCATGATTCAATTATCTTAAGAAATGGCTACTGACACATGTTAGTTTCTGCTTAAAACTTTAGAAAATTTATCTCTGAAATTGAAAAAAATTCCAAATTGTGCCAGGAAGCACATCTCCACCTGGTGGGGGGGGGGGAAGGGGGAAGGGGGAAGGGGGGAGGGGTAGGCTCTAAGCCTTCCATGAAATATGCGTGAGGGCCAAATCCAGTTACCTGCAGCTTGAAACCTAGTCAAACCCCTTACATTGCTATCTGATCTTAATGCTGCGGTGTAGATAAAAGTAAGTAACAGGGCTCTATTACCTCAAAGATCCCTTAACCCTTTAACTCCCAGAAGTGATTAACATAAAACTTCTCCCTACAATATCCATACATTCTTCAACAAACAGGTAATGAGAATATTCAAACTTATCAGGTAGAAGCTGCTATCCTGATCTAGCACCAAGTTCTCATAACTAATTTACAAGGAAATGTGTAGCAGCTACAGGGGAGATTTAACAATCAGATCTTGGGAGTTAAAGGGTTAATTTGAAGTCAGTATGACATAAATGGCATATACATTTTAAAACAATTTTAAAAAAAAGATTAGCCTCTATTATCCTAGAAAAGAATGAAAATTTGGTCTTTTCAAGCACCACACAATTTAATTTATTTGAGGGTGAGTTAACATGTTGCTGAGTAGAACATTGGAATGCCACCTGTCTAACAAAAATTGAGTTACCCACTACTGTCAAATAAAGATCAAAACAGATGGGCAGAGAAACACTGATATCACAATTTCACACTAACATAATTCAAGACTAGGTATAATTGCAATGCAATGACATCTTTATCAATTCCGTAGCATGACTTGTCAACAGAAAAGCTCTCAAGACAAAGATAAAAACAAAAGGATATGAAACTCTGTGGTTGATCTATTACCCAGTAAACCACAGAATCATAGAATATTTATCATGCGGATTTAAGGGAAAATAAGGCATAGGAAGATGGCTTAGCAAAGTCCCTATAATCTTCAAGAGTAGCGGGGCAAACAAATCTCTCACGATTTACTTCGCGACATAATCAAAAAGGAGGAACGTAAAAAATTTGATCATGAATTCTAAACCAATGATGAACAGTTTCACAATATCTCATGTAGTAACACGAATCTTTCTTAGGATGCACTTGTGTTCGTGTCCATGTTCAAAAGTTAAATTAAACGTAAATAAAGGAGGTAGAAAAAAGGAAAGAAAGACTGAAATACAAACATACTCAACTGGGGTCAATACGTCAAATAAACCATTTACTTGACTACCTCTTGAACAATCACGGAAGCTCATAGCTACTTGAACAAAATTAATCGACCACAGTCAACCCCAGAGGCGGAAACGAGAAAGAAAGCAAAAAAGAAAAGGTTTTGAGACAACTTACTTTCGGAAAGTGCGTTAAGACTACCCACAAACAGCCATAGCAACATAAAAACATTCACTAAGATCGCTGGAATAAACTTGACAGGTTGCCTCGCGCTGAAGCCATCCGGTGGTTTCACGCGATTTGAAGCCGCAACTAGTCCATGCATCGCTCTTGCTTCGAAGATTTTATCAAAATAATACCACACAGACCATATTGATGAATGACTTAGAGAAACAACGAAAACTGACGAAAACGTGCCGCACTCTTTGGAACTTCACTTCAGCGGCTTCCTTCACTTCCTCTAACGCCTGCCGCCATCTTCTTGAGGTCACGTGACACAATAATGGGAAGTGAATTAATTGTAATTCTGTTGAGGGTTGATGGTCTGAGACAAACGCAAATCTGTTCGATTCTGCTTACCTTAACTTGACCCAAAAATATTTATCCTTACATGAATCAAGAGGAATATCCCGAATCACAGTTCTGTTGCACGAGAAGATCAGCTAATTATACTGCTATTTAGAAAATTAATGACTTTGAAATAGTGATTTTGAGTTTCCCACTTGGATAACTTGTTTCATTTTGACACTGCACAATCCAAATCAAATTTCAAAATCATTAACCTTTCTATATTCTGAAGATTGCAGTGTCCGGTCGTTCCTTTTCTCGTTGTCATCTATATTGACATTCAAATAACATTGTATTTTGTCCATTATATTGCACTCAGACAAAAGAAACTTTTCTCAAATTTTGCCGACCATACAAACATATGAAGGGATGCAGGACTTTAGAAAAAAAAATGGAAACATACAATGGGTTTGTAGTGCTTTTCCCTTATAATTAACCACATCCTTGTTGGGTAACTTTCTTTTTGAAAGCTTTTCATTCACAAAACAGATGCACAAACAATTTCTTTGATCTTTTAAGAAAATATTGTTGCTGCTCTTTTCCTTTGTTTCTCTTTTGTTAAATTTTTCGTTTTGTTTGAATTTTCATCTCCTTTTTTTCCTGAGGATTACTACCAACACCACCACCACCCCCACCCCCAGCAATTCTGGTGGACAGCATTTTAATTAAAGACAAGAGACAAAGGGAGAATGAGGAATAACAAATTTTAACATTTCCTTTATATTAACTACAAGCATGTAACTGAAAACCAACTTATTCAATTTGGCTTTTTCTACTTGATTAATATCCACAGAAACACAAAAGTCATAATACTCCGTTAGAAAATTGATGTCAAATTATCAGATTTAATAGAATTGAGTAATAGAAAAATTGAAATACAACAGATTAAGAAAAAAAGGGCAGTGAAACTGAAAAGACCAAAGCAGTGCTGGCTTCAGCGAGAACAACAAAATAAATGTTGATTACGAAACAGGAAATTTTGAGTTCACTCATCCAGAAACGGGAACTTCACGTTGTAAAATTGCTTAAAAAACCCGACATTTAATATTAAAAAACATACGACTACGATTTGCTACCTAGAGTGCAATATACAAATGCAAAGAGAATAAGTAAAGAAGACATACACAGATTTCGTTTTTTTTTTACGTGTAGGGCGATATAATTTGTGCTCAAATAGCTAGAAAAATATACTTAATCTAAGGAATTCTCTTTCCGTAGCCGTCTGATAGAAATTATACTTCTACTATGTTTCTTCTCAAAAGAAAGAATTCTTCGTTCTTATTATATTGATAACAATATAAATTAATGGATCACCAAAAATTCCATAGCGACGAATTCAAGGGTTGTCCTCAATTCGCTGATAACCGGACGATCCAGGCCGAAGGCCGTACTTCTTTCTGATTTCATCTCTCTTGATTTCCCTTTCGCTTCGTTTCTGAGCATGAAGGGCCGTCATTTCTTCTCGTTTACGCTTCAATTTTGCGTCTTCCTTATCCATTCGGTTTTTCTTGCATTTGTTGCACTGGCGACAACAACAACAGTAGATACAACATCCGAGAAATAACAAGAAGGCACCGACCAAGGAAGGGACTAAAATGATGAGGACATAGCCTGATATTCGACACTGGCCATAAAACCATTTCTTGCTCGGGCAATTTCGAGGAACAATCTTCGTCCATCCAGGATACTTTATACAAGCCTCTGTTGAAGAACACCAGTAACATTGCGAATGCCCAGTGCAATCGCTGCAAGACTTGTTGAAATTCGTGCAATCTTCTCCCGCGGCTGCGGAATATGGGAAGGTGAAACAAACAACAAACGCAATCGCCCACAATAAAACGAACACACACTGGTCTACCTTCATGGTCAGAGTTGAAGCTTTCTCAGCTCAGTTTAAGACAATCGTTTAGACCTTTCTTACTATCGTTTCTACTCAACTCTATCCACTACGGCTGATCTTTTCGACGAATTACCGTGATTTTTCAACTCCAAGCGTATAATATAATCCCTTTCAAACGAATGTTTACTTAGTTCTTGAGAAATCTACGAGATTTGTCCCCGTGAAAGCCCTTACCAGCTGTAGATCGGTGGCAGCTACCAGTGATCCGTTAAACGACTCCGTTCTTGAAAAATGTGATGAATTAGCTCCTGAGTTCCAGAAATTCTGAACGAGAGGAATTTATCGCGGCGCCTCACGATAGAAATCAAAAGTGTAACTGACAGCACTGATACGTCATAATTACTTCAAAACACATGGTCAACTAACGAGTGGAGGGAGGACTAGAAGGGCAACTATTAACACAAAACTTACGGAAAGGTGATATCTTTCACATTTCTATCCTTCTTATAAAAATCAATTTTAACTTAATAACTTGGTAGAATAATGGAAATTGTGAAATTAAACAAAGAATCTGAGCAACAACAAAATCAAAATACACCCTACCCCCTCCACCCAAGTAGCTCTTCAACGCTTGAGTTGTTAAAGGAACGCGAAATTCTAGCAGGCGGCAGGAGGTTAATTGAAGTGTATTTTAAACAAATCAAAAAGGAAAAAATCTAGTTTTTCTCGAGTAAATTTGCAATTCAAATGAATATGTTTGTCATCCTGTGGTCCTGGACTGCTCGGTTAACTTTCTTATACGTTTTGACTGATTTGGTTTTTATTTGCTTTGTTTCTTCCGTTTTCGTCCCTTTTGCTTCCTGGGCGCTGTTTTCTTTCCGCTTTCCTTTTTCTTTAGTCCTTTTCCTTTTGAAATATCTCAACGGAACAGGAGTTTCGAAAAACTTTCTATAAAGTAAAATCAAATGGTAGAATAGTATGCAGTCACTGAATGATTCCAATGCACAATGCATCTTTCAATCTTTTCGTCAAAGTTGAAAACAAGAGGCAATATATCCGAATTCTAGCAAAGGGAAGGATTTACAATATTTGAGACTACATACTTCTGTAGCTAACCAAAATTCGGTGGAAGAGGGGGTTAGGGGGAGAGGAGGGGAAGTAAGAGCTCTCGGAACTCGAGGGAAAAATGGACATCTGGATGCTCAACTTTGCTGATGTTCTTAATCAATATCGCTAATTACTCCGCGGGAGGAATAGGTCTGAAGATCTTATTAATTACGTTGTGCGGATCTATATTTTTCAAAGGGACTAGTCAAATTTAGTAAGGCGATAATTGCAATTCGATCAAGACGATCAAAAGACTAGCATCATTTTTTTTTATTATTTTAGTTTATTGTCAAGGTACATTTTGCTCAATTCCTGAAATAAATATTACCTATGAACAAATGCTGCAAATGAGAAAACTTAAATAATACTTTCACATTGTAAAATCATATAACTCTGGGACTATTGTTAAACTGGTGACCATGCATAAACTTATTTTAACTACATATTGTATATAAATATATAAATATATATTGAGCAACAAAAGAGAACTTAATTATGTTTGCTGCTGTGGGTTAAATCTCATATTTTGACCAATTTACATCACTTTGTGGTAACTCTAGGGGTTAAGCTCTGCAATATATACAGATAAGAATGAAAAGCCTGAATTTATGGCTAAATCAAGATATTCCAATAACCCAAAACAGAAGTGCAAGTTTCACTGAAAAAAGAAGAGCTGACTTCACAAATCTTCCCTAAATAACACAAATACCTTATTTGACAGTTTACTTTAAAGATTAGTAATTGTCAGTAGACACTGTACACCTTTCCATTCATTTAAGAAGCTTATCTTGAGAACCAACTTCTGCTTAAAGCAAAATTTCAAGGTGTAATTTCCCCACTAATTTCTACCCATTCCAACAGTTATATCTATTTTTACAATGCAAAACATACCAAAACCCACAGGCTAACATTTGTTCTTATATACAATGATCACTAAAATAACAACTTCTGCACTAATAACAAATTTACTTAATGCAAAACCTGTTTGCAGACATTTTAGGAATCAACCCAAAACAGAAAAGAAATCAATTTGTGAAATTTCAGCAATCATTAAAAATAGCTTAAATAACGCCTTAACATAGGATAACATTTCATAGAAAGTAAGATCTCCAAGGAGAAAAAGAAGATGCTTACAGCCACGAAATAACATGTATACAATAAATAGATAAATAAATAAATACTTTCTATAAATTCAAAAGCACCAACAACTTAAAGGAGACTCTAAAGAAATAGCAATAGAGCAACTTTTCTCACAACATTGGGACAATATTGTGAGACAAGTAGCAGTAAATATTCCCTTATGCCTCGCATCACCCATGTTTAACCCTTTAACTCCCAGAAGTGATTAACATGTTACTTCTCCCTATAATATCCATACATTATCCAGCAAACAGATAATGAGAATACTCAAACTTATCAGGTAGAAGTTGATATCCTGATCTAACCCCAAATTCTTGTTACTTATGCATGAGGAAATGTGTAGCAGCTAAAATAGAGAATCAAAAATCAGATCTTGAGAGTTTAAGGGTTAACTCCATTCCTCTGTTCTTTACAAAAGTAAAATCTCTCAATGGGGAATGCAAATTATTCCCTGATGATAAATATCCAATACCCTTATCTCATCAGAGCACTTAAACAGCTGTATTCACCAGAATAATATTATAATAATACCCACGAATCAAGACTAAAAGTAGACTGGACTCATAAAATGACTGCATGAATGTGATTAAAAGAAAAAGAAAAAAAAAATGAAAATGATCACCACAAAATATGCACTTTATGCAACTTAAAAAATTGATTTACATACAGACCCTTGCATATTGGCAGAGTACCCCATAAGTAATTTAATTACATGCTAAAAAGGAAAAGAGCAAAAATAAAGAGCTCTGCCATGCTTTGTCTAAAGCAAGACAGGAAATTAAACAGCTACTGGAAGTACCTTGACATATAAATATGATTAATTTCATCCTTTTGTTACTGCAACATGCATGCCCTCAGTCTTTCATGTCTCTCAATTGAAGATGGCAAATCCTTATTTCCTATCTGCAAGTGCATGGTCATTGGACTACTGAAGCCTATTGGTACATGCCTAAATTGCAAAGAGATTACAATGAAGAAGTCCTCAAGTTTCCAGGTCTTAAGTTAAGAACACCAAGGTGATCAAATTTTGAAACTTCAGCCATTGGTCTTTTCACTTCAATTCTCTGACAAATTTGAGAAATTCACCACTTTTGCCATCTTGTATAGCAATTACAGAGTAACTTGCCTTGAAGGCTAAATGTAAAAGGCATCTGTCTGGCCTTGATCTGTAACATTGCATTTTGTCTTGTGAGCAGCCTGCCATGTATGCAGCTGATGAGGTTCCTTGTGCAATAATCAGCTGGTAATGACAATTAAACAGAGAAACTAGGTATCTCCTTTCCACTCCATTTGTACCTATGCCACATTCTTCTGAACTACTGACCCTGAGAACAGCTGCCAGCTGGTTGTACAAGCTTGTTCCACTAGAGTCAACTCTACTTCAGAACTAACATTCATAGTTTCCTGACTGGACGGAAAGATCAACAGTCCTGATGACACAAGAATTGTATATCCAAAAATTGGTACATAAGACAATCAGGTCCTATTAGATCCATATGATTGCTTATGTTTCTGTGCTTGTCACATTGGTATCTCCTTGACCTACACCACAACTATTTCCTTTAACAGATGCAATATGTTTCCACTTATCAGTTGAAGTGTTCTGTAACTCAGTCATACAAGGTTGGGTGAAGCCGGGTCAGTGTGTGATCCTTTTCAATCTTGATTATCTGTACTTATAAATAGTCTCATAATCCGCTGACTTTGTAGAAAATATGTCTTCAGAATTCAACTTTTGTTTAAATATCATTGACGACTGTGCGCCCATAGCAAGAACTGTGCACTGCACATTCTGGTTTAAATGACACTTTGTTGAATTTGGTAAAAAGGTCACCAAAACTTTCCATTTGAAAAAGATGGACCAATCGTTTAAAGCTGCCACTGAATTTTGTGGCACTAAAACACCACTCTAAAAAACATTTTTAAATATCAATTTTTGCAGCTGTAGTAGACGATAATAAATTGTTTTTTTTAAATATCCAGAAAATTTCCAACTAATATTTGTAATAATTTTGAATCTCTTTGTTAGTAAATACATTGTAAGGCCAGAAGGTGAGCAAAACTTCTCATTCATCATATGTAACAAAGCTGATCAGGAACAACTTCTTGCCAAGATTTAACTTGCACACTACCTAATTCACTTTGGAATTTCATTTTACTTCATGAGCATTGATTTAAATAACTGTATGAGACCCTTTACGATTATTGCAATTTTCATATCTGCGATTGGCACCTCCCTCATGAATATTGTTTGGAACTGCCACAGTTTCAAAATCTGGGAGGGTCACAATAGCTGATGTGGTGACATTCATTGGTTGTTTATCATTGTGTGGTTTAGAATTCACTTTGTTCTTGCTTTTTACATCATTCATTTCCAGATGATCTGGGAAAAAAGCATTTTCATGCTGATGTGCTGGTTCTGAGAAAGATCTTGTTCGCTTCATGCATTTCCCTGTGTAGCTGTTTCGGTTATAGCAGGCATTGTCACACACTGCTGCTAGTGAAACAGATGAGGAAATCGGTGAACCAGATGGAGTACAAATAGGAGATGACAACTTGGGAGTCTTCCTCACTGGTTCTCCTTTGTATGAGTACTCCATTTCAACAAATTGCCGTGCCTGAAAAACACCAGCCAAAAAAGTAAAGAACATTGTTGATTTTACAATGTGCCAATCAATTTAAAGCTTCAACATTCCCCCACCTCCCCAAGCAACCCACAGGAATTTGACTGTCACAGGTGCCTGGGAAGCAGTGTTCTTGAACCTTGCCTGGCTGGGGTGGGCAATTTGAACTGCAAGTGTCAAGTCTTTACAGTGGAATATAATTGTTTTATCTTTAAAGTTAAGGTTAAGACTTCACATTTGTGAGCAAAATGCTCAGAAGAAAAGGTCTACACAGCTAGTCTAGGTTTTAAAGCTTGATCAGTGAGTAGAAATTGACTAGCACTAGCACTTGGGTAGGGCATTTGAACACAATTTTAACCCACACAGCTGAAAATTTGAACAGAGGGATCTTCAAAAGTTCAAATGCATAGGACGTTGCACAGTAAGGGTGGGGGATGTTAAAGCTTTGAAATAATGAACATAATTTTTGTCCGAACATTCAACTACTTTAACCAATAGAGCCACACAATCAAAATAGTGAGATTATCTTGGATATAGAGATTTCTACAGAGAGTGTGGAATAACAGCAAGGACAGAAACAATTATAACAGCTGTACCTATGATTCCCTTTTCAAAACTCTCAACCCTTTCCTATCCAACAATGTTGTTTGACTGATAAAATCTTTTTTTCTTTTTTTGGCTAATGATTTAATTTTTAAAATTCTCTTTTAATGAACCAAGCAAAGAAAGAAAAATACATGTGTAGGGATGTGAATCATTATTCTTGGAGAAACTAACCAAGGGTAGCATAAAATTAGTTTGGGGGAGTGAATAAGTGTTGGAAATCTGTGAAAGTCCTTCAGAGACTATGCAACTGAAGCTCATGTGATAATTTCCTAACTTTAGACATAACTTCTTTAAATGAAGAGAAGGCTCTAGGGAACTTTTCACTGTTGAAGTTTTATGTGATACTACTACCACTATTTTGACCCTTTAAAAACTAGGAGTAACCAACATCTAATTTTTCCTTGCAGGAAAACTGCTGAACCATTCATTAAGATCATGAGTTGGTCTAAAGGAAAGATCACAAACAAAAGAGGCTTTGATCATGAAACAAATTCTGCTTGTCAGTACCAAAGGAAGTATAGATACTATATATAGAATACTGCTGCTATGGTGTAAAGGGTTCACTGGCTTATAACTACATACCGTAGCCTTTTCCAGGCACTGAAGTAGATGAGTATGCTGTTCATCAAGATAGTTTTTCTCTTTATTGCTAACTGGAATTTGTGTCAACTCTAGGCCAGCACCCTAAGCAAAATAAATAGTGAAATGATTAAATAAAATGGTTTATTATGGATTAAGAGATGGTAAAGCTTTAAGAAGAGGCTAAATTAGTTTATAATTATACTTGTAGTTTCATTGAACAGAGCTTCTAATATTTATATATTCAGGAAAAAAAATATTTCCACAGCGTGTTTGCACAGTTGTGGTGCATAATTGCCAAACAGAGACTAGTAACCAAATTCAAACACCCACTCATAACTTTTTTACCAAAAACCAAAAACAAAAAAAAAGAGAAAAAAGTGCAAACCATAACAGAAAAAAAAAACCCATAAAACCAAAGAGTTTTGATGCTATTACCACAAAGCCAATCCATAAATGGCCAAAACTCCCAACACAGCCCTGAAAATAATGAATCCTTGAATAATTGCCCAACCCCTAAATTACACGCTGCAGATAAAGGTAAAGCTATGAACAAACACCACACCCAACCATTAGAAGCCAAAACATTTATCTGAGGATTATGAAAAAAAATGTTTGAAACAAAAAGTAAGTAAAACTAATAATATTTCTTGGAATTTCAATGGGAAGACAATGAAACTTGACGTACATCTCTAGTTTATGTAACAATTACTGCTGTTATTAATTACTGCTAATTAATAATTACTGCTGTTATTATCCATGATGATTTTGGTTAAAAATTTAATTTGTACATAAATGCTACCCTTAATTAAATCTTGTGGGGGTTACACATAACATTAAATAAATGTTGTGGCATTAAATGCAGTAAATAGGTAACTCAAAAAAGACCACACATCTGATGAAAACAACATTCACTGGAAGGGTCACCTCATGAGGACATTTTTCCAAAATCAAAACAAAAAATTAACCCTTTAACTCCCAAGATCTCTGTAGTAATTCTCCTCACTGTCTGTCATACAGTTCTTGTGGTGTCAATTTTGAGAATCTGGTATTTGATCAATTTATAATCCCTTAATTGATATTTTTCTTTTTTCTCATCACCTGTCTGCCTGATATTGTATTGATATTGTGGGGAGAAATTCTGTCTTGGTCACTCATGGGAGTTAAAGGGTTAAAATATTATAAGTAAGAGTTAGAATCAACCAAAATTGTTCAAATGCTTGACTTGCCAGAGGAACATTTTCTTTATCAGGTGGGGAGACCAAAGCAGTACCAGCCATTGTCTTGGAAATGGACACACGTGCTTTCTGGAAAAAAAAAAAAAAAAAAAAAAAAAAAGTTGACATCTGAATACATACTCATGCAACAAAATACCAAATGTTTTTCTCTGATTAGTCTGGTAACAAACCCTTGGCATGATGTAATCCTTTCACTCTCAAAATCTCATTAGTAATTCTCCTTACTGTCTGCCATACAATTCTCATGATGTTTTGTATGGAGAATTTGGCATTGAATTCACCCCTAACTGATGTCTTTCTTTGTTCACATTACAGGTCAGCTTAATATTGTGCACAGTTCTAAATTGTAATTTTCTTTATGAAAGAGCATACCAAATCTATTTGTTACCTTGTGAGCTTTCCTTTTATCTGCTCTTTGGTTTTGCAAGTAAATTCTACTAAAATTTGACACAATCACTGGAACAGGCAGGGCAATCACAAGAACACCACTGAGTGAACACAGGCTACCCACAATCTTTCCAGGAGTAGTTTCAGGTACCATGTCACCATAACTAGAAACAGAAAATAATGTTAAAAGTATGTTATCCAGATCAAAAGCAGCAGGAACAAATAGGTGTAAAAGCAAAAATCCTTAAAAAATTTATTGTATAGAAGAAAACTACTAGCTTTTAAGTGTAAAATACAGTATGGACACTTGAAAACTAAGGTTACCTCCCTCCCATTTCTTTGCCTCTGAACCCCAGAGTTAATTTTTGCTGGGTTTGTGCCACTGGCCTCTCAGAGTCCCAACCCCATCATCAGTGGCCAATTATAGACCCCATCTTAGTCACTTTTGGAAATAACACTACACCTTTTTCACTGCAAATCCCAATCCGGCAGCAAATTCCTATTAGTCTATTACTAGGAATTACCATGCATTAAGAACAAACCTACACAATTGTGTACATAAATATGTGCTGCCAAATCACATTTTATGAAAAATATTCATGAATAATGTATCCTCAAAATCAAAAACAATTCCTTTTGCCTTTCATATCTTTGCTATCTTGTTTAATCAAGGGAAGTAGTTTGACTTTGTTTTAATATTAATTGCCTCTGTATTACTGAGTGACCATCTCCCTCAGAACTTAGAGCTGGATCACACAAGAGTATTTTTCGTTTGTTTCCATGAAAAGTCTGTCCACAGTAGCATAAAATAGGTGCAAATTTTGTGGGTTGCAAAAATTTTGTAAATCTTAAAAGGAGCTGATTTCCTGCTTCTGGGGCTTCCAAATTTTGGCACAACAAACAGTCACCTTTTTCAACCATTTAGCTGTCTTGTGAAGTAAGTCATGCCTGAATAAAATTTCAGTGGGAAACAATAATACTTTGGTCTGCCAGTCTTGTTTGGCACCAACAATGGCAGGATAAAAAAAATTGTTCATGCTCATGTTGCACAGCTGGTAACCAAAATGCAAAAGATAAGTAGGAAAAAAAAGATCCATTTTCACATAGTAATTTGTGCAATATTTTTTCTTTACCTTTTAAGAGCGAGATGTGTTTGTGATCTATGTAGATGGTAATCACTAAAATTTTGATCAAAGGATGCATAACTGTGATGTCACCAAAATTTGGACAATGCTACATTTTTGCCAATTTGTGAAAATTGGAAAACATTAGAATTCACTCTGCTGCAACCTGGCCCATAGTACTGAACAGTGAACATTAACTTAATTTGGAGAATTTGAGGGATTTTCAAAAAAACTCATCAATTTTCAGATTTGCCAAATAGCCATTACTTTCAATCCCCATGATAATAACAGATCTTTAAGACATGCAATGACAAAAACAATTTGTACTTCATCAAAGGCATCAGGTTATTATTAAAATTACATACTTAAAAATTGGTCCATGAACAGCTCATGAAAAGGAAGCACTATAATAAGTGCAAATTACACCACAAAGATAAGCACTTCTTTACTATCTAAGAGTTTGATTTAAGTGTGACATTTTCAAGTGTTCTTTTGTCTGGTCCTTTCTCACTGAAAAAGCAAGACGAAAAAAGACAAGCATAACAAACAGATTTGTTGAGCAATTTAAATCATACATTGTCATATTCAATCATTAAAACCAAAGAGAGTCTATTAATAACATGGTGTTAGTGAATTATCTCAAAGATAGAAAAACCACTTAATTCTCAAATTTTGACATTTCTCCATTCCTGAGACCAACAGGCTCTCAGAATGTATTTAGTTTAAAAATGATGAGATAAAGGCCAAATTAGGGAAATTCATCCCATTATGTCGTAATAAATGATAAGAAAAAAGCTGACAACACAAATCTATTATACTTATGCATGCAGTTGGTAATTGTGCAGCAAATAAAGAGAACAAATAGAACAAAGTCCCATATCAAACTGTGGAGACCGCTATAAGATGTGAACAGCAAGCAAATAAAAGGAAAATACAGCATCTGACTGATGAATATAGTTCAGAATCATCCAAGGAAAGATGGTTGAATTTATTTACCAATTAGCTAGCCCGAAACACATGAATCTTTTTAGTGACTTAATGATGAGAATGTACAACATTTGCTGATCAATCTTTGTCAGTAGGTTGTGAACAAGCAGGAACTTCTATAACATACAGAATTTCTTAATAAATAAATTGATTGGTAAATGAGTTGAATTTACATAAATGTAATTACTCTACTGGCTATTTAACATATGTGGTTGCTGGTTCAAAAAAGAAAACAATATAACAGATGTTTTTCCAAGCAAAATTATTACAAACAACATGAATGAAACAGTTGTGAATAAACAAAGATATTATTTCTTTCAATATTTATAATCACCTGAAAAACGAAAAGAAAAAATGATAAAATGTCTTGCTCTTTCCATAATAAAGAAATATTCACAGCCAATAAAATATTCATAAAGGTGAACTGTCCAGCCTTGCATTCTAAATGAGATAAAAACAGTGACAGACTCAAGGACAGTTTGGATCAGTGAACTTTGAAAACGAAAAATTGTGACAAGTCACAAATGCAAAGTTATGATCTAATGATACACATAGTGAACAAAAAGAGCTAGATAACTTAACTACATTTCTGTTGTCTAATGGTGACTTAAAAACCATTAATTACACAAAATTCGCGTATTGTTTTCAAGGTTTAAGGAACACTCACAAGCCCTATTGACTCTTATTTCATGCAAGAATGATCTCCTGACAGCAAATGCTTCCTTTTTACTTTAAATGTTAACAAATGAATAGAACTTGTGAGAAAGATGCTTCCTAGACTTGCGCTGATCTCAAACTCGTCATGTGAAAAGGAAATACACTATGTTTATAGTTGCTTTGCTTTGTATCTATCCAGCAAAAATCCTGAAAAAATTTTACTGAACTGTGCATTTTTATTACAGCGTAAACAATTTCCACCAGCTGTTAAATTTTTCCCTGTAAATTCTCGTCTATTCCTTATTAATTTACCACATACAGGGAGCCTGAATCTTCTGATTCTTAAGATCCTTTTTGCTACAAGTATTTTGTACACATATTCCGCAACAGAGGAAGACATAACTCAGTTATATTAACACGGGGGGTTATTATTGGCGTTCAAAATAACGCAACCAGGAAAGTGCATAGAGTAGAAACGTCTGTTTTCTAAGAAACAGTTGTTCAAAGACCCCACAAGTCTGGCCGTTTTATGAACGAAGAGCTTCGTCATTCCTCAAAACACAAAAAAGTGAACTTTTTGTACAGTCGTGTTTACAAGTAACTTATTTCAGGAAAGATAACAGAACCTTCTCCTAAATCGCGCGACATTGAAAATCAACAAAAACATAAATATGCAAAATTTTAGAATATCCTTACGGCAGATTTTAAAGCTGTTAAATTTTATTTTACAGATTTTAAAGAGTGACATCTCCAGCAAAAACACTGATGTAAGCTTAATTCATTTAAGAATTATCGCAACGTTATCAAGTTGAAGACCACAAATACACCGTGTGATGTCGACTCAAGTTTCTCTTCACCAGAAAAACGGAAACTGTGTAGTTATCCGAAATCGTCCACTTGAGAATTAAGTGTAAACATACACCAACAGCAGACATAGCAATATTGTTGTTGTAAAAGTATCTAGCTCAATTCATATCAGAATAAAGAAAAATCTTCTAATACAACATTTTTAACAAAGGGAATTTTTTTCCTTTCGCCACGGAAGTAAAAACTGGCGGGAAAAACGGCTTCAAGCGTAGCTCAAGGCATTGAACAACATGTTCTTAGTTTAAGATCGCAGAGTCATCAATAAGAAATGGCCGAAAGCAGAAAGAAAGAAATATACACATATGCAACCTAAATAAATGTTTTCTATGGTGAATTGAAGATTCGTTCGAACCCAATACTAGGATGTAAACAAAAGTTTAAATGAAAGCAGATTTGAGAGGAGATCTGTGATAGCCTGCGATAAATATGCACGTTCGACCCGGCATACGACTGTGTCAGTGCACAAAACTGTTAGATACTTGATAACTGCATTCCGATTAAACTCCAAGATTACGTCCCGTGCAAAAAATATAACGAACATACAAAAGGCATCTTCGAACGAACACTGTAGCTGTTAATTCATAAAGTAATACAAAGTTCTCTCACAGAAGAGCTTTCCCTCTCAGGATAAGGCATAAAATGTTCTGAACAAACTTTTATATGTACATGGATTATCTAAGTTAACATAGCATTAGAAATAGAATTGAACTTACCCTAGTGTAGTCATTGTAACAATCGTGTACCAAAAACTCGCAGGAATACTTGTAAACTTGGTATTAGGGACTACCTTTTCTACATAGTACATAACTGTCGCAAAAATTATTACTGCCATCGACAACGAAAACAACAGGAAGCCCAACTCAGACGCGCAACTCTTCAGTGTATAACCCAAGATGCGGAGTCCTCTTGAATGCCTTGAAAATTTGAATATTCTGAAGATCCTAAATACTCTCAGGGTCACAAATGCTCCACTTATAGAATTATTTGGCATAAAGAGTCCAACATAGAAAGGCAAAATAGCTACCACATCTATTATGCTCATTAGATCTCGAGCGAACTTGAATCGGTTAGGAGCTGCATACAAACGCGCCATATACTCAACAGTAAACACTATAACACAAGCTGTTTCCATCGAGAAAAAAATCTGTTGATTGGCCTCCCCAAAAGTTTTCCCATCGTCTGTTGGAAGAGTTTCTACCACCGTGCTGATCACACTAACAGCAATAAAGAAACCTGTTATGTAGTATGCCAAAGTGGCTGGCCGCGAGCTTTGCGGATTTTGAAAAGCGGTCCACATCTTCTCGCGAATTGTAGAATCAGTGTTTTCTTCCCCATTCTGTGAACCATCTTCCAGTTTATCAGGTTCGAAAATTCTTTCTTCACACTCTTTCTTCCTTTCACGAAAATCCTCCCAACAACAATCGTGTACCACATCTTCAGAAATGCCAAAGAAACAAAGTTCGTCTTCAAAGGAAGACACACATTCTCCCCGCGGGTAGTGCAGCTTTCCATTGCGATAATAATTCAAGACATGGCGGAACAGGTCCGGATCTCGATCGAAGAAGTATTCTTTTGTTTCCGAATCGAAAAAATAGTCCTTTTCGTCACTTCCAAGCAGAGTTTCCGGGAATCGCGCCAACGTATTTTGCCATGTTTCAAACCGCCTCCCACTAACATTGATGGTAACTCGCTCGTCGTTTTTTGGCGATTCTGGCGGAGGTGGCATCGTAGACGTTGCTAAAGGAGCCAAACCGACAGCGGCCGCCCTCGCGAATGGCAGCCATGCTCCTAAATCGGTGGCCATGATTGATTGCGACGGCCTTACATCGAAGGAAGTGATCCAAGCTCACTTGTGAGTCGCGCATCTACTCTGAGCTTAAGAGACAGGTGTATAATGTTGTCGCTCTGCTGACAAACAACCACTTTAATTTATGCCAGCGCATCCACGGATTGATTGAGACTTCGATCTATTTGCACCATTTGTTCGAACGCTACCTCGATTATTCACCTGGGACGCGTTTGGGTTCAGGTTGACAGATGAATGGTAATTTCGATCAAATCTTCGATTTCTCGGGTGCTTCGAAATGTGGAAACAAATCGCCTTTAAAATCAATCAAATGTTGCAGCACACCGGGCTCAAATTGCGGCACAGTATTGAGAACCAAGAACCATGAAATTAGTCTTAATCCCCATCTTTTGTTCAGAAGTGAAGTACATAGAGCATTAAATTGAAATAGCTTTAGCACTCGAAGCCTTTGTACTTGTCTAACATCCCTCGCCAGAAAACAAAGTGAAGCACGCTAAAAACACAATTTTTCATCACATACAGATTGATGTGGTACTAAATTCCTCTTATATGTTTCAGAGAAGAGATACCTAATTGTAAAGGATATCGTTAATTAGCATTGGATTAAACAAATTTAAAGTCAGTAGCCAATGAATTTCGAGAAAGATGACTGTTTGATTGATAGTTTATCAAACATCAACAGGGCATCTATTGTTCGCCTGTCAAACGTTCGCGCCAAATTTGCAAACGGTGCAGGCAAAAATTCTTTATTTTAAAATTTTTTTCCTCGTTACGGTAATAAATTGCGGGAAAAATATAATATCTCGTGAGAAGAGAAGAATATAAGTTTAGAGGATACTTGTAAAGGGGCCTCACCGAAAAATTGACACAAAACCCCGCTTTTGTAATTTTATTTCGATTCGTTTTCGCTTTCGAAGACGCCGTCCTGGTTTTCTGTACTTATAAATAATGGAGAAACCTAAAAACCCAACTATGTCGTATATGAATTTTAAAATAAAGGAAGCATTACATGTAAAGCTTTTTATTTTTTAGTCTCCCCTTTTTCGGCAAAATACTGAAACGGCTCTGAAACGCATTTTCTTATCAACTCTAAAGGAAGCCACCGAAAACATGCAGTGACCTATTGTTCAAAATTATATTATTTTTAAGACACTCTTCGGTTTCGTCGAAAAATACTCATCGCTTTGGTTTCAATTTGTCTCTTTTTGCGATGTCATTAGACAATACCCTGGACTTTCCAACAGTTAAGATACACAACGTTATCGGAGACTGTAATTGTCTACTACGACTTCACAGTAATTTGGTTCCATTACCGACAATGTTTAGTTACCCGGCAAACCAACATTAGCAGCTTGTTCACTTCTGATAGTTTATGGCCCGAGATAAATTTGCTTTGCAAATAGCAACAAGAATTGGGGCTACGTACATTAACTTCTTCATCCTTTCAAATTACTACCAGATCACCATATTGCGCATTTATTGGCGCATGAAAAGTTTCATCTTTTAATGTTCGCATAAAATGAAAAATATAATTTAAATGGTTCTGGAACGACCTGGATGGTCAATGTCTGTCTAGGTGCCCAACCATTCTGGGTGACACTTTCAAGATACAAGTCGATTTGAAAATTTTAAAACAAAGGAAATCCACTCGAAAAAAAGTCTTTATGGCTATCGTTGTTAAAACTGCTCTCTTTCATACGACAACGGCATCTGTATGGGTGTTTTTACGATATATGTGGTTAAATTCATGTTCTTACTATCAATATACAGAAAGTAAAGAAAGAAAGAGCCTTAGTTTATGAGAAAGAATCATTGTGAATTTTTTTCTCGTAGACCCGTTTTTGAATTGGTTTAATGCCAGAGACGCTGGTACAAAAAGCTTATGTACTGACCGGAAATGAAATGTCACACCTGCTCTCCATAGACTTTTAGATGTATTTAGCATAAGAATCTTTAAACAAAACGAAAGGTGTTAATCGGTTTTGCAAATATGCCACAACAAAGACTTATGTGGCGAAAGACCTGAGATAATAAGAACCAGGAGCTATTCAACTCTAACGGTGAATCCTTACCACCAAAGATGACATTAGAATTTTTTATTTTTATTTTACCGAATTCAGTTCCCGTGTAACTCATTTCCAAAGTTAGCAGAATCGTCATGTTCCTGTTTTAGGAATTCAGCGTTCATTATAAAGATGAAATCTTGAAACTTTTGCTTATTAATTAAGCCGGGACATTTCTGTCGTTGCTCAGAAAAGATATGCTCAGGGAAGTTTTCGTAATCTTCACATCGAAACACCAGGTGGGTACGCCGGCAATTTCTGTCAGTGCAGGAGTGTGAATATACATCAAAAGAAACATATCGCCTTTTGCTAAGGTGCTGCGTAAAGCTTTGGATTTTTATGGAAACAGGTATAAATTACGACCCGCAAGCATCAAATATTTCAATTTCGACTTTCGCAGTTTATTTCACCACGCCCTATATTTTTAGTTTCTTACAAACCCTCAAGGGCAAATTTAGATCACAATAGACGAGACTGAGTTAGACACTAACGGACGCTTTTACTTTCGTCGCTATCTCCTAATGAGCTGCTTAATGATTAGCACCTGAAATCGATCCTTTGGAAAATAGAAGAAGTTAACAAAAGTTGGAAATTCTACAATTTACTCTTTTGTAATTTAATACTCTTGTTTAAAAATACTGATGTGGGATTCCTAAAAATTCGCCTGACACATTTCTTATTTGGGAACATCGATGCATTTTCATGAGGGTTTTTATCATCTCGATAAAATTGGCATAATGAAGAGTCGCAATTTGTAGCTTTCAAAACTAATATGTGGTTCGAACGTGACCAAAGATGTTGAAGTCAGTCAACAAACAAAGCGATAAAATATTAAGAGAAATTTGCATTAGTACGTGAATTGTTAGCGCATGACTGCCACTTTTAGTAATAAGTTATTTCTGCAGCAACCCTTACGACAGAAAAGAATTCTTTATGGTTAAAACTACAATTATTTCAAGCTATACCTGTTACTGTTTTGTTTTATTTCTTTCCATTTTTTTTTCTTTTTGTTTGTTATTTTAGTTATGACGTCAAGATGACGTTCAGCGTAGGAGTGAAATTAATGCAAGCAAAATGTGCGGTTTTTAATGGGGTTCTTTACCTTTGAAATTTGCATTAGAGATAATTAAACCCAAATTGAAGGTTTTACAGCTCGGCAGGTGGATAGGTAAGGACAATTAATAATCATATCATGTCTTGCCATGGTCGCATTTTGACTTTTCATTTCCTTAATTAAGAGTTTAATTGATTCAACCCAGAAATGTTCTGATGCAAAGGTGTTGCGGTGCTACGAAATGAACAGGAACAATGGCGGTGTTATCGAGGCACGTACTTCATCTTGGATGATATACAAATTGTTTATTACATTTGATTAGAAGAGGATCTGTATGCAATGAAGAAATACCAATTCTTTGATATAAAGGGAACAATTTTGTAATCCCTTCGAATGACGCTCTTGAGAATCCATAGCTTGGTCATGCTGTTTATAGGTGACGCTATTACCCCCTTCTCCTCCTTCACCCCATTCCCCCCTCGGATTTCCTCATAACTGCCATCCCCAGTTCCGTATGAGAATATTCAACTCGCCCACGTTAGGATGAGGGTATGGTAAATTAGTGGGTTTATTAGAACTTGTTTCAACTATTGTTCTCATAATGAATTTCAGGTGTTATTTCAAAACTTGTTGTCTATGCAATATAGTAAAACCAAGAGATAACAAACAGCTTATAATCTCTTGACCGATGATAAGTTGCTGTTGCTGTATTTGATTTATAAGGAAAATGGAACTGAACTAAACTATGAAACTAATATAAAGTAAAGGAATGACGGAGAAAATAAATTATAGTTACCTCCTCTTAGTTCGCTTCTAAAGTAAATGAGTGTATAAACAAAGAAAGCAGACGAACAGCGAGTTATTAAAACATTAGTTGGGGAAACTCACTCGCTTCAAGAAAAATCGATCCGCGAATGCTTATAGTCTGTATAAAGTTCTGTAATAATCCATGAAACTCTCTCCAGTAATCACTCATTCCTTTCCCACTTTTAATCTGAAGGAATTGCGAAATGTAAAATACAACAGCGTTAAACTCAACTGCTTATGTGAAGATCCAACAGTGATGTTGTTTAAAGACGAGACCTCAGTTGTCTTGATTCATCTTCAAGAGTGTTCAATCAACTTGTTACCTTGAATAGGATCCGTATGTCTAGAAAAGCGTAACATTTCGGATCTGTATGAAGCTGCCTGAACAGGCATTTCCAAGCACTCATGATGGTGTCGCGCGGGTGCACAATATTTTTCCCGCCCTGTTTCTAGGGCAAAAGTAACAACAATGAGGGAGGAGTGGGACAGTAGAAAGTCCCTGTTTTTTTTTTGTTTTGTTTTGAATTAATTACTATAAAATTTTGCCGGAGTTAGCGTATTTTAAAAGGGGCAATATCCATCCAGTTGCGTAGCTCTGAATCAAGGATAAAAGAATAAGAGAACTGGGCACATCGTGTACAAAGCTGGTCTGTGCCTGAAATAAAGAATAGATCTTGTTTCTCAGAAAGTTGTCCTAGCTTTGAGCCCCCCCCCCCCCAGTCCCTCCCACACAGTTTGACCTACTCTAGGTAGCCATGTATTACCCCTTTACTCCATAAAACTAGTATTTATGTTCTCCAAACAGCTCTCTCTACATTCCATATAGTATCAACAAGAAGAATTTGTTTGAAAATCAGGAGTTTCTGAATAAAATTAGCAGTCATTCCTCTATCCTCATGAGCTTTATATTTAATTCAAGGGTGATCATGTAAGGAGAAGTTAGATTCAAGTCAGGGGTAATAAGGTAAAACTAAACAACATAGCAATTCAATCTAGCATTTAAGTCAGAATGCTCATAGAAAGGATCTGATCCAAATGTTCCTGAATCTTAAAGCTACTAAAATACCAGTTGTAAGGGCTACACCCTTCACCTTAGCAAGGTTTTGCTGACAAGTCACCACCATGCTACTCTCAGTTAGGTACTTAGAGGGCATCAAGCCAGACTTAAATGTTGAACCAAGACATCACATTGACCTTCTACACTTGGGAGGGTAAGTCACAGTAGTGAAAGTTCAAGCTATCTAATCAAGTTTACCCCATAAAATTGTCAACTAGGTTTAGATAGTGACTACTTTATTGAACAATAGCATTACAAATAAATTATACAAGCCAGGAAGCACTAGACAAGTTAAAAAAATAGAAAATTATTACAAAATTTATTAGATACCTGTGAGTTTGCAGCTGATAAATCCCAATAGGAACTAACTAAGAACTCAGTTCAGAATAAAATAAATATTACAATTGATGTTGCAAAGCTGAATAAATATAGTAAATTAAATTACACCAGCTTGGATGGACCTGTCTACAAATTCAAATACTAAAAGTTGTTTTGTCAGCTTACACTCATCTGGGCTAGTGATAAAATTTTTTGTTAGACTTCTCTTTCAGCATCACTGAATGATTCATCACATAAAACTGAGAGAAAATATGCCAAACTGTATAGACAGTCATCGAATTTTAGCCATAAGTTTTCATAAAAATTAAATACATGTTGAAATACCATAGGAAAGAGTCAGCAAAAATGTTGTTTTGGGTAAGTTGATGAAAAAGCTGATATTTGAGTTTGAACATCAAGTAAGATATCTAGACATTGCTCGTGTTTTCCATCCTCTTATAAATCGGTTATCACTAAATTGTTAGCCTTATAACTTTGCATCTTTCCAGGAAAAAATAAACCATAAATTTGGTATGGAATCGTACACAAATCAAAGTTTTGCTTTATTGCTTTGCGAAAATATAATCATGCTGCCTGTTTTGGAAAGACCCCGTGATTAGGAATAAGGAAGCGACAATAATTCTCACCAGTCAGAAATAAAGTAATGGTAAAATCGTTTGTTCCATACTCCTTGTGTAAATATCACTAATTGATTTCGGCGAGCACCTTAGTGCAACGGAGATGTCCATTACATAAGTTTGTCTTTGCAGATATTGTGAATGGCATTTTCAGCTCGACATGATAACTAAAAATTCTCAAGCGTTAGGTTAGTTTTGCGCTGATCTAAGGATTTAGTGAGAAATATAGTGCATAGGATTGGTATTCAAATGTCGACTTTACTGAGTGGATGGGACTTGTCCGTTAATAAGATGAATGGTAGCGGTTGGAGGTACTGATATTGCAGCAGGACTTGATGGTTCATGCTTCTTTAAAAACTTTATAGCCTGTACTTTTTTTTCTGTTTTTCCTTTAGGACTTTCAAAAACCAACTGAAACGAGACAGAAACAAAGACAAATTACATTGTTGCATAGAGCAAGGTCAAATAGACTTCCCGCGTAAATAACAACAAGCCTACCTCTCCTACGCCAGAAACTGCTCCGACATCTGACACATAATTTCCTTCAGGAATAGCCAAACTCACTATTTGAGCTGGTGGAGCATGAGTGCTAGCAACAGCAATTTCCGTCTGGTTTTCGGAGGGAAACTGATGATGGACTTTTGGTACGACTGCAGCGTTCACTGGAACTGCTGCCACCTCATTCCACGAATGTCCTGGAGAGAACGAATATGGCGTAGGCTGGAGATAAGAGTTTCCTAACACAGCTGTTGTTGTGTAGATCGGTTGAGAAGCTGAATGGGAAGGCTGAGGATACGGACTCTGCGACTGGTAGTGCATCTGTGGGGAATAGGCCGGGACCAAAACAAAGTGAGGCTGTTGATTCATCTGAGAATAGTACATGCTTCCATCGGATGTCGAAAATGCGTAATAGCTACCATGACTTGACGTGTCATGCACGTCTTGTCGATGGTAATAGTACTTGCCAAAACTTCTTTTGCTCTTTCTACGGACCGCTTTGCCAATGTTCAAGCTTTTCCCCTCAAATTCAAGGCTTTCTTGGTCGCGGACTTTGTCAGCCACCTCTTGCGATTCGAATGTAATGAAAGCGTATCCTTTGCTAAATCCGTTGCGGTCTCGAACGACTTTACTTTCCTTGACCGCGCCAAATCTCTCAAAATAAGATCTGAGCTCGTTTTCGGTCGTTTCCGGAGAAAATCCTTTGACGAAAATTCGCTTTCCAATGTCAATGTCACTCATAATGTCGCTCAACATAAAGAACAGGAGAAAGAAGGGAAACTTACAGTTCAGTCAACAGCGGAAAATGGATTTGTGGAAAGCGTGGTAAGGGCGTTTTCCTCTCTTTGCATCCTGGGAAACGAGATCACGTGCTACGTTCTGATATAAATTTTCGCCTAATCTTTCTAGGTTGCTTTACCATCTTTCAGTTGTGAATATATTTGACGAGAAATTGTGATACATCCCGATCATTTTCACTAGCATTTTAGTCAGAGCAGTTGTTTGTTTATAAAGCTGCGGAGACACGCAGTCTGAAACCGTCAAACCTCTTCATATTTCAGTTGCCAATCAAGGGGAATTTCACTGGATTTCTACGCTGTGGTTTGTCTGTCAAGCGAAAGGTCTTTACGCCGATACGTGTAAAAGGTCTGTAACATGTGAAGCTGGCTGATTCTTTGAACTACTTCCCTGTTTGAGATAACTAACTTTAATAAAGAAAAGTGTTTTTACTTCTTGTGATATGGGGAACTTCCATTAACGAAAGAAGATTTAGCTTATGTTATGATGAGGTACTCATGAAAAGAAGCCAGCACAATTAATACTTTTTCGTATTTTGTTCCGCTCAGTCGATTTGCGTTAAAACGATTAGGAGCGTTTAGGCGTTTGGTTCTTTGTATCATAATCCGTTTTCGGCAATGTTTTCAAGCACATTTTCTGGCGACAGAATGTCAAGATTTAACCGTACAAGCTGATCAAGAGCTTAACTTGATAAGAAGATAAGACTGAAGATTTGTTTGGTTGAAAACGAATCTAAACTTTTTGTGAAAGTTCTCGCAAGAATCTCTAATGCTATTATCTAGCCAAATTCTCGAGCAAATAAATGATGTCTAGAATCATTCAATCTGATTCTACTAAGCTTGAGATTCGGTGAAGATCAGCGGCCCACAGCAATAAGTGAATTCACAATAAGAGGCCAGTTGATACGCTGATGTTGATTTTTTTTACTTCCTGTCACAGGAAAGCCGCAATACTTTGAGGGACTGACTGTGTAAGATTATCCTGAAAATTAATTCTGTATTAAACAAAGGCAGGTCACGATGTTGCTCACGAAACACAACGACAGAAAACAACCAAATTCAAATAGGGTATAAGTAGTTTACGATGGAACTCAGCACAGCGGTTTAAAAAGTTTTGAAGAGAGTATGAAATATTTAGAAACAGCATATTGTAATCAATGGCGATCTTTCATGTTGTGCAACTGAAAATCTACCTGTCGCTTTAAATGTGACAGTAAACTGGAAAGCCATTTTCTCGTGTTCTTAGCGCGAAGGTAAGAGATTCTTTATACTCTTAACAACTGTCCCGCGTGATTGAATTGTTTTCTTAATTAAAATAGTACAGTACATGACGATTACAAGGTTTGCGATATTTCGTAATTGGAGTGTTAATGTCAATCTGCAGGAAGTCGAAGGAAGTGAAGCGAAGTGATTGAAGCGAGGCGGGAAGAAGCCGTGGAAAAAACCTACAAATTCCAATTGTGTAAGTACACTGAATAAAACGATTGTTTCTAAATTTGCAATTAGCTTAAGTGAAAGGAATAAAAAATGTTGGGATTTAGATAACGATCGCTTGTCGATTGCCTCGCTTTTTCAACGGCATATCTCGAGGACAGTGACGCAAGCCTCCAACCATCACTTTTAATTTCACCAGTGAGAATCCTCGCTAAAGGTATTAAACGGCATGTACCTGGCTACCTTACTATAAAATAGTAAGACCTGTGTTTTTTGTCACTTTCTATAATTTTTTGTAGTAAATAATTTATCGTATATCTGTCGCCTATCGTCTTTATTAGAGACGACGAAAATTTTAGAAGCAGAGCAAACGCTGGTCTCTCCGTGTCAAATTCGATTGTTGGTAAACTCCACAGCCACTCTCCATGTCAAACTTCCTTGAATTCGATCGAGTAAAATAACTGAGGAATAATAGGACTTTGTTACTTTCATTTTCTATATTAAGCCTCAGAATAATCAACACATTTGAAATTAAATTCAGGCTTAGTTCGACGCAGTCGTACTGTGGCTGCGCTATGAATGGCTATCAGATGTGAAGTGAGTAACCGCTGCCGCTGAGAAACACGCACTATTCTCGAATCTTCTAGTACAAACAAAGCATTGAACAAATAGGATAATATTTGAAACTGCTCTTAATTTCATTATAACAATACGGTAATGGCTGACTCCTAAGCTGAGATCTCAGTCTTTCAATGAAAGTCATATAATTGATTGCCTTGATAGTAACATGAAAATAGTTTTTCTTAATCTTGTCATAAATTGCACCGAGTTTTTCACTGGCAGATACGATAATCAGACTGAAGGATACAACAGCCAATCACACCGAGTTTTAGAAGACAAAGGCAAAAAAAAAGGAACAAACAGCTTCCCAATGACATAAGGCGCTTTGTCGAAAGCGTGCAAAATACCTCAGATGTTCGGGAAGTGAAAGAGATATTTTGAACCTTGGCAACGACAACTAACAAAGGAAAGGAAAATTAAAGAGAAAACAGCTGAGAGATGTTTTCTCCTTAAGAAAGTTTTCTTTTCTCATCAACAAAGCTGACAAAACTTAACATTTCTGGCGTCCTATTGTCTTCATTTTGGTTTAGTTAATTTACTTCTATTTACCTTGGGCACCTTCAATGTCGATTTACTTGAGCGAATTTAATTTAACTTGTTAGCTGCTGTTAGTTTACTTATGTGACTAATAACCTCATTCGATCAATTTCATATTTTGTTCGCTTTTGGTTTAATGTGACTAGCATGAACTCTGTGCAGTTTTAGCTGTGTACAGAATAATTCCTGGAGTTCAGAGCGCGTGCTTTTTTTAATATCATAGTTTGGGGAAAAACATCCTTTGCAATAAAATTTTTATAAGGTGCTGGTTAGCGAAGAGCCACTTTTTTCATTCAGCTTAGTTAAGTCAGAATCAAATACAGTTCCAAGCTTGTTTTCATTTCAACTTATTTCAATAACCAAGGGAAAAATATCTCATTTCCTCTTATATAAATCAAATCGCAAACCAGATTTTCTTCTGAGAAACCCCGAAAAATAAAATTTGTCAAGAGAGGGAATCAGAGGCAGAGTTGAACAGGTTGATGGTGTTTTGGGCAATTTCCTTTTTTTCAGTCGATATCTCGAGTCTTTTGATCAAACAGTGCACAGTACTACAAGCTGGCTAAACAAACGCTTTTATTAACTTACTTAACTTTATCTTTGCACGAGAATTAATGCGATCAGAGGGAGTAGATATGGCGGAGCCTGTCACGGTTAGGCATGAAAGCTTCGCCTCCCCTCACTGATACCTCCACAAACCATTAATTTTCGAAGTTTATCATGAATCTTTTTTTTTTTTTTGAACTTACAGTCAAATTCATATTCTTTGTGGGATTTAGAGGCGACTCTTTGTCTAATCAAGAAAATATTAATCTGCAATTGATATTTCCGCCCTTCCCCCTCCCTCCCTCTCTTAAACCCCTACAGTGGTAGATAATGCGAAATGGGATGAAATATGATTTTGTCATCTGGAAGCTTCTCATTTTATGTAACATTTTAGTGTAATTCTGTCGAAATGTTTTGGTTTCTCAATCACATGAGCTTAAAAGCCGCTTGAGGCCAAATAACCAAAATTAATCAATATTTCCCGAAAGCTTGTGATAAATTTAGTTGAATCTTTATTTCTGACATCTTTTACGTGATAAACACAGTATCAATAACTTTAATTCTTTTCAGTTTTAATTCTGATCAAGAAATTTCTCAAAATTGGCTTATTAATTTTTTATAATGCAAGGTAACTCCAAAACAAATAGAAAATTGTGTCATTTTTTCTCGGAGAAGACATCCACCTCTGTACGTGAGCTGACTTCCCACTCAACGATGGAGAGTGGTATGTTTATTAAAGGTAAGTCTTTCACACGAATAATTCTAAGGAGAATTGAATTATTTTATTCATTTATCTTCACAGCAAGGATTAAAAAAGTGTTTGACTTTTCATCTTCACTAAGGTCTACAATCTTTGCCGCTTGTTAATTAGTAATGTACAAAAGAACTTGATGTTTCTCAGTCTCTGACAACCTCTGTCAGGTAAAATAGGAAAAAAACTGACTCAGTAATAAAACTGCAATCCGACGAAAACTGTGCTGACAGCTTGGAGCGATGAAAATCTTTAATTTTTTTTGGTACTTTCATGCCAATTAACCCAGAGAAAGTAATACGGCTTATTTACATTTGATCAATCAAGACATCACAATAGGCTTAAGATTATTTTGTATCAGCCATTACTACATCTTAGCTTAAAAAAAATCAGTATAAATTTTCCATCCCTGATAAGATGTTTTTTGCAGTTGTGACAAGTGTCGTGTTCTGCTTTGCCAAACAAAAGATGAATATCTTCTATAAAAAATATAAAAAACTGACCCCCTCCGGTTGAAAGGTTATCTGAAAAGTTATCAAAATATTTCCTCTTTGTATAGACGTGCTTGTGAATTACAATTATCCTTAATGTGTTTTCCTGTGAGGTAAAGCTTGGAAAGTCTAAAAAATTTGCATAACATAATTTTTTTTTCCGACTTCTTGGGTAAGGTGCCCTACAGCCGAAAAACCTCAAGAGGAGGAAAGTCAAACTTGAATGTAATCCTGTTGTTTTACAGAAGTGGAAGGGAATAGAAGAAGCATTATCGGTTATATTCAGACTAAAAACTGCGTAGACAAACTTGATATCCGCTAAATGGGAAACACCGACTTTTTATTCTACGAGTACCATATCCTAAGTTCCTGAAAGCGTATGGGCTCAGTTCAGGAATTTTTAGCGGGCAGATCCCGACAAACTGAGCAACAAAGACACTGGGTAACAGAAAGTTTAAACCCTTCGTTCAAATTTTTTTGCAGCAAACTTGTAAAAAGCGGTGGCTACTATTTGTTGTAGTTGTTTTTTTTTAACTAAACCAAAATAAAAAAATCTGTTTTTGTGCACAGGTAAGACACGGAACTGTGATATAGTAAATATTTATGACGCTGACATGAGGATTCACGAAACGATCATTAAGTAGTGGGATAGCCTGTTATGAGGTTACGTTCACTGATTACAAGGGAATCCAGCCGGCGTGTTTATCAGTGAAGGATGTTTGTTCACTGAAATCCAAATTTCAACGAAGGACGCATGAAAGAATGACGCAATATTTATTGAAAATCCACAACAAAACGATGCAATAAACTCTTAGAATGAACTTCACCGATTGAATCAAGACTTTGCTTAACAATGCATTTGAAAGACTCATATAAAAAAATCATCTTTGAATTTTACGCTCGCAATAAGCAAACCATGAAACAGAAAACCTAAGATATTTCTCTTTCGGAGATGATTGACCCTCATCTCGTCAAAACAATTTTCAAAAATTAATGCTAATTTATATGAATATTACGTCTTCAATCTATCTCCCTCTTTTAGTGAGATACCAACAGAACTTCATAAATTTATAACTTAGATTTCGGACGAGATGTGGTATGGCTAAAAATTAATAGTGTTTTCACCATTTTGTGAATAAATACAAACAAAAGCCCAAATTTCGTCTCGAAAGGTACAGTGTGTGTCAGGTGGAGACTTCACACTGAGGTTGACACTCGACTGTCGTAAGCGTATAAGTAATGCATGGCTGCCTTGGTAACATTTGAATCTAAAGACACCCTCAGTGACACTCAGTGAAGAGTGTTCCATACAGACGTAGTATTTCAGTGATATTCCTGAATAGAAAGCCTTCCCAAGAAAAGTCTACATCGATAGTCATTAGGCAGTGTGCTCTGCATGCGTTATTCAATGACATACTCAATAGATAGTCTTTTTCAAAGTCTGTAGGGACAATTAGTAAAAAGAGGAGACAATTCGACTTTCAATTTGCCATTTACTGAAAAATGTGACGCATTTATCAGAACATTATCGATTATAACACTCTGCTTATTTAATTAATTTAGTCTTCTTGCGCCCGGAGTCGATAACTCAAACCAATATCTTTGTGAAACAATACACATAACAAAACAGTTACCCTGCTTAACATAAATTTCTTTTAAAAACACATCGCGAACGAGACCCTCAACCAAAAATATAAAAACTGATGTATTATTCCTCGTTCCTCGTGCTTTCATCATACGACCCATACGGCCCCGCACGCGTTTTGCTTATAAAAACATTAGAAAATATTTCCAGCATGACAGCTGTGCGCGATGGTGTGAACAGGGCCGCACAAAGCCGTACAGCACCGTGAGCTACGAGCCAAAAGAAGAAGGGAAGAAAAAGAAAGAATTACGTTCATACGATTAAATACTTATTGACTGAGTTTGGTCGGCCGAACGGGAAAATATTTGGCTCTTGGTCATGACGCACGGACCTCGCAGCGCCCAGCAAACCGAGCGCAGCGAGGTCCGTGCCGAGGTCCGTGCTTAAGCCAAATATTCTCCCGTCCAGCCCTCCCTTTCAGTCAATAAGTATTTTATCGCATAAAAGAAGCAGAAATTATGAAAGAATTACTCACATCTATTGAAGATAACAGAAGGACGCTGTTATCTTTTCGAACTGTTAAAGAGGCTCATACCACTTATACCATTAGAACATTTAGGGCAAACGAAACAAGGGCATTGAAAAAAAAGCAACAACTCCGTGCCTTCGAAAAATATTGTCAAAAAGCTCGTTTTGTTTTACAGTCCATTTCATTAATGAAAATTTTTACGCCGGAAATAATTAGTCGGTCCGTTTGAATCTCTTTTGAAACAGCGGATACAATGGTTTGGATGTCGTTTTAACGATATAGGAGTTCTCGGCAGGTGCAACTGATAATTTAATGGCACAATTTTGAATTTCTAATCAGCTTTGCGGGATGCTAGCTAATATATTTTTCACAAACCGCAAGTTTCCTTGGAATTAAATTCAACTTAGACCTCAAGCAGAAAGCAATAGTTTTGTAAACAAAAAGAACTCGAAATCACCAGCTAAGGTTTTGTAACCATGAGATAAAACAGTTTTTCTTCGAATGAATCAGAGATGGGACGGGGATTGCTGAAAACGCCAATGGAAACCTTGCTAGTTAACATTCATATCAAGTGAGACTATTGTGTTTTGCAATATTACAGGTGACTCCGCAATGGCCGTGAACGGGATTAGAGGAAACGGTCAGACTCAACCGAACGCTCGAAGAACAACCGTCCGACCACGAGTGACTTTCAAAAAGAATTGTAAAGGTGACTTCATAACTATCAATGTAAGCGGTCGGATATTTGAAGCAGACAATTCTATCTTCAAACAGCATCCAGGTAAAACACAGATTTCAGTTACTGAGAAAAAACGCTTAGTCGAACCGATTTACTTTTGTAACTTTCGATATGTTTCGTAGGAAGAAAGAAGAAAAAAACAGTCCTTCTTTTTATAATCGTACATTGTTTTACTTATTCATGTACTGGGGTATTTTTTAAGTATTTCCAAAACATCTACGAAAATTTACCACAAAAATATAAACAAAAATGACAAAATAAAAACCCGTCAATGACGTATTTCGGCACGAAAGTACACAATATTTCGCCTTGGCAAGAAATAATTGACCGATCGTTTTATAAATGCATATGAAAGATAAAACAAGTGATTTGCTTCTTGACAACAAAATTATGCTACCGAGCTCAACGTTATGATCCTCTGTTGATAACCGATGAGGCTTCATAAATTTAATAGATCAGTAGGTGACAACAAATTCAGTGTAAGATGTTTTGTAGTCAATACCATATTTCTTTTCTTGATTCAAATATCATCATAACATTAGTATGTCCTTTGAGTTTTACAAAGAAAATGAGGCGCACTTTATTTAAGCTTTAAAATGAGAGCTCATAAAATGTTTTTTTGTAATTCCAATGTCTGACTAAATTTTCCATAAGGATTATTCAAATAAGAATGAAATTAGCGGCGTTTTCAATACTAGGCCACCCAAAGGTTGTACTCGTGAAAAAAGAACCCTTCAATGGCACTCTAATGGAACTTTACCAAATGGTTGTTTATCTTCCAAGATTTTGAGTTCTAGTATCCTGAAATCGTATCATATTCATGCGATAAATTTTCTGTTTCTCGTAAAGTCGGAGCGATTTATGCAGGATAAAGGTTATTACTCAACGGCTCAAAATAATGATAGGTCACTGTGCTCGTTCTCGACGGAAGGATTACTCATCTATCTGGTGTGTTCCGTCTGCTACGGCCTCTCAAAATGAGGCGCAACTGATTCATCGATGTGCTTGCGCAGCTAGCAGTGGACATGCGGCGTGAAGTAATATTTAAGAACTGATATATCGACATAATAAGTGGGACTTTAAAAGTGATAAAGACTTAAGGAACAATGTTTTACCCAGTAGTCGACTGTCAATAACCGTTAATGATGCAATGCTGGCTTACCTTCCGAACGAGCATCCTGGCGCTGAAGGAAACCATTTCACAAGCCTTAATAAGCCATAACAACGAGAAATTACTGAAAAGGTCTTCAGGCTATAGTTTGAATATCCTTTAGGAGACAATGTGTCGGTACAATTTTTCTCGCCGCACAAAACAAGAACTAAGCACATAAAAATCAAAATATCTCAGGCTGAGGCAACAGTTACATCGATCGGAAAACGTCTCAGATCATGACACTCGTGTCAATAATTTTCAACATTTTTTAGAATGACAACAATAATTTCAGGTGTGTTCAAGATGGTGATTCGTTGCTAACGGACGTGTCTGGAACACCAAACACTGAAAATCGTTTCATTTTTTTGTTCATTACCATTTAACTTTTTACGATTTGATCGGTTTTTTTCAAGACGGGATTGACCTGCCTATTTTCTCCGCATCTTAACACTCGCGCACGCTCCTCTGTTGGATTGATGGTGGAAATGTGACGCAAGAAAGTCTCAGAATTATCGTCAGCATCGTCGAAACTTTTTCGAACGCCGAACGCAAAATAATCGTAATTTTTTCATCATCTGCATGAAATTTTTTGGATTTAACCGCTTCCTTTATTCAGGGAATAAGGCTCCCTAATTTCTTAGTATCTAAACATTACTACCCGTTCTTCTGTGAGACAGATGGTGGAGCAGTTACGCAAGTGAGTCTCTAAGCAATTCATCAGCTATTCAATGAATAAAAGAATCCAAATTGGATCTCGTCCAGATAATTCAAAATTTATTTTTATGTTGAAGTAGCGGTACCGTTGCGTGTTAAAACTGACACATTTCGTGCTGTGCAGCTCTCCCGTTCAATTACTTATTGATGTTGGTCACCAAACGTTATAAACAGGAAAGCCACTGAATCATGAAGTAGCTTTATACGTTAATCATTCAGCAGTGACTGGTTGCAAACCATTAAAACACTGCATCTTTTAGACACCCCTTCGGTTATAGCGCTTTTTGTGAATCCGAATCTAAACTTATGGGCTCGTTATATGACAAAACTTGCCACAATTCGACCTCTTAAAGCAGAATAAGAGAAGTGGATCCCAACAACGCTGTGCAACATCACAAGGAGGCGATGAAAATGAGGAGTTTGGTAAAGGCTAAATGACATTAACGCCACCTGCAACTCATTTGCATACTCCCCTATTAAGCTCAATGAATTCAAAGATTGAAAACAGGAAGACTGTACTTGAGGATTAATTTCAGTGTTACTCTGACTCTTTGATTGAGCCTCTTATCTTAATGCGATGTTCTGAGGTAATTTTTCGAGAGGAATTTTGGGGAAAAATAATAAAGAATATGTAAAAAAAGAGGCATAATAACTGAGTCTATCTATTTAGAGTACATTGAGCCATCATTCCAGTGGTTTACTTCTCGTCATCAGTAGGGATTGGCTGATTGGACGTAAACCTCTCTCCCCACCCCGAGACTCTTTGAGCCTGATTCCAAGTAAGAATGTCTTTTACTTTTGTAAAACGATTGAAAAGAATGTCTCTCAACTGTCTTTATTTCAGATACTCTTCTTGGAAGCACAAGACGCGATATGTTTTTTGACAGGAGTAAGAATGAATACTTTTTCGATAGAGACCCTGATCTGTTCTCTTACATCATCCAGTTTTACCGTAAAGGAACTCTTCACTATCCTGAAGACGAATGCGCCTGCTGCTTTGCCGGAGAACTCGACTTCTTTGGAATTGTTAGAAATCACTTAAGCGACTGCTGCTATGAAGTGTTCCAAGAAAAACATGAGGAGTTCATAGACTATCAAAAGCGTCATGCAAAACCAGAAGAAGAGGAGTTCGTTCCCACTACGATAAGGCAAAAAATGTGGCAGTTATTTGAAGATCCAGCTCAAAATGTCTTTGGACTATTAATACATTATGTCTCCGCAATTTTGATCGTTGTAAGTGTTGCTGCATCAACTGTCGAGACTTTACCTTGTGGGGAAATCCCCTGTGGTGACAAATACTCTGAACAATTTTACATTGTGGAGTCTATGTGCGTCATAGCATTCACTGTGGAGTACTTGGCCAGATTGTTTGCTGCACCTGTCAGACTTCAGTTTATGAAACAATTCTTAAGCATTATTGACGTCGTGGCCATCATACCTTATTATGTAGCACTGATTTTTCCCGAAGCAGTGGGAGGCCCATTCACTGTTCTTCGTGTTTTCAGAATCTTTCGCATCGTTAAAATGTCTCGCCATAACACGAAGGTCCGGGAGGCTGGCTCGTCACTGTTAGCCAGTCTTTCTGAACTCAGTTTTGTGTTTGTTGTACTCATTACTCTCGTCATATTATTTTCAACCATTATATATTATGCTGAGATGGGAGACAAAAATACAAACTTCGTCAGCATTCCAGCTACGTTTTGGTATACTATCGTTACCATGACGACGCTAGGGTAAGTCTTTCTCCGTTGCTAACCCAATAGTAATAGAGAGTTTGAGGTGGGGATGGTGATTACAGAAATGGCCAAAATGAACTCGCCTAGCAATAAAATAGTAGAAAAATTATATTACCAACAATCTGATTGCAATCATAATTGTCTTGAACATGACAAAGTCCCTTAACAGTATAAGAAATATGGTAAATTTTGAGCTCGTTGGTGAAGTAAAAAATTTATTATTCATTTTTGAAAAGGGTGTGGGACAAGAAAAAAAAAACGTACACGCGATGAACCATACCCAATGATTTGTTACAGAGCTAAAAAGAATTCTTGGATCAGCTAGACCACATATTGTGTTCATGTGTTACATGGGTCCTGCATAATGTTTGCTTGTATCAGCGATTTCGAAAGTTTCATGTGAGTAAATAAGATAAGAAAGGTGAAAAATTTTTTAGCTCTGTTTTGTCACGAGCGCGGCACAAACAAAAACATTGGGTCCTACATAAGGAATCAAGTCCCAATTTAGACCAATAGATTCTGCCCTTCTTTTCTCCACTACTGAGCAACAGGGAATCCAGTCACAAGTGTGATTTCAGACCAAAATTGCATGACACAAAATTCAATCACCACTTTATTAGATCCACTTCGCCATCACAAAATTCAGTGACTCAACTACGGGATCTTTTAGTCTGTAAAAATGTTTTATTAATCCAGTACTGAGCTGGTGTGTAACAAGTTGCAAAGTTGTCTTCCATTTTCCTGCCATTTGGTCAGTTACTTCAAACAAGCCTTGAAATCTGTTTGGTTGTCATGTTTTAGTAAAGCTTTCTCATTGGCCAGGAAAGAGGTGTGACTTAGCGCAATGTAATTCATATGTAAATCGCACTAGTGAGAACCAATCAGATTGCAGGGATCACTGAGGATTTTTTAATGTTTTGTCATTCTCACTTGTCCAATCATATTACACTTTATAGATATGGTGATATGACCCCATTGAGCATATTTGGACGCATAACAGGCGTCATTTGTTCTTTGAGTGGCATTATGGTGGTTGCTTTACCGGCTCCTGTCTTGGAAAAGAACTTTAGTCGGAAGAAGGAGGAAGGAAGACCAGATCGTGATACCACAAATGAAAAAACCCGTGCGAGAACCATAAGCCACAGTCACAGCCACAGTCACAAGAAGTCAACTGAAATCTGAAGTATGACATCAAGTAAAGTGTGAGGGGCTGGTCTATTTCGTCAATTGTCAAGCCAATGGAACAAACGAGACGCATAGTTATTGAATCTTTCAGAAAATGTTTGGTTGATAAGCAACTGATGTGATTGGCACATCAGAGGACAAGACTTAAGACTAAAAGATCAACCCAAGATTTGGAGAAAAATCTGAAAACCAGGGGCTGCATGAAGAACATTTGATTCATTTAACACATCTTGACAACCATATAATTTCTTGTCAGAAGCTGGTTATCCTAGTTGCTTAGCCACAAAAGATGACTAAATCTCTCTGCAATTGAAAGACAGCAGAAAAAGTTATGTGACTTCATAAGCTCACACATATGCAGTTCAAAAATCTTTTCCTTTCAAGGTTTCAGTTCATTTTCCACTTTCTCTGATTACATTGCATTTTACCCAGATTACACTAAACATTGAAAACCAGTATATTTGTTTGTATGTCAGTACAGTTACAGCTCAAAGCAATTTGTTAAAAATGACTGTGAATAACTGTTATGGAAAAAAATTTAACTTCACCACAAGTTAAAGGTTGACTATCCAAGGGAGGGCCATTTACAAAGCATTTCTGTGTGCGATTGTTCAAGTTGGATTTGAACCAGTTCGCTGAGTTGTTTCCAACACCATAGGCTTTTAATTTAGATAGCAATATAGAGTGATCAATGGTGTCAAAAGCTTTCTTCAGATCTAGAAAAATCACTGCATAAACATTACCTTTATTATCTGTGGCTTCAAGTGATGTGGTAGCAGTGGAGTGAAGGGAATGAAACCTTGACTGATTACAGGAAATTAGATTATTATCAGTTAAATATTCATAATATTGATTGTATACAATTCTCTCAAAGACCTTAGCCACAACAGGAATTATAGAAATAGGGCAGTAATTATTTAAATCAGAATGTTCTCTCTGTATAAATACAGGAACTACTCTTATACTTATGCAGCATTAGAACTGTTCGATCACATAATATCGCTCATGATTGGGCAGAGAATTTTAAAGTTGCCATTCCATATCATTGTTATCATTATTATTATCATTATTATTAAAGAGCTTCATTCAAAACTCAGTCACACTACTTGTAGATGGATATAGAACAAAAACAAATTGTGCTTTATGTGCAAAAATGTATATTTCCTGCAAAGAACTTGCATAGCTAAAGCAAAATAAAGGTTCACTCGTAAAATTATCAAAATAAAAAGCAACTATTTAAAGTTCAACCTTTCAAATACCCGTTCATGATAAACAGTCTAAAATTCAATATTTATTATTATTATTATAACTATTATTATTATTATTATTATTATTATACCTTAGGATCATAGCTAGAAAAACACCCATATTTATAATACCATCTTAAACGAATTTTACAAGATTCAGATTACTTTGAAAATTACTTATCATTGAACTACTTCAGAAATGTTCTAACCCAATACGTACAAAACACTTGGTTGATCAGATTAAAAGCTCTGTAACAAATTTTGGCGTTTTTTCAACCTCTTTCCTCTGCGCCTGCTTGGAGTCAAAATAGTCAATTGGTGTTATGCTTGTATCCTCCCAGTGCCTCTCTTCATCCAAGGAAATGAGCGAAGTATCAGGGAAACCTGAGAAAATTTGGGATTGGGAAGGGAAAACACAATCTGGGATAAAATGGCATTTTCAGTCACACCTTCACAAACCCTACAAGCACAGAAAGTCGCGAATTTCAGTTTCTCTCAGTGTCACATGGTTGATTTTCCATCCTGTTGCTTCGCGGCGATGTTTGCCTTGCTACTTTTCTTTCCTAGAGCAACCTCGAAAAACTCTGTACACCCCTAAAATTTTCGTCTTCGAAACACTGAAAATTGGAAAATGCATTCGATGACACCAAAATGCGTCGGTTTTAAACGCCAGCCCATTTCGCTGCGATTATCGCGTAATTATAATCCTCGCACGCTTGAGTTCGCGTTGTTGACCGCATACCTGTGACGTAGTATTTCCTTATTCAGCTCTGCTCTTGCGAGGACCATTTGTGGCGTCGGTGAAGAAGACAACGTCTGAGACAGTGAATAACCCATTTGTCTTTTGGAATTCGCAGCAGAGGAGTGAAGGTAATCTTCTTGTGGCTTTGATGTCTTCTAGAGAGTCAAAAAGGAGCATACTAAATCGAAACAAAGCGCAATATCGTGTTCAAGGTTTGTGGAAGAACTATTCTACTGTTCGATGAAACCGTTGGCGACTTTTCCGCCTTATTTTGAGTCGATGGCAGAAGTGTAATAACTCCGCGAAATCCTTTTATTCCAAATTTTGATGTTTCTTCTCGGAGAGTGTTAAGGGCTTAATCGACATCTGTCGACGTACGGATTGTTGTTAACTTCAAAGAGCTATTCGAGGAAAGGTATTTTCTCTTAGTCAATTCCTGACTCAACTACATTAGTTTTTTACTATTTTCTGCAGCTGAGTTGTGCAAATGAATGCTGAGGTTGAATTTTTTGCAACAACTTGACGAAATCAAACAACCAAACAGTCGGAAATACTGAAATCCGTTTGTAGCGCAGTGTCGTAAATTTGTGCGAACCAGATTCTATTGTTTTTTTTTTTTAATTTCTCTTATTTGGGAAATCGTTGATCACGAGTGTATCTTTTTGTCAAGGCTTCGCTCTCCTGATGTATTTTTTTTGTCTAAATTAATCTTTTGGCGAAACTTCTACTTTTCTCCAAGCTCTCCTCAGAAGAAATATTCCTTTTACATCGCAATTGGCCAGCTTGTGGAAAAAGGCGTTGTTCTGATCATTGTATTAATTTGAGGCCGCCATTGTTGTTTATAACTCGCGCCGCGCAATATCGCGGGAGGATCGCGCGTGGGGTACAGAATTCAAAACAAGTCGATAAAGCTCAGAACCGTTGGAGACATAGTTAGCAGCTTATGTGTATTCAACTTCAGAAAATCAGTATAATCAAAATCGAAAGTAACTACCCCTGATTTTTTCTGCCTGATCTTGTCATCATTTTGGGATTAAAAGAGGTGGTTGCTTAGCCATAGCTGATCAAGTAGAATTGCAATATATGGCTTTGTCACCAATGAAAAAAACTATCAAAACAGTCTTATACTTTTCCACCATGTACTAGCCAGGCTGTGACTTGTCCATGAGTAAATTGTGCCTCTGATGCTTGAAGAGATAACTTCACACTTTCTTCCTGTACATATTTTACTTTGTCAGGCAGTGTTGTAAATGGTCATTTGTCTTTGTTGGCTTTCCTTTGGAACTTGTGGGGCTCACTGAGTTTGAATTTGAGCTTCTTTATCTCTTTCTTTTGCATTTTGTACCAACAATTTCCTGTAAAAATCCTTCTAAAGACTTCATCAATTCCCTGGTTATCAGAGTATAGGAGGTCCGAGACCTTGTCTTTGGAATTTGATATGGCAAAAAAGAGAGAAAAGCTGATTTAAAAGAAACAGAGCTCTGACCAGGGTTGACTCAGAGGTCTAGATAACTATAACTTGCTACACTCCTTCTTATATACCTTGGTTTCCTTCCCATGATGTACCACCATGGTACCTAGACCAAGCAGTGTCTGTGCTGACAAAATTTTTGTCAAATTACATCTTAATTCAGTTGTGAGGAGGCCTTTTGGTCATTCATAATAACTTAAGTAAGCTTTTATGCAGAAGACCCAAACATATATATATGTTATTTGCCGGCTGGGAGGTCCATATGGTGAAAAACTGTGACCGAGGTCTTGAAAATACTGCCCGAGGCCGTAGGCCGAGGGCAGCATTTTCAAGACCAAGGTCACAGTTTTTCACCATACGGACCGACCCTTAGCTGGTAAATAACATATTTATTGTTTTTAAACTTGACGAAATTCTTTCCGAAAGAACCCGAATGATTTATGGCCGTAAATACGGCAAGATCTTCCATAAACTGAAGAATTTTTGAGTAGGTAAATGGTAGTTAAAATAGAGGTGATGCAAATTTAAGAGAGATGCCTCAGCGAAACATTTTCATTTCTGTAACGATAAAGGTGATTTAAAAGGCTTCCAAACAAACTTTGAAACATTATTTTTACAAGTATCTGTCACAATCTGACACCTGTCAATTAGAGAGCGCGCAAGAAAAAGAAAAGCGAAGGAACATTTGAAAACCAACAGAACTAGTTTGGCAAGGACTGTCATGACAATGTTTTCTTCAAAATCAGTTAATGATCTAACGGAAAGTATTATTCACTCTCATCGACGATTCATTCATGTACGAAGATTTACCTCTGTTCATTAAGTAAACGGCGAGGAAATTAATTGTGAGTAAATTCAATCTTTTTATTTTGAAGTTGTGAGAGTTTGCTCGTTTGTTTGCTGTAATGGCGTGTTTAACTCTGATCTTTCCTTCACAAAAACTAAATTCGAACGGCACACTCCAACGAGACACAAGGGAATGTAATGCGGCCTTTTCTTAAAAAATTCCTTCAATTTCTGTTGTGCAATTTAAGGTACAAATGTCCAAATTGAACGGAATTGGAAAGACTCACCAGGAGCATATATTTATTGTAGAACTTAAATTAAAACGTCGCTCGCTCTTTCACTATGAACAAATTGCTCGAGAAAATTCAGATATTAAATGAATGAAAGTTCCATCGTTCAGTTTAACTGTAACCAAATACCTCACGTTCCAACTTTCTGGGTACTTTTTGTGAACGATTAAAATTAATTGCAGAAGGTTTTTAGGCCGCTTGTCAACCAACGTAATGACACTATTGTTTATACAAATTCATTCTGAAACCAATATTTTTCTGTCAACCAAAGTGATTTGATAGAGAGAAAAGAGAGGATTCATAAGTTATTTATTGGCTTGAGGTAGTGACCGACGTGTTTGCTTAAAAATACTGCCCAGCCGGAAAACGAGGTATATTTATGAAAAATGACAACAAAAGTTGGGATGTACTCGGCGACTCACGAAAGCGTTACCGTGGCCCGTGGGCAGAGATAGAAAAATACTGACCGGGTAAAGAACCAATCAGATTGCAAGATTCATTACCGTGCCCTCTAAAAAAACAATAAAATTAAGAATCAGACCAGTTAGGTTATATTCTTTGTTTATTTTGGTGGTGTTTCAACTAGGCCTTATTTCACCACCCACTGTATCATTATCTTGAGTGTTTTTTCGGCTTTGATGTAAATTTTTGTGGATTTCCTGTTATTCTCTTGAGCTGTCAATGCTAAATCAAGAAGTTGACAACACTGCAATGAAAATTAAATGCTCCCACTTAATTTAAGACAAAATTATAAAGTTTTTAGAGAATTAATTATGTAAACAAGAAAACACCCTAACCAAAAGTGATGAATACATAGTGATTTATTTTTAATCACGATGTTTATTGTCAAGGATTTTGGCAGAAGTATTTTCAAACCTTGAGACAGATTTGTTGAATATTTCAAAAAAAGAACAAACAGTGTGAAACTGAACTCCAGTAAGAATTTATTCCAAAAAGTTTTTTCCAAAATGAGATTTTCCTTGTATGAATAATGGGTAGTTTTTCAGTTCACAAATATTGTGGATTTTGATATTCAAAATATCTGTTTTATTAACAGTTGGTGCATTATGGCCCAGTTACCACTCGTTTTGTACCCACAGTTTTTTTGTTTTGTACCCACATATATACCCAGTCATCTTGTACCCAGTTAGGTTGTTTTGCATCCATTCAAAGGCAGATTATGAAAGGGGCGAATTGAAACCTATTCTGGGCCAAGAATACATAAGTCAAGAGGAAATGTGAACCAGCTATAAAACCTATTGCTGATACAGCAAAGCAAAGAAATGATATGTCTCCTTCACTTGCAAGCTTGCTGGGTCATACTCCAACTAATTGTCATCAAGAAACACCAACAGAGATTGAAAACATTCTAAAGCTACAAAATGTCCAAGCCCCAGTGTAAGACATTTTGTGGAGGAAACCAAGAGCAAGGTTTTGTCTCAATGAAAGAACCCCAATTAACAGCAAAATGAAATAACCTGCATTTCTATCAAAACATGATAATACATAAACTCTGATTGATAAATATGTATGGAGAACAGTACAAAAAAAAAAATTGTTTATTAACACCTTTTGCAATGTTGAAAATCATCTAATTCAGATTATGTAAATAATCACATGAAAGGCAGTACTTTGTTTTCACCAAATGCCATGATCAGAGTAGTTACAGTTTCATGTAAGATTAACAAAGATGGAAATGATGACCCAGATGTGCAGAAGGAAATTTACAGTGACTG